CCCGGGTTCGATTCCCGACATGGGTACAATGTGTGAAGCCCATTTCTGGTGTCCCCCGCCGTGATATTGCTGGAATATTGCTAAAAGCGGCGTAAAACCATACTCACTCACTCACTCACTCTTCCCATTCCATCCCATTAGTGCTAACTGCTTGATCATGTTGCTATTTTTCGTGAATACCTCTTCTGCACACCTTAAGAAATCTGGGTAAGAATTGGTCCCCAGGAACCTATGCTTGTCGTAAGAGGTAACTAACTAGATCATGTGGTCAGGCTCAGTTAGTTGCTTGATTGCATGTCATTGCATCTCAAATGCATGGATTGATGCTCATGATATCAATCAGACGATTGTTTGGTCCAGTCTCGATGGACCGCTTTAACATGGCTGTAATTGCTGAGTGTGGCTTTAACAACAAACGTTCAAACAACTGTAAGGATATTTTCATCCTTTTTTATTATTTATCTCTCACAATATCTAAATTCTTAACATTTTGTGACAACACTTCAGCCCTCACATTGCCCAGCTATTATTCTATGGACATAGATCCATTCTTCAGTGAGACCAGATGCCTGCCATGAAGTAGAGAAGGAATATTAGGATATATCCCCACCGAGATTCCAGGGCAGAATAGATCTCTGGTTATCCATGCTTGTCCTCCCACAGACTAGGCTTTTGAGGATTCAGTGGGACTCGGTTTATCGTGGGTCATCATTTCCCAATGGCTGGGTTGGTTGCTCGTGCTATCAACCAGTTTTTCGCTTGGCTCAGGTTCAAATGAAGGACTGACGTGATGGAGCTGTAATAATGCTCACTGCAGCCTACAACACCCACCCACTCGCAAACTCCATAATTTGCAGAAATAGTATGATTCTGGTGATTGAAACTATATGAAGTGCCCAACCTGTAACCCTGATACTACATGTACTTGTAGCACTTTATTGCTTACTACCTGCCTCTAGCTCCACCCCTCCACACAGCAGTCAGCTTCAAGGTAGATGTGTCACTTTTTCTCCAGCAAGTTGTTGTGGTTTACATGTTATTTCATGGTTATATATATATGAGAGATGTAACCTATTCATCAGCTGATGTATCTATGTTGGCTTCCAGAAACAAAACACTTTTGCATGCCTACACCGTGTACATATGGTATATAAAGCTTTAGATTCAAATAGAATATGGTGATGTTTTTCTGCTTGCTGTCTGTAGTGATATGCATATCATTATCATACGGCCATCTTGGTTGTGCTTTGCAGCCTATGCTTTGTGGACCTCAGTCGTGTGTGTGTGTGTGTGTGTGATGTTTGCACCATAGACTATTGGTCCATCATAATACACCCACTTACTTGATGACAAACCTTTTAAAATGAACTGTCTCATATTTATGAACTGACAAAGACAACAGCGTATTATATATCATAAGTAAATGTGATGGCTTATCATGATATTTGATAATTTAAGTCAAACTAACAAAAAAACAGTTGGTCTGGCCATTTATCTATCCAAGTCTACAATTAGTAATGCTTTCTAGCTGTGGTCTACTGCTAACGTGCCTCGGTGGGTAAGTAATGTGTTTCAAGGGAGCACTGTGTGTTGCAGTGCAGTGTTTGTGTGTTGCTGCAGTGGTACCCATGTAAAGACGGACCAACTGACCCACGACTAGCCCCTCTGTTAAGCTGTGTTTGACAGGAACAAATGGTGGATGTGTTAAACCTACCTGGACACAATGTTGACATAGCATTTGAAGTAAATAACTTCATTTAAGACCAAGTTTGCATACTCTGGCTAAGACAGTTGACCTCACTGTAATTGTCCACCCTGAACCCAAGCACTGACCAGCGTGTGGCTTAGCTCCTTGCAAGTACGTATGATGTAGCGTCAGAGTAGGAACTAGGGTATATAATAATATCGACAAGGTAATGTATTATACCTTCCTATCTATGCTCACTGTTAAAAATAGAACAATGGATTCTCAGTGCTATTTGTACTTTATCTGAACTGTGAGCATTATCGTTCACTATGTTTTCACAAACACATTAGTGTTGGTATGGCCATTAACAAGGATAAAAAAACAATTGGAGTTGCAGACAAATGTAGAATTGTAACTGTTGTTTATTTCTATTTGTGGCATTTTGTGGCTGGGCGATTCTGAAAACTGAAACAAAAGTTCAGTACTTATGTGATCAGTAGCTGAACACAGTCACTGTGAACATTTCCGAATAAAGGAGTACCGGTGTTAAATTGGATGCAGATATACCTCACAGATTTTCTGAAGTGTTCTTGTTTACTTTAAGGAAGAGAATTTATGGATGTCAGCTTCTTCAATATGAGGAACGCAACGTTTTGGAGCACAGGCTTACTCCTTCGTCAGGTGAATGAATGCCATGAGGCAGAAAACATATATATATGTACATGTAAAGACAACAAAATTAATAAGATAACAAAAGGTGGAAACTAACAAGGGAAGCCAACAGATGATTACTGTAAAGTGTTGGCTTCCATTGTCTATTGCTAATCACCTATCAGTGCCAATCATACGTTGGCTTCCCTTGTTAGTTTCCACCCCTTGTTAGTTTCCACCTTTTGTTATCTTATTAATTTTGTTGTCCTTACATGTACATATATATGCTCTCTGGCTCATAGCATTCTTTCACCTAATGATTGAGTCAGCATATACTCCGAAAAGTTGTGATCCTCAAAATAATGAAGTTGACATCCATAAATTCTCTTCTTATGTGTATCAATTCTAAATGTCTTACAATGATCTTATTTACTTTTAAATTTATATTTAGACCTTTAAGCATGTTAAGAATCTTTCCCGATTTTGGCCATTTAAAAGTCATGATAGTCTTTATATTCGGAAGTTGGTTTATGTGTTGTGTAAGTAGAAGTAAAACGAGTGGTCAATGCATGCACGCTATAACTTGTGTGTGGAGGGGTAGGATAGAAGGTCATTTAAAATTAGTGAGACTTTCATGTGCAGGTGTGGTGTCTTGTATGCTTTTGTCAGGGTCATGGCATTGTTTATAAAAATATGCATGGCCAAGCATTTTACTGATAGCTGTGTCATTGTATGAGAGAAATGTGTGTTATCTTTTCAGGCCTCATTATCGGTTATGTCGCTGTAACATTTTTGTATGGCATATGCCTGTTGCTACACAGTGATTGTTGACCCAGATTCTAATAGAAAACCACACAGCAAGATATCCATAAAGACTAGTGTTGTCCATGTAAGTGGTGTATTGGGATGCTGAGGATACCAAAGGTCAGAGAAACCATGGAAGGTTATTAAGATGTTTCTCATCATCCTGCATGTGCTGATGGGCATTGAAATGTTTAAAACATGGTCTGTGAACAAATTTTTTTCAGGGCAATTGAAATGTTCTTGTTTTGTCCAGTAAAAACTCGATTTTTGATATCAGATCAGGGATGTCAGAATTGTCCCAATGTTATGCTAGAATTGCCAGTTGTTAGCAAGTTCTGCAAATTGTGAAACACAGGGACATCGGGTGACCCTGTCACTTTGACAAAATAGTCTGAAGAGAAACATTTATTATGTGGCATCTGTCAACTGTCTGTGTGTCATAATGTTCATGTTGTTCTCATCTGATCTGATTTTTAGTATGGCTGCCATGTCAACCATATTGAAAATGACATTTTTTCATTTGCTCAATCATTGCGTATTTTGGCCACAGCCATGGTATTTGACTGACACATCCGTCATTTAGCTGGTAGTTTATTGGTCTTGTGGTATCTCCTCAGAAACCTCTTGGATTACGTTAGTTTATCAAGTTGAAATATAGCGCATATGATCCCAGGAAATGCTCACTGAATTTTGATAATTTTAAACATGAAATTTGCCATGCATTCAGTGCAATGGCCAGTAAACTCAATGTTTAATTTAATAAACCGACTGTGAGGATGTCTGTTGTTAAGAAACTTCTGAAACGTCTTTCACAAGCCCTTCACCTTTGTATGGCCCTTTTAATCTAATTCAAAATTCCAGAAAAGTTTAGGTGAGCTACAGTGTCTTGTCACAGCCTGTGGCTCTCTTTGTTCTCATGGTCAAAGCATGAGGACAACATGTGATGTAGATATTGTTATAAATACCGAGTATATATTTTTACATCAGATGATTTATAACCTATGGAATATGACACATTTTCAACATAGTTAACTTACAATATCCAGCTATTTGATAACCATTCATAACATGTTTGATAGATCACAGCTTTGTTAGGTGTGTGGGCTAGGTGTGTTATCATGCTATCACCATTGTGGGACTTGAAGATGCTGTGTGACATATCTCTGTGTATAGGCACACTGTTCAGAAAATCACTGTTGTTGTCTGGTAGATATGGTTGTAACAGACACTGGACATGTGTATTACAGGTAGTAGCAAGGCCAAAGACAACGCCAGTAAGTATGGTGAAATATACCATGCCTGTCATATTTAGTTTGCAGTGCCATGGATGTTGTGGAATGCCCTTCTCACATCAAACCATGCCATTTACAAACACTCACTGTGTGTGTTCATGTCTTTACTGTGCCCGAGTGTCAGAAATACTAAACATGCTAAATGTTCATCAGTCTTTTGTCTATTTCCACAATATATCTTTTAGAAATCAGATAAGTTGATGGGAACTTCATCCTGTTCAGATACTTTTGGGATATGGCCAACATGTTTTTATTACTTGGACTTGGTATGATCCTGCAGTTGGTTGGAGATGAGAAAAAATAGATAAACATAACCATGACAACAGTGCTCAAAGCAGCTCTTAAAAAAGGAGTAAGAGGCGACTAACGGGATCGGGTGGTCAGGCTCGCTGACTTGGTTTAAAGCATGGCATCGTATCCCAATTGAGTGGATCGATTCTCATGATATCAATCACTGGATTGTCTGGTCCAGACTCGATTATTTTTACAGACTGCCTTCATATAGCTGGAATATTGCTGATTGCGGCATTAAACAACCAACCAATCTTCAAGTAACTGGTATGTTTTGTTTCATAGACTTGAAAGAGCTATATCTAAGTCATCAAAATGAAAGGATGACAACTTTTTTCTTTTGTTGTTGTTGATTTATTCAAACGTTCGTGCTGGGTACCTGTGGTCCAAGTAGTAAAAACGGCGCTTGTCCGATGAAATAATTTCTTCATACAACTCATTATAGGACAATGTAAAATATGTGATGTGTGAAATTGTTTTTGGCATGTGTGATTGATGTGTGCCTACTACAAAATGTATGTGTGTTTAATCTCTAAGTTTGTTATTAAACTCCAATAGCAACCTTTGCAGTGTATGCTGAATATATTTGGGTAGAGTGCATATTAGTAACTTTAGTTGTGCTGCATATAGCATATAATTTGCTGGTTGTACTAGTTGCTCAGCCAGTGGTTGTAATTTATTTGCTAATTTAGTGCAGAATCAGCTATGCATAGCTAAAGCGGATTAGTTTTTGGGTAAATAGTTGCAGTTTGCCTTCAGATAGCTTCTTTGTATGCTGCTGTTACTGTTACATCAGCTATTAGCAGCAGATGTGTTGGTCTGTGCCAATCTACTGGTGTTGCAGCATGACTCTAGTTGACATGTAGTGTGTTATAGTATGCTTCTGTGTAAGGCATTGTGGTGTGTAATGCCACATCATCCTGCAGACAGTCCTGGTGCAGGGGGTTGTGTTGGAAATAGGAATATCATGATAATTGTATTCTGAGATTGGAATCATAGGTTCTGATTTACATTTACAGCGTAGTGAAGTACAGCCAGCGGAAGTACATGGCCCATAGAACTGTGTAATATAAACACTTGCTTCATGCACAGAACTGTGTGATATACCATGATATAAACTTGTTTCTAACATGTCTAACACAGTACTGTGTGATATATACCATGATATACACTTGCTTCTAACTCAGTACTGTGTGATATATACCATGATATATACTTGCTTCTAACACAGTACTGTGTAATATATGCTTAAGTCATACACAGAACTGTATGATAATAATGCATTTGCTTCTAGAATGACAGACTACACTGATATGAATTACATACCTTCTCTAATTTGCATGTGTGAGATATGTTTTGTAAAATAAAAATGCCAATAATTTTCATGATTGAGTGCTGCAAAACACATTGTTTGTTCCTGTCCTATGCTGAAAATAAATAGTGTAGGACATGAAGCTATTCTTCCAGAAATTCACTATTATGGAAACCAATTCTCTGAAGATGTGAATATGGCTGAGAAAAGATTCTGGTAGTGGTGAAAGATCAATTTTGGAAGATCCGTCTAAGGAATGTTAAAAAATGTTACATGCCACAAAAGTAGTTGCTCTTTTGGGAGCAAGGACAGGACCAGCAGCACCAGAACCTGTTTTGTTTCCCTGAATCATGTTGACAGGGCTACTCCTGTCTAGCTCCTTGTCTGTTGACCCCATGTAGGGCTGGACATGTCTCCAGTTCCTGGTGTACACAGGTCTGCCTGGCACAAACTTGGTTATTAACAACCATGGTACCACAGTTGGACAATTGTCCACTGATGAGGATTTAGTGATTCAGTGTATGGCCTGGCCTGTTGGTGTCATGCTATCGATCACAGGTCTTCCTGGCACAGACTTGGTTATTAACAACCACTGTAACACAGTTGGACTATTGTCCACTGATGAGGATTTAGTGATTCAGTGTATGGCCTGGCCTGTTGGTGTCATGCTATCGATCACAGGTCTTCCTGGCACAGACTTGGTTATTAACAACCACTGTAACACAGTTGGACTATTGTCCACTGATGAGGATTTAGTGATTCAGTGCATGGCCTGGCCTGTTGGTGTCATGCTATCGATCACAGGTCTTCCTGGCACAGACTTGGTTATTAACAACCACTGTTACAGTTCGAAAATTGCTGATTGTGGCATCCACAACGTTTTCTGACCTTTTGACCATTGTTTTGAAGGAACAGACTTTCCCTGTGTTTGTGTTTCTATTGGGTGTTGTGATCTAGACACGAGAGACAGGTGTCCAGGAATCACTCTTGAACTACTCCTGCTGTGTCAACCTCATCCAGCAGATGGACACCGGCAAAGGATGACACAGTAGCTGGTGTTTAATGTCAGGCCCAGGTTTGCAGAAGCTGAGTAAACAGTTGGCAAATGGCAGAGATCTTGTGTTTGATTGTTTATCCAAATGAATGTAGCCAGCCCACTCCCAAATGTCACACTGTGACACACTGCTGGCCAGCCATGCTGGGAGATGCATGTTTCAGGCCACGGACTCTATAGCTCTATGTCTTAGTGCTGCATTTCAAGTAAGTGGTTTGCTTCTCTTTGATTGGTTGACCATGTTTACAGTTGGTAACATTGTTGGTCAGAGTTTGGAACATGTGGTGTTATTGTGTAGAGACTGTATTCAATCTGAGATACTGGCACTTTCATGCCGAAAGAAGGGTGTGTTAGCATGTAGCAGATAGAGTAGCACTGGGTTACAATAGTATTTATTGGGTCAAGTTGAGTTGATGGCATCAGCTCATAGGGGTGTAATATTAGCATTGCTTGATGCCCATGTAAAATTCATCACTGGTCTAATGACCCTTGCATTTTGTTGATTCATGCCAAAATAGTTTCAAAGAAAATGGATAAAGGATTCCATTAATTTTTTGATGGATGTGCTTCAGTCAGAAATTCCATTGTTTCATGAATGAAGTGTTTTAGGTCATTTCCATGATATAAGCATACAGTGTTGATGCAAATAGGTGATTGTTAGGTCCAAAGGACATCTTGTTTGTAAGGTGATTATTGAGGTTTGTGTGTTTCCAGGTGGTAAACTGGATGATTGTGGAATGGATTGTTGCTCATGTTGTCAACCACTGGTTTATCTAGCCCAGACTATTTTTTAAAGGTTGTTTTCGTACTGCTGTTATAATACAACTTTCACCTTCCTCTCCTGGTCACTGGAAGCTGTTTTCATGGTTCTTCTTCTCTGATTTTTTCCTTTGTACAACTGAGCACCTTTTTGGTACAGTGAAGCAATATGATGAGAGTGTGTGTGTGATTGTGTGTTGATCCAATATGATCTCCCCAACACAAGGCCAGCAGAGAGTGTGTAGATGATCCAATGTGATCTCCCCAACACAAGGCCAGCAGAGAGTGTGTAGATGATCCAATATGATCTCCCCAACACAAGGCCAGCAGAGAGTGTGTAGTTGATCCAATGTGATCCCCCAACACAAGGCCAGCAGAGTGTGTGTAGATGATCCAATGTGATCTCCCCAACACAAGGCCAGCAGAGAGTGTGTAGATGATCCAATGTGATCTCCCCAACACAAGGCCAGCAGAGAGTGTGTAGATGATCCAATGTGATCTCCCCAACACAAGGCCAGCAGAGAGTGTGTAGATGATCCAATGTGATCTCCCCAACACAAAGCCAGCAGAGAGTGTGTAGATGATCCAATGTGATCTCCCCAACACAAGGCCAGCAGAGAGTGTGTAGATGATCCAATGTGATCTTCACAACACAAGGCCAGCAGAGAGTGTGTAGATGATCCAATGTGATCTCCCCAACACAAAGCCAGCAGAGAGTGTGTAGATGATCCAATGTGATCTCCCCAACACAAAGCCAGCAGAGAGTGTGTAGATGATCCAATGTGATCTCCCCAACACAAAGCCAGCAGAGAGTGTGTAGATGATCCAATGTGATCTCCCCAACACAAGGCCAGCAGAGAGTGTGTAGATGATCCAATGTGATCTTCCCAACACAAAGCCAGCAGAGAGTGTGTAGATGATCCCATGTGATCTCCCCAACACAAGGCCAGCAGAGAGTGTGTAGATGATCCAATGTGATCTTCCCAACACAAGGCCAGCAGAGAGTGTGTAGATGATCCAATGTGATCTCCCCAACACAAGGCCAGCAGAGAGTGTGTAGATGACTGAGAGCCCTGTCACATGGCTATCCGCTCATCCCTGCAGGACTCTGCTGTTGTAACCTTTAGAGGCTCTGTGTTTCATTGATTTTCTGGGTGTATATACATAAGTTAACACCTGCATTATTCCCAGAATGACAGTTGGTTGTTGATGGCATCGTACATGTCTGTACCAGGTCACTGTGACCTCCCTTCAACTGCCTGGTAAGCCTGGAGCACAGATTCGGTTGGTGTTTTCTGGCCTCGGTTCACATTTATTTTCTAATACATTGTCTCTTTCAAAATTTAGTATTGCAGATCATTAGAATGTTTGGGACATGGTGAGTGATTGAAATGCCTTGCATTATCAATGCCCTTCAGGGTATCGCTTGTATACTGTTGTAGGTAATCCCTGTGTGCTTGTTGGTTAAAGTACATCATGATGTATGATTAGAATGTCAGGGTGATCTGGAGGTATGTCAGTTATTGACGGATACTGTTTAATGTTTACAATGTTTCTGTTGTAGCAGGGTTCTGCTGATGTAAATATCTTACAGATAGGTTTGTGTTTCTCATGTTTCTCATTGCAGAATTCCTGGGTCAATCTGTGACTTGTCTGATTTTTTTTGTTTTAATAAACTTTGCTGATAAAAGTGCATTTATTAATACTTAAACAACTGGAAATATCAAGTGACTTAATGGTGCAGCTGGAGACAAATTATTGTGACGTGTTGTTTCATCTTTTGATACTGGTGATAAATTCTGTGTTTCTAACATGTTGAGATATGTATGTAGGTATGCCCCGACCAGGAATGTCGCCCATGTCCCACGGCCCTCCCCCAGGGATGTCCACCATGGATAGGAAGAGGCCTGCCCCGCCTGACCCTAGGACAGCGCATCAGTTGAAGGCGTAAGACTGCATTGTGGGATTGGTCAAACTAATACAGTGTTTTTATCTAACATTTTATGAGTGAACGAGTATGGTTTTACGCCGCTTTTAGCAATATTCCAGCAATATCACAGCGGGGGACACCAGAAATGGGCTTCACACATTGTACCCATGTCTGGAATCGAACCCGGGTCTTCGACATGATGAGCGAACGCTTTAACCACAAGGCTACCCGACCGCCCCTAACATTTTATGAGAATGTTTCCAGTACTCCACGCTTGTTGTAAGAGACGATGATGATTGGGTTGTCACAGTATGTCAAGCTGATAGCGTGTCATCATGCCCTGACGATCAGCTATCAATCACTGGTTTGTCCATCCCAGATTTCATTATTTACAGACCAATGGGATATAGCAGAAATTTTATTGACTGCAGCATAAAACATTGACATTCATGGAAACATGAAACAGTGTAGAAATTAGATTGAATGTAAGCATTATATTCTGGAAGATGATTGTGTCACTGTTATTCTGTAGCCACTTTGATAAATGTTATCCGTTTGCATTCACATTCCAGTAAGAAGAAAAAGAAGATAGCTGATAAGATTTTACCCCAGCGGGTGAGTATAGTCAGATAGGTGAAGTCAGCATGGTCATTAAATATAGTGTTCCCCTTAATGTTCCCCTTTTCTTTGTGACCATTGTCTTTGAAAGACTTAATAATCATGCTGATTAAACCATGTAACCATAAGGCAACACTATTCTTTATGATGTATGCAGTTAAAGCCTGATAGTTCGGACCCTGTTGAAAATCCGTTTTACAGACAATTACTGTCAGGAGCATCTCGAGATATAAAGTGACAGTACGCAGTAACAATTCGTTAATCAAGACATTTGTCTTTCCTACCAATTTCCTTGTGAACGATGCCATCAGGGTTTATGGGGTTTCATGTTTGTATATTGATTTGTCTGGAACAAGACTTTCAGTAGGTTGAAATGGCGAATTCAGGGATTAGTGAAACTTGGTTTTAATCTGCATATATGCATGCTTTATATACCCAGGCCATAATTTTCACAATAACATTTGAACCAAGTCAATGAGACACAATACAATCACATTGTCAGATATCATGTTTCAATCTTATATCTGTAGGGAAAAGGAAGCCACCTTTGTAATGTTTTGTTCTGATGTACACCCCACGACTTAGACATCATATAGTGATAGCATGGTGACGTGGTAGATGTCATGGTATGGGATAGAGCAGCACCAACGGTCAAGCTGTGTTACTGTTACTAAGTTTACAATACACTCTCTAAGAATTTGTTTATCAAGTTTTCAGCCTGACATATTGGTTTCCACACCTGTAAATAATGTATGAACTGCAGCACATTATTTAGCAATGTTAGTGAAGTAAAATGAGTTATTGTCTAGTTGAAATTGTCAAACTGACAGAAGAAGTACTCCTGAATAAATAGTTTCTTTTGTTGTAATGCGGTCAACAGAAATATCAACATGATCAAGGTCTAATACGGACTCTATGACTGGCAGACCAATCGCAATTCTAAAATGTCATGGTAGAATGACGTATAGTGGATGAATTGGAATGTAGCACTCCACTGTTATGTCTGCCATGAACTATCTTCCTTGTCTGTTGCGTGTAGGTACGGGACTTGGTGCCGGAGTCACAGGCGTACATGGACCTGCTGGCTTTTGAACGGAAGCTGGACGCCACCATTATGAGGAAGAGGTTGGACATCCAGGAAGCTCTCAAGCGCCCAATGAAAGTAAGCATGTGGATCTTTCTGTTGAATCAACCAACCATTAGCAGCTGAGGCCATTATCAATTATTAGATTTTCATCCCTGCCCACGTCCCCCCCACAACAACCCTGCCTCAGGTAGTATTATTGTCCTCCAAGAAGAAATTTGCTGCATGCTTTGCCCTGTCATGTTGCTGGATGAAATATGCCATATGCAGGTCCTACCACACATGTGAATCTTGTGAAGGCTTCAATCATCAGTTAGCTGACACATGAAATAGGCTGTTGGATTGGCTTGAAGTCATTTACACCACCAGGTCTGTGGCATCCATCTTTGAGGGAAGAACCTTGTGGAAATGCCTTTTTGGTCAATGGTGGCCAACTCGGGAGGCAGATTAGGATTTGGTTGAAGGGGCCATGTGCACTTGCCTCAAGTCACAAAGTGAACAATAGTTGGTGAAGGTTTGTGGTTGTAGACTGGCACGAGTTGACACATATGGTGTCTGAAGAATGAGGTAGGGGTGGGGTGTTGTTTGTGCTACCCTTTTAAAGATCTGGATCCACCAATGAACACTGTGGTGCTGTTTGGTGTGCTGATAATGAGAGAGCCTCACCTTGTTACACTGTCCTGTGTTCATGTTCCAGCAAAAGCGAAAGTTGAGGATCTTCATCTCCAACACATTCTATCCCCCCAAGCCTGAAGGAGAGGTGAGTGAAGGCTGATACATGTGTATCAAAGACAACCCCTGTTCACTTAAATCCGGAGTCTAAAAGTTGATGTATCCTACTCAGTTTTAAAGCTGTGATGCGTTTGGAGGATGCATATAAATTTGAAACACTATGTTTGTGTAATCTTGAAACTCAGGTCATATAGGGTGTTCTATTTTAACAACATGGTTTTCAGATCTGCCAAACACTTGTTACATTTAATATGATACCTGTTCTGTAATAAATAAACCCTTCAAAATTTGGCTAACATTGCCGACAGAGCAAGGGGAAGTAACCCTTTGTCCTGGCATTCCTAGAAACATTTCCTTCATTTCACATTTTACAATATCTGTTATCTCAATTTTTCACTAATTTGAAGATGACTGTTTATTAAAAAAATGTTGTTTAGATAGACAAGTTTAATTATTGCAACCACTGACCCTTTGTTTCTTTTGATGAACATGTGTAAACGAGTAATTAAAACCGAGACCAAGATTTGTTATGAGAGTTTCTGTCATCTTGAGATGCTGTGTGTTGCAGGATGGAGAGGAGTCGGTGCCAAGCTGGGAGCTGAGGGTGGAGGGGAGACTGCTGGAGGATGTGAGTACACCCTAGAGTACACTACTGAGTACATAACAGTACATTACTGAGAACACTGTAGACACTCTACTCAAACCACTACAAGATGAAGACAAGTTGTTTTCTCAGGAACAAGTAACAGGGATCTATTGCTACTGCTTGATGCATGTCATTGTATTTTAATTGGGTAAATCCATGCTCACGATGTCAATCACAAGATTGTCTTGTCCAGACAGATTATTTACAGTTAGCCGTCATATAGCTTGAATATTGTTGATTGCAGTGTAAAACAACTCACAAACAATCATTAACAGGAATTAATATAAAAGGGTTGTTAAGTCTTGTCAGCTTGGGTGTATGAATTGGAATGTCTAGTGCAGACACATTATTTTACAGACCGCTGTCATATAGCTGGAATATTGATGGGTTAAACAACAAACAAGACAAACAAAAGAAAACTAACAATGATGAAGTAATAGAAAATGTTTCATAATTTGGTGCATATCTTTGAATATACACGTGCTCAAAATTGACCAATCACGAAACTTGTAGTAGATTTCGGCAAGAAAGTGTCATTAGAAACAAATTTTAATCCAATGAAATCGCTTGTTATAACTACGGGGAAAAAAACAGGCGATGTTATGAAAGCGCGATTACGAAATGAATGACCGCCATGTTGTGACAGCAACTACATGTGTGTGACAGTGTCACCTCAAATTGGATTGCCCACTAATTAAGAATATAAACTTCGCTTGTGGTTCTCTTTTATTGCATGCATGCGCTTCTAAGATCAAAGGATGTATAGTGTGAAAAGTTAACTAGTTGAACAATAGTATTTCCGGGACTTGCCGCGGATGTTTTCAAACAGATTATTAGAACTCCATTCAGCGATAAACGGTTGATTATGCAATGAGAAGTGTTATGTGCAAATGAACAACGAACAACAATACCATTATGTCTGTGTAAAACTCTCAGTAATAAAAGTGTACATAAATTTTGGGAGCCATGCGTTATCGCGCGTAGTAACCGAGGTAGCGCTTTATCGAAGAGCGCAATAGCAAGGATCACTCTAGATACAGCATGAAAGCGTAAGATAAGTCCAGTTTTGACAGTTTCCACTTAAACTGCATTTTAGTAGATTTCCTGTTGTAGAAATTACAACGGAACACAGGATGAAACAATGTGTACATTTATACGACGTATATAAGTCTGCAGTACAATCAATGGACCCAACTGATAATAACAGAGAGAGAGAGACACACACAATCGGTTCAGCCCTCTGTAATGCCATCTCTCTCTCGACCGTTACCCTAAAAAACTAACTGGCACACTATGTCACACAATTACATCCCAATCTCTCAGCATCTATATACATACACAACATAGAATGTAACCAATTGGAGATACAAACAAACCTCGAGCGTCAAACGAAACCAGAAGTGATATTGTGTGGAATACGAAGTAGATAACTCCGTCATGGGATAACATATTAAGTCATTGTTGGGATTAATTTTTCTGGGTTTGGGAGTTGTTAAATGAGAAGTCATTGAAAACAAATGTTTATCCTTGAATGCTTAAAAAGTGCTTGAATTTAGAGTCCAAAGATGTGTATGAAGCCTGCAATGTATAATGTACTGGGTGGCTCACCCATGATATGTACTGATGCTGTTGCATTGTGCCTTCTAGTCTGCAACAGCCAAGCTGAGTGATGCCAACAAAGTCAAGAGGAAGTTCTCCTCCTTCTTCAAGAGTCTGGTCATCGAGCTGGACAAAGATCTATATGGCCCAGACAACCATCTCGTGGAGGTCAGTAGTTTGATGGCTTGGACAGATGCATCAGAACACAGATGACACTAGGGGTTTATACGTTCCTGTTTTGTGTGTACGTCAATTCTCAAACAAAGCAACAGGTTTTGTAAGTCATGATAATGACTGTGAATGAATATGAAACCAGCCTGATATTTTCTGGAGCTAGCTTTAACATGCGAACAATAACAAGGCGTAACTTAATCTGATAATAGAATACCATTAGAACAAATTTATCCACCTCATGATACCTGTGAAGATCCGGGGTAGAAGAGGTCTTCAGCAACCCATGCTTGCCTTAAAAGGTGACTATGTTTGTTATAAGAGGCAACTAATCAGGTTGGTCAGCGTCAGTGACTTTGATGATGCATGTCATCGTATCCCAATTGTGTAGATTGTTGCGTATGATGTCAGTCACTGAATTGTCTGGTCCAGACTTGATTATTTACAGACCGCTGTCATATTGCTGGAATATTGCTGAGTGCCGCGTTAAACAACACACAAACAAACATTAACGTGAATTAGCATAAAATGGTTGTTAAGTCTTATCAGCTTAAGGAACATGGAGAATTGCATGCAAAAATGAGGCAAATTAAGTACACCAAATAGTAGCTCAATAATTATTGATTATTTCTCGTTTAAATGGAATTGTGACTGAAGTATGGTTGATGGTATGAAATTGATAGGTTGGTGTATCCTGACATCCCTAGTTTGTTCTAGTATGTCGTGTTCCTGCAGGGCGTGGCACACAGATCAGGTTTAGTGAGAGTAGGTTGATCAGGATGTGTTACTTCCCTTGTCAAGCTTGAGGGTGTCTCTTGGGCTTCAGTCCTGCCCAGTGTGTAACACAGGTTATTTATACCATATGGTGTCACCTTATGACACCAGTGACTTTGTTCAAGATATACTTTTGTTCACGCAGCAATAAATGGATACCTGGTAGGATGCACAATTCTTCTAGTGCCTAATGGACGGTTTGAATTGTATTATATAACACAGCTATGCGATAAGTCGCAAAGAACAATGAAGAACAAGGATAGGTTCATTTCACAAAAAAAGATTGTTCTATCTTGACATCCTTTTTGGAAATTTGAATATGCGCTCGCAACTTGATGACATCATATATTGGATGACGTTATTTTTTAGAGGCAGGGGTATTGTAAGTTGTTCCCCATAGATGTAGCTGGGCTACGCAGATAAACGTGGCTGTTATAGTGGCTGAACAAATGCATCCAAAAGTGGGACTGACATGACAATTGGTAATCATGGTAATAGGAGAAAAGGTACAGATAATTGACAAGAGGATTGTGAGAATATGCAGGAAATACCAAACTTAACCCACCTGTTCGTTAAATGGACTTGTCCGACATTTCCGAGGTCGGATTGTATTCAGGGAGTAACCGTTACTAAAATTTGGGTAAATATGTTTAAAGCTTGTCCATTTTAAAGAGGCTGTACATAATGTTGATATCTCATATGAGAATTATTAAGTGGACAATACATTTAAAGTGCTGCATTTAAATAAAAAAGTTAGATGTTACATCCTTTGATGGAACCCATGATCATGGATTCCAATCACCTGAATAAACCCTTGGTTCGTCAGCCCCCATGCTCATTCCTTTCCCCTCACGTTGTGCCAATACAAGAGTGAAATACTGTTCAAAGCAGCATAAGCTGAACACATGCAATCTGGGTAATGTTAGTGTTACTGTTTCTCCCTAGTGGCATCGCACACCCAACACACAGGAGACGGATGGCTTCCAGGTGAAGCGACCTGGCGACCAGAATGTCAAGTGCACTGTGCTGTTGATGCTGGACTACCAGGTAGGCAGGTGTTTAATAGCAAGCTCCTAATCATGTATATGCTTATTGATATGCACCCGTGAAGATCCGGGTTAGAATTGGTCTTCAGAAACCCATGCTTGCCGTAAAAGGCGACTATGCTTGTTGTAAGAGGTGACTAATGGGAGACATGCTCGGAGACATGGTTGGTGCATGTCATTGTATCCCAATTGTGTATTATGTCAATCACTTGATTATCTATCTGGTCCAGACTCGATTCTTATGACTGTCGCCATACTGCTAAAAACTACCACTGGTTTGGCTGGCCAGACTCCATTGTTTGCTACCTTGATATCGCTGGAATATCACTGACTGGAGTAAGACAAGATTATAGAGCAAGGAATCATGTGAATATTCTCGGCATGTTCCAGCCGATGCAGTTCAAGTTGGACCCCCGCCTAGCCCGCCTGCTGGGGATCCACACCCAGACCCGCCCCGTCATCATCAACGCCCTGTGGCAATACATCAAGACCCACAAGCTGCAGGACGAGCATGAGCGCGAGTACATCAACTGTGACAGATACCTCGAACAGGTACAGCGAGCATCTTAACTCTAATGTAAACTTGTTGGTGAACACAATTAAGACTTTATCCAACATATGATGTATGTAAGGCCATGAAAAAATGTATAATGTTTTTCTCAAGAGGTTCATTGTGAAAATGACCAGGCCACAATGCTTATCATTATCAATTTTGTCTTGATCAGTCAGGAAACTTATTAAAATGTGTCAAAAAGCATGGGAGTATAGTTTAGGCAAGGGGAGATAATTCGTCCATGAAACAAACACTCTTGACATTCAAAGCACTGATTTAAAAACCAGACTTTTTTAAGTCACCAAACGGAAATGTATTGATGCCCTGAAATAATATCATTGACGAGTTTGAAGTGAGTGGCAGCCTCACCCATGTTGTGATGTACCTGTCTGTATATTTTCAGATATTTGAGTGCAAGCGAATGAAGTTTGCAGAGATCCCTGCCAAGCTACACCCCCTCCTGATGCCCCCGGACCCCATCGTCATCAACCACATCATCACGTTAGTATGCTTTAACATTTGCTCTCAACCAAAACTTCAAACAATGAGTTACAGTAATGCAAATTCATAAGTGCAGTTGATTACTGTTTCCCCCCAAATGGTGAAAGAATGATACCTTATTTCTTTTGTGGGCAGATGGGTGGTCAGAGAATCAGCAAAGTTGTATCCCTTTGTCACAGCAGGATCGTCTGAATTCCAGATTTGTCTTGATTATGGTCCTTGGTTTGTCAATTGCGTGGATCGAGGCACATGATGTCAATCAGTGGATTGTCTGGTCCAGACTCGATTATTTACAGACTGCCATCATATAGCTGGAATATTGCTGAATGCGACGTAAAACAACAAACCAAAACCTAAAGTGGAAAATGTCCTGACCTGTGGTGCTTATGCTTTCCTAACACATTAAGCTATTACTGATACCAACCTGTTGTTAAGCAGGGTTCAACCCATTATTGCTTATATTTTCAATTTGGCCAATATATTTTTTCTGGTAGGTACTTTACATTTAGAGAATGTTTCTTCACATGGCACAGAGGGTAATTTTGAGGACTGTAATATGTAAATAATGAGCAGATTTAACCCGTTTTCCAGAGTTGAAGGTCCGGACGCCAAGAAGACAGCCTGCTATGACATTGATGTGGAAGTGGTAGGTATAGCACGTGTTCATATCAGCCAGGGGAGGTAACTCACAACTAAAGGTAGAAATGTTTCCTATTTATTTAGTGAATAATTTGATAAGTTTATATTTCCTATTATAATGTGTATTGCTGTAATCAGTGTGAAATGATGTGATCGATATATATCAACGACGTATAAATACTTCTGTTTACATGCAATGGCTGTATTTGGAATCAGCAGAATCTTTCTCCATGTTTGAGATGGGTAAGATGGTTACTGGATGACCTCATCATCTGCTGAGTTCGTGTAGCTAGTGTTTGGATGGATGGTCACCTGGGAAGACACATCTGTGGCCTTACGGAGTTGCATCTCTTGGCCATTCCAGGAACCACTTGTCAGGGGTTCGAATTTGAGGTTGACCCTAGGTCTGATCTGATTGGTCTGTCAGTGCCATGCCTGTGCTTGTGGGTTGGTGGTAAACATCTACTAATGTCATTTTGGACCCTACTCCCACAACAAACTGACATTCCTTCATGTGACTGAAATAGCATCAAAAAAGGCATTAAACCCAACTCATTCACTCATTATGAAAAGACATGATTTGGGTTAAATTGATGTCTGTCACTTTGGCCTTTCCTACCACATTAAGAAGACATACTATGATATGACTGAAATATTTGTTGACCAACGTATCTGATGGACCACTCATGCCTCTACCAGTGTCTGATATACTCTCCATGGACCACTAACTAGTGTTTTTGTCTACCAGTGTCTAGTATATACTGATGGACCACTAACTAGTTCCTCAGACAATCATCTACCACAGTGTCTGATAGATGCTCATGGACCACTAACTACTGTCTTACTCTACCAGTGTCTGATAGACACTCTATGGACCACTAACTAGTGTCTTAGTCTACCACTGTCTGAAAGACACTCCATGGAGTACTAACAAGCCTGGTTCAGGCTGGCTCACACTATGCAGGTGACCTAGCTGTGATATTGCTGACTACCGTGTGCATGGGACTTGTTCACTGCCTGACTGAGTGTATGACTGTATTCACTAGGACGACACCTTGAAGCAGCAGATGAACTCCTTCCTGCTGTCCACGCAGAGTCAGCAGGAGATCGCCTCCCTCGACAACAAGGTGGGTCTGACAATAGAGAGGATACCTAGGGGGCCCCCCCTGTGTCTTGCCATGTCCATATACCTCCTTCAGAAGTTGAGACTCGGTAAACCTAGCATGGTCACCAGTACAAGAAAATATAAATGCCCTTTGACTCAACATGGGTCAGTTAAAAAATGTATATTATTTTCTGTTGTTTTGGCTAACCTGCCTTGGTATCCATCTAGGTTGAACTTATGCGATCTGACATCTCTTTTTTTTTTCCCCTACATATAATTCATACTGAGTCGAAATAGTTGAACTAAATCAGCACAAGTCAATTAAGTCATAAAATTACATTAGTAGCCTTTTATAAACATGTGCTGATATGTTTGATATCAAAAGACTGAAGGGACGGATCCTATTTGCCTTTCTATGTCAGTTTGAATAATAAACCAATAATCAGATAAATGTTTATAACCACATTATAATGTCCAGATGAGGTGCACATGGATATGAACAAGAACCGTACACGTCTCACTTTTGTGCATGTTCAAACTTTCAGCAACCACTTTATTAACATTGTTTTCATATCCATGAAATTTTGAAAACTAAATGGTGTCTTTTCTATTTGTAATGATTTGTTGAGTGTTTGTGTGTACTGTATCCTTGTGTTGACTCATGTTGAGGGTGCCCATGTGGCGATGCAGAGTTGTGTCCCTTGTCATCACCATACTATTGCTTGTGGGTTTCAACAAAGTAATTGTCTCAGACTTGCCTCAGTTTGGGCCCAATTTAAGCTGAAAAGCTGTGATTGTGGTGAATTATCTGAAATACTTTAAAAAGCAATATGAACCTAACTGACTTACTGATTACATATTTACATATTACATTGCAAATATTTGAAGAATTGTTTGGTCATTCGGATTGTTATGTGTGGATGCCTTGCTGTGTGACTAAACTGAGAGCGTGTTGCAGATCCATGAGACAGTGGAGACTATCAACCAACTCAAGACCAACAGAGAGTTCTTCCTCAGCTTTGCCAAGGATCCTCAGGAATTCATCAACAACTGGCTCATCTCTCAAACAAGAGACCTGAAGGTAGGACCTTGTACATTAAGGCAGCTAAAATACCTCACCCCCGTGGGGATTCCAGGATAAAACAGGCCTCAAGCCACCTATGCTGGTCGTAAGAGGCAGCTAAAATACCTCACCCCCGTGGGGATTCTAGGGTAAAATAGTCCTCAAGCCACCTATGCTGGTCGTAAGAGGCAGCTAAAATACTTCACCCCCGTGGGGATTCTAGGATAAAATAGGTCCCAGCCACCTATGCTGGTCGTAAGAGGCAGCTAAAATACCTCACCCCTGTGGGGATTCCAGGATAAAACAGGCCTCCAGCCATCTATGCTGGTCGTAAGAGGCAGCTAAAATACCTCACCCCCGTGGGGATTCTAGGGTAAAATAGTCCTCAAGCCACCTATGCTGGTCGTAAGAGGCAGCTAAAATACTTCACCCCCGTGGGGATTCTAGGATAAAATAGGCCTCCAGCCACCTATGCTGGTCGTAAGAGGCAGCTAAAATACTTCACCCCCGTGGGGATTCTAGGATAAAATAGGCCTCCAGCCACCTATGCTGGTCGTAAGAGGCAGCTTAAATACTTCACCCCCGTGGTGATTCTAGGATAAAATAGGCCTCCAGCCACCTATGCTGGTCGTAAGAGGCAGCTTAAATACTTCACCCCCGTGGGGATTCTAGGATAAAATAGGCCTCCAGCCACCTATGCTGGTCGTAAGAGGCAGCTAAAATACTTCACCCCCGTGGGGATTCTAGGATAAAATAGGCCTCCAGCCACCTATGCTGGTCGTAAGAGGCAGCTAAAATACCTCACCCCCGTGGGGATTCTAGGATAAAATAGGCCTCCAGCCACCTATGCTGGTCGTAAGAGGCAGCTTAAATACTTCACCCCCGTGGTGATTCTAGGATAAAATAGGCCTCCAGCCACCTATGCTGGTCGTAAGAGGCAGCTAAAATACCTCACCCCCGTGGGGATTCTAGGATAAAATAGGCCTCCAGCCACCTATGCTGGTCGTAAGAGGCAACTAAATGATCGGATGGTCATATTTATTAATTACAGATATATTACAAAATATTCAGCTTCACAAAATGTATCTTTACTCTTTATTTCAACTTACTCAAGTATTCTATTACCACATAAAATTAAGAAAAGAGTTTTTTAGCATATGAACAGGCTTATTTTGGAGACTGTACCATGAAGCATGGCTTATTTCAGTTGAACTTATTTCATAGGTACAAAATAGGTTTTGCGATGCGAATCACTGGGTAAGAGTGTTTTAAGCTGACTGAATATATCAATCACTTCAGAGCATGACGGACGTGGTGGGTAACCCAGAGGAGGAGAGGCGGTCGGACTTCTTCTACCAGCCCTGGTCACAAGAGGCAGTGTGCAGATACTTCTACAGCAAGGTAGGCACTGTGTGGACTTCACACACAACACTGGCAGAGGTGGCCTAATGACAAGTATATCTACAGCAGGCACTGTGTGGACCTCACACTCAACCCTGGCAGAGATAGCCTAGTGACAAGTATATCTACAGCAAGGTAGGCACTGTGTGGACCTCACACTCAACCCTGGCAGAGATAGCCTAGTGACAAGTATATCTACAGCAAGGTAGGCACTGTGTGGACCTCACACTCAACCCTGGCAGAGATAGCCTAGTGACAAGTATATCTACAGCAAGGTAGGCACTGTGTGGACCTCACACTCAACCCTGGCAGAGGTAGCCTAGTGACAAGTATAGCTACAGCAAGGTAGGCACTGTGTGGACCTCACACTCAACCCTGGCAGAGATAGCCTAGTGACAAGTATATCTACAGCAAGGTAGGCACTGTGTGGACCTCACACTCAACACTGGCAGAGGTAGCCTAGTGACAAGTATATCTACAGCAGGCACTGTGTGGACCTCACACTCAACCCTGGCAGAGGTAGCCTAGTGACAAGTATATCTACAGCAGGCACTGTGTGGACCTCACACACAACACTGGCAGAGGTAGCCTAGTGACAAGTATATCTACAGCAAGGTAGGCACTGTGTGGACCTCACACACAACACTGGCAGAGGTAGCCTAGTGACAAGTATATCTACAGCAGGCACTGTGTGGACCTCACACTCAACACTGGCAGAGGTAGCCTAGTGACAAGTATATCTACAGCAGGCACTGTGTGGACCTCACACTCAACCCTGGCAGAGGTAGCCTAGTGACAAGTATATCTACAGCAGGCACTGTGTGGACCTCACACTCAACACTGGCAGAGGTAGCCTAGTGACAAGTATATCTACAGCAAGGTAGGCACTGTGTGGACGTCACACTCAACCCTGGCAGAGGTAGCCTAGTGACAAGTATAGCTACAGCAAGGCAGGCACTGTGTGGACCTCACACACAACACTGGCAGAGGTAGCCTAGTGACAAGTATAGCTACAGCAGGCACTGTGTGGACCTCACACTCAACACTGGTAGAGGTAGCCTAGTGACAAGTATATCTACAGCAAAGTAGGCACTGTGTGGACCTCACACTCAACCCTGGCAGAGATAGCCTTGTGACAAGTATATCTACAGCAGGCACTGTGTGGACCTCACACTCAACACTGGCAGAGGTAGCCTAGTGACAAGTATATCTACAGCAAGGTAGGCACTGTGTGGACCTCACACACAACACTGGCAGAGGTAGCCTAGTGACAAGTATATCTACAGCAAGGTAGGCACTGTGTGGACCTCACACTCAACACTGGCAGAGGTAGCCTAATGACAAGTATATCTACAGCAAGGTAGGCACTCACTCAGTGGAGTGGCCCTGACTGCATGTATGACAGGTGTATCTATTGCTAGGGGTCTCTCAGGTAGCCTCGTGGTTAAAGCGTTAGCTCGTCACGCCGAAGACCCGGGTTCGATTCCTGACATGGGTACAATGTGTGAAGCCCATTTCTGGTGTCCCCCGCCGTGATTTTGCTGTAATATTGCTAAAAGAGGCGTAAAACCATACTCACTCACTCTATTGCTTGAATTAAAATATCAGGATTTAGGTTCAGTTGGTGTCTAAACCTTGTTGAGAACTTGTCCTTTGGAATAGGTTTTAATCAAAGGAAAAATGCTAAGCTTGCTAAAACCTAAATAAATGCTCTGTGTTTGGGACTTGTGGTGGGGTTGCAGACTAGATACATGGTAAAAATGGGATTGTTTCAGGTTCAACAACGTCGCACCGAACTGGAGCAGGCCCTGGGTATCCGCAACACCTAGAGCTGCAGCATCGACTGACACAGCTGCAGCATCGACTGACACAGCTGCAGCATCCTTCCCGCCTCACACTGCCTTGGATGGAACTGTCATCATGGTGGAAGCTAGGTTGAACACAAGAATGGGATAACTGGAGCTCATGAGTTTACTGGTTTTTAAACCAGTAATTCTTTTATGAACATGAATTGTATTGTCACCAGGCACAAGTGTTTTTTGAATCTCTGACAGTTTTAATCCTAAAGTATAATAGAGCTTGTCATATAGACCCAGTTGTTTTATGAACAAAAATGAATGAATGAAAAGCCAGGAACATATCCATTGCCATTCTTCATGCATCAGTAACTGTTGACAGTTGCATCCTGCATCCTGCTTCAGTAATCATATACCTTCAAAATAAAGTCCACTTCATATCTCAGATGGCCATGTTTTGTTTTGTGTGGCAGTGAATCAATGGTAAGATCTGTATTTGTATACTGCGGAGGCATTCAAAAATATATCAACACTCATCGATAAAAGTTGACAAACTTTTATCGCCTCCTGTTTATTTGATTCAAAAGACATAGGGTGAGATTCTCCATGTGACCAATCAAAGGAGATAGGAAATGCAAGATTTAAACTTTCTCTTCAGTGTTTTTGAAGCAGAAATTTTGTTTACCCTTAGCACTGATGTTTCGAATGGTGTATACAAAATTCAGAATAGTGTAAGTGTAGATTGTGAAATTTGATACACCATGTTATTTCTTTTAATGATTGGGCCATATACCTTTGACTATGCACCTTCACCATCATGGGTTTGTTATATTTTACCATTAAATGTGAAAACAAACAACCCAGAGTGTGTTTGGATTTTTAAAAACGAATCATACCAGTCTGCTTGCTGTGAGGATGCTCTGACCGATGAGAGCTCAGATTACACTACACTATAAAATCGGCATTAGTCCGGACTAGTACAAGCAGACACGACGCACATGCACACATAAGTCAATGCCATTTCAGATGGTAGATATGCATAAATTTTAGTTGTCACAATGACAATGGGAGTTGTCACTGTGCCCTGACAAAATTTGTTGCTCGTGGGTTTTCACTTTAGTCAATAACTCAATAAAATTTGAACTTCTGTCCATTCTGATTTCTAACACATTTTCAAAACTTTCTTTTATGTATTACGAAGCCATCTATTAGGGGTGGACATTGGTAGCCCCATGGGTTAAGTATCCATCTCATAGGTTTGAATCCCATATTCACCCTATTGATGTTCCGAGGTTTGGTAGCACCAGAGCCTTGCTCATGGATTTCACCAAAGTGAAAAAAGTTTAAGTCCTGTTATCAGGTTAATCTAACAATTTGAGGTTATCTTCCCAAATTCTGCTCGAATTGGAAATATTTGTGAAAGATCAAAACAAATGTTATGATTTGGTAATACAGGAGTGGCTAGGTTTTTATTCATTGGCAGCCTCAGCAACTTTGATTCAAGCCTCCCAAACCCATAGATCAGTCGATCAAAGGTGAAATGGGGTTCATCCTTATCCGTATGTTCAAGATTATTGGACGTGCATGCGTGCGCTTGTGCTAGTCCAGACTAATGCAGATTTTATAGTTCTAGTGACCCGTGAAGATCCGGGGTAGTTTAGGTTTTCAAATACCCATGCTTGCCATAAAAGGCGACTATGGTTGTCCTAAGAGGCGACTAACGGGATCAGGTGGTCGGACTTGCTGACTTGGTTGATGCAATCACTGGATTGTCTGGTCTATTATTTACAGACCGCTGTCATATAGCTGGAATATTGCTAAGTGCAACTTTAAACAACAAACAGACAAACAATTATAGTTCTAGCCCACTCAGATGCCATGCTGCAGTTAACACAATTACCCCACTCAGACACAGTATACTGACTCCGAGCTGACCAGTCCTTGTTTAAGCCCCTTAATGCCGAGCATCAGGCAGGGTTACAACAAGTACAATCTTTCAACATCTTTTGGTGTGACGTGGCCTGGGATCGAACCCTCAAACCTTCCGATCCCTGGGCAGATGCTCTACCACTAGACCACTGAGATGGTCACCTCCTGGTTTAAACACAGAAACAAATGTATATTGATTATAAAAAAATGAAACTGATAACTGTTTTCTGGTTTCCATGATGACTCATGTTTCTCCTAGCAATAGGGAAACACATTGCTTGCCTTTCTTGCTGTCTCCAGTATCTTTAAAACAAATATCCAAATTTGAATCTCAAAACCAGCAACATAACTGTCAACATGAAACCGATGGACACAAGGCCAATGTGAAAGAGGTTATATATCCTGTTCGCAATAGCAAACTAGAACCCGAGTCGCCTCCAGACAGATGTATATATATCTTAAGTCTTTGAATGGCATTTGACCCCTGAAGATCTGGGGTAGAATAGGTCTTCAGCAACCCATGTTTGCTGTAAAAGGCGACTATGCTTGTCGTAAGAGGTGACTAACGGGATCGGGTGGTCAGGCTCGCTTGGTTGATGCATGTCATCATATCCCAATTGCGTGGATCGATGCTCATGGTGTTAATCACTGGATTGTCTGGTCCAGACTTGATTATTTACAGACCGCTGTCATATAGCTGTAATACTGCTGGGTGCATCCTTAAATAACAAACAAACAAACAAATTGAATGGCATTTAGAAGTGATACACATAAGGAAGATAATTTATGGATGTCAACTTCTTTACAATGAGGATCAAAACGTTTCGGAGTTTATACTTTCTCCTTCATCATTCTTACCTGTTATGTTCCTCCTAATAAAGAAGTTGGCATCTATATAATCTCTTCCTTTTAGATCTCTGGTTGACTGATGAGAAAAAGGCACACAATTGTACAATCTCCTATTTATCTGCCTTGGTCAAAACCAGTGAAGGTGACCTCAACATAACTGTGGGCAGACATTGTTTGTGACTCTTCACTTGTCTCGAAAGGTTAGAAAGGCACAAACAGTGGCTTTGAAGGGCATTTATATCTATGCAGGATAAAGCACTTTGTGCTTGAGTTAATGAACGTTGGAATTGAGTGATGTAAGTTTTTCTAAACTTTAAACACGCATCTGTTTATCTTACTATCTAACCCTTGTTAAGCACAGAAGATAAAAGTTTACCTGCTAAGATGTTTTCTGGACAAGCAAAATGATTCTCCAAGTGATTACAGCATGCACTCGAAAGTAGAAGGCACGAGCACGGGTACGTCGCTGACAAACCTAGAAACATAATCGGGGCGAACCGGGATTCGAACCAAGAATCATAGGTTTCTGTGTCCAAGGGACGCAACTCTACACAACGAATTGCAGCGCCTTAGAAAACTTGCCCCCGTCTTATACGTGCCAACTAGAACTATCTCACCCTGTTTCACGAAGGTATTGATGACAGAGACGAGCATTGCTATCTCATGCTTCCCCTGATTAATTCAAATCTGTCATCGACCTAATTTACAACCCATATTGCGTTGAAGTATTCCGATATCAAAGGACGTCAAAAGACACATCGCTCTCGATCCGTCATTCGTGTTTTAAAAAGAAACACAAGTCAGTACCCGCCACAGACACTATTTGCACAAAGAAGTAAATGTTTGTCGCCTGGCGCCTCAAAATAGTACTCCAGCCATACGACGACGGCCTGTAAACAAACCAGACAATCCAAGTCATCGATGGACAATAAAATCCAATGAGACGACAGCCCACATATACTGTTTTTGTTCAAACTGTAAACGATATTAATTACGTCTAATTTTGAATTACATCTATTGTGTACAAGTTCAGAGATTCTGCTGTTTATTAGTAAAGAAAAACGTTTCAGAAATATGTTCGCATTGCAACACAGTCGGGGGTCAGTTTATTATTAATCTTTTATGAGTTACTGTGCGGGTTGGGGTAACTCTACGAGGGCTCCTCTACCAGAGCTGCTTTCCAACCGTTCAGATCTCAGTTACCTTAGTGAAGGTATAAACAATAAACAGGTAATGCAATAACTCTGAATATAAATAAACACCTCGAAACAGACCTCTGCTTACAGTGTTCGATGGCTCGGACGCATTGAAGCAACGTAAGTGATATGTGTGTATTCCCAAAAGTAAAATGAGAACATTTTTGGCCTTACAAAATCTACTCAAATATTGTTTCCTTATTTTGAAATTCTTTCTTGTAATACTTTTATCAAGTCACTTAATCAAGAACAAATAATTGTGTTTCTTAAATGAAGGATCTAAATAAATCAGCTCAAATATTGTCACCTATTGATACCATTAACTGCTTGTAATAAACCTATTACCACGTTACTACTACTACTACTACTACTACTACTACTACTACTACTACTACTACTACTTTACATTTGTTTAAAGACACACCTGATCATTGGAGAAAAGCTCCGTGGCACTTATTTTGAAACACTGTCTTTCAATACATGTTAAATGTCATCTAATCAAGCAACGATGATTATGTTTCTTAAATGAATTGGGGCGGTCGGGAAGCCTAGTGGTTAAAGCGTTCGCTCGTCACGCCGAAGAGCCGGGTTCGATTCCCGTCATGGATACAATGTGTGAAGCCCATTTCTGGTGTCCCCCGCCGTGGCATTGCTGTAATATTGCTAGCAGCGGCGTAAAACCATACTCACTTACTCCCAAAATTTATGATCAGAGCGTCGCTTACCAGATCAGGAAAGTGACATTCGGAATGTGTTTCCAATATCATTAAAATCAGTTCTTAGTTTTCGCTACCGCTAAACAAATTTCTTTTAGCGATAGCGAGAACTAAGATCTGATTTTAATTAGATTGAATGTGTTCTTCATCATACAACCTTGAAAAGGTCGACACAAGGTATTCATGGAGTTATACCCAACCCGCATAGTAACTAATAATAGCTTACGTGGCACAGTCATAGTTCCTGGAACTAGCGCTTCTCTGTGAGAGGTGTTTTCAAGTAGTGCAATCTTGGATATAGATACACACCGCGAAACAGACCACGGCTTATACAGTTGGCTGGAAGGACCCACAGGAACAAGGTATGTAATAAAACTGCCGGGCATAAGAAAGTATACCACTGAAACTTGGAGTTGACCAAAATATCGAAAACGTTACCAAAATGTTACTAGGCTGATAACAGTCGCCGAAACACCGGGATCCTTATCTCTAAAACACAACTGTGTCATCCGTATCATATACATAATCATCGAATACCCATTTCCTTTTGGTTTAAACTTTTAGCAAATCAAACAAGAATGTATACTTTCTTTGGCCCGGCAATCTGTGTGTGAGGTTAAATACAGTCATTGGTCATGGGTTTCATTCAAACTTGGCCCCACGTTGTTGGTTTGATAGGTGAGGTGAAATAGAGAATCTCACCCGAGTGTCTTTTAATATCAAATCATCTTCCCGAGGCAAGTGAGTTAACTGACTTTAAAAGTCCAGTTTCCACCCTTGCCGAACTAGGCTGGTATTATGGAGTTACATTTTGGCTGGACTAACGAGTCTATGCATAGTCCAATCAAAAGCGCGCACCGAAATCGAAATCCGGTTCGTAAAGTGTCATGCAGATTTCGGTCGACTGCAGGATTTGCAAAGCATGTGCACCGCTAACTCGTTGTCTGCAGATATTTTCTAAATCTTTTCATGTTTTTAATCAAGGTGCTCAGGTGATTTGATGCACTTCGCGATGTAAGACTCGTTTTATCACAATATAGATCTTGATTAGCGATCAGATGGTCTTGATTGGGCGCCACCGTTTTGTTTGAAACAAATACAAGTGATACGAGAGGTTGAATCTGATTGGTCAATAGGAGAGGCATAGAAAGGACATAACTCGTAATAGCCACTAGTGGCGCTACGATCGAGCCCAGGAATTCCAGCCTAGTTCGGCAAGGGTGGAAACTGGACTTTTAAAGTCAGTTAACTCTCTTGCCTAGGGAAGATGATATCAAATATATCAACACGAGTTGAAAAAAGTGGAAAAATTCCGAGGCTTGCCGAGGATATTTGCCACTTGTATCAACAAGTGTTGATATATTTGATATCAAAAGACACGAGGGTGGGATGATAAATATAGTCTCACCCTCGTGTCTTTGATTGCACTTATATAGCGACGTTTCAATTGTAGACAAAAAATAGCAGTGTCTTCAATGTAAAAAGTACTGCTAACAGCTTCAGTAGCAGAGCCATTAGTGATGTCATTTGATTGTGACGTCATGGTAACCAGTGATGTCACAATCGTCTGCAAAGTACAGTGTAGATATCGCTTGACCTCATCAAAGCGGCATCCCTTGTGGGAGCCAGTTTTGGATGATAAATGGGGTTTAAGGTCCCGTCCAAGATTATCGCGCGTATCTGTGTGTATGGCTGCTTGTAATAGTCCGGACTGATGCCGATTTATAGTGCTAGCTCACTTAGATACCATGCTGCAGTTTAACATGAATACCCCACTCAGACACAGTATACTGACTCCGAGCCGACCAGTCCTTGTTTTAGCCCCTTAATGCCGAGCGTCAGTCAGGGTAACAACAAGTACCATCTTTTAACGTCTTTTGGTATGACGCGGCCGGGGATCGAACCCCGGACCTTCCGTTCTCCGGCCGGACGATCTACCACTAGACCACGGAGGCGGTCTGTTGGTTTAATAAAAGCTACCTGTTCATTTTTTTCATTCTTCTCCAAACTGACACTCTAGGGCATGGTAATATTGAAAACTTCAAGACATTAAGTGCTTTTACCGCTTTAAATAAAAATATAGAAGGAAATCGCAAACGTATGCACAAATAGTGTATCAACGTAAAGACAAGTTGGATTCAATATGGCGGCCATCGAAGACATATTTCAACATGTTTTCCGATATCTTTGCGGTGTGGTGCATGGACACAATGTATGTAAAGTTTCTACTTCTTGTAAGTAAAGAAAAGCATGTGAAGACATGTGTTCGTTTTGAAACACGACAGGGGCAGTTTTATTACCTATTATTAAGCTTTTATTAGTTACTGTGCGAGTTGGGTGTAACTCCGCGAACCAGCGATTCTCAAGGAGAGTTGTTTTTTAACAAGAACGCTGTTACCTCAGTGCTGGTATATAGAGAATCTCACCCGAGTGTCTTTTGATATCAAATATATCAACACGAGTTGATGAAAGTGGAAAAATTCCGAGGCTTGCCGAGGACTTTTGTCACTTTTATCAACGAGTGTTGATATATTTGATATCAAAAGACACTCGGGTGAGATTTTATTTATCATACATCATTCTTTCAACTTTTTCAATTTGTCGACAGTAATTAGCAGTGTCTTCAGTGTAATAAGTACTGCAAACAGCTTCAGTAGCAGAGCCATTAGTGATGTCATTTGATTGTGACGTCATGGTAACCAGTGACGTCAAAATCGTCTGCATAGCATTGTGATGTAATTCCATTGCAGCGATATCTACAGTGTAGATATCGCTTGATCTCATCCAAGCGATATCTCCTGTGGGAGCCAGTATTGGATGATAAAAACAGTAAACAACCAATGTGTAGGAGCAGAAGTTGTTCAACAGACAATGTCAATATAGGAAGCAAAGTCAGCAACTACTTTCATGGAACTAATTATAAAAAAGTCATGCAAAAACGTTTATGACATCTTTGGTCCGGCAACTCTGGCACTATTGAACTATTGGTTTCAGAGACAATTGCTGCTAAAGGCCGATTTTAATTAATTAATCTTAAATTATCTGCGCTTAGTCCCGAGACCTATGAGGTTTTTACATGCCCTAGTTTACTTTGCTCCACATGATGTTTGGACAGATCCTGGCCACTGGTTGATACAAAAAACGTCGGATAATAAATAATAGTGAGTGAGTATGTTTTACGCCGCTTTTAGCAATATTCCAGCAATATCAGATATTGTCTATCTCTCGCTCCAATGGGATAAACATTTTTAAACGGAAGAAACTTTACACGGCCCGTGAGGAGTACTGCCATACAATCTACGAGGGGCGTTCAATAAGTTTTGCAACTTCAATAAAAGACCAAGTCGCAGAATATCTTTTGCACTTTTATTTTTCTATATAATCTCCATTCACCTCAATACTCTTATTCCATATGTCCTTCAAGCTTTTAATACCACTTTTATAGAAATCCGCAGATTGGCCCTCTAACCACACCTCTGTGGCAGCCTTTATGTCCTCGTCATCCTGGAAGCGTCTTCAACGTAGGGCAGATTTCATTTGCCGGAACAGGAAATAGTCACTGGGGGGCTAAGTACAGCCCAGACTTAGCCCCCAGACTATAAAATCACTGAATTCACCCATGTTACATTAGTGTCCTGCCTTTGGATCTTTGGCTGGACTTTCAAACAAAAAGATCGTCAAAACTTTTCCTTCCCATGCGAACATTTTTTGATAAGACTTTTTCATCCTCAATTTCAAATTCTTTTATTTGGATTGTTGTATGCTCCCTGCATGTCGCGACGGAGAATCCAGTCTTTCGCCCAACAACTTCTCTTTTCTTCGCTGTGGCTTTGCGGTCTTCGTAACATGATATCGTACAGCATGTGACTGCTGCCAAGTCTGCTTCAGACATGTTGATACCATGGAAACCAAATACCGCGAGGGGCAATAGACAAATAGCAGGTTATGAGTCATACTCCATGCAAGTGTACTAAAGGAAGAGCTCAAGTCTATTCAGCACTACCAGTTGATGTTAGCTCAAACTATGACGAAGTGAAAAAGGCCATTTTGAAGGCTTCTGAGTTGGTCGTCATTCAGGCTGTATGATTACTTGGTTACGCACAAGGGTGGTGTCAGGCTGTGTGATTACTTGGTTACGCACAAGGGTGGTGTCAGGCTGTGTGATTACTTGGTTACGCACAAGGGTGGTGTCAGGCTGTGTGATTACTTGGTTACGCACAAGGGTGGTGTCAGGCTGTGTGATTACTTGGTTACGCACAAGGGTGGTGTCAGGCTGTATGATTACTTGGTTACGCACAAGGGTGGTGTCAGGCTGTGTGATTACTTGGTTACGCACAAGGGTGGTGTCAGGCTGTGTGATTACTTGGTTACGCACAAGGGTGGTGTCAGGCTGTATGATAACTTGGTTACGCAAAAGGGTGGTGTCAGGCTGTGTGATTACTTGGTTACGCAAAAGGGTGGTGTTGGTCTGTGTGATTACTTGGTTACGCACAAGGGTGGTGTCAGGCTGTGTGATTACTTGGTTACGCACAAGGGTGGTGTCAGGCTGTATGATAACTTGGTTACGCAAAAGGGTGGTGTCAGGCTGTGTGATTACTTGGTTACGCAAAAGGGTGGTGTTGGTCTGTGTGATTACTTGGTTACGCACAAGGGTGGTGTCGGGCTGTGTAATTACTTGGTTACGCAAACGGGTGGTTACAGGCTGTGTGATTACTTGGTTACACACAAGGATGGCGTCGGGCTGTGTGATTACTTGGTTACACACAAGGGTGGTGTCAGGCTGTGTGATTACTTGGTTACACACAAGGATGGCGTCAGGCTATGTGATTACTTGGTTACGCACAAGGGTGGTGTCAGGCTGTGTGATTACTTGGTTACGCACAAGGGTGGTGTCAGGCTGTATGATTACTTGGTTACGCACAAGGGTGGTGTCAGGCTGTGTGATTACTTAGTTACGCACAAGGGTGGTGTCGGGCTGTGTGATTTCTTAGTTACGCACAAGGGTGGTGTCAGCCTGTGTGATTACTTGGTTACGCACAAGGGTGATGTCGGGCTGTGTGATTACTTGGTTACGCACAAGGGTGGTGTCAGGCTGTGTGATTACTTCGTTACGCACAAGGATGGTGTCAGGCTGTGTGATTACTTGGTTACACACAAGGGTGGTGTCAGGCTGTATGATTACTTGGTTACGCACAAGGGTGGTGTCAGGCTGTATCATTACTTCGTTACGCACAAGGGTGGTGTCGGGCTGTGTGATTACTTGGTTACACACAAGGGTGGTGTCAGGCTGTGTGATTACTTGGTTACGCACAAGGGTGGTGTCAGGCTGTATCATTACTTCGTTACGCACAAGGGTGGTGTCAGGCTGTGTGATTACTTGGTTACGCACAAGGGTGGTGTCAGGCTGTATGATTACTTGGTAACGCACAAGGGTGGTGTCAGCCTGTGTGATTACTTGGTTACGCAAAAGGGTGGTGTCGGGCTGTGTGATTACTTGGTTACACACAAGGATGGCGTCAGGCTGTGTGATTACTTGGTTACGCACAAGGGTGGTGTCAGGCTGTGTGATTACTTGGTTACGCACAAGGGTGATGTCAGGCTGTGTGATTACTTGGTTACGCACAAGGGTGGTGTCAGGATGTGTGATAACTTGGTTATGCACAAGGGTAGTGTCGGGCTGTATGATAACTTGGTTACGCACAAGGGTGGTGTCGGGCTGTGTGATTTCTTAGTTACGCACAAGGGTGGTGTCTGGCTGTATGATTACTTGGTTACGCACAAGGATGGTTTCGGGCTGTATCATTACTTGGTTACGCACAAGGGTGGTGTCAGGCTGTGTGATTACTTGGTTACACACAAGGATGGCGTCAGGCTGTGTGATTACTTGGTTACGCACAAGGGTGGTGTCAGGCTGTGTGATTACTTGTTTACGCACAAGGGTGATGTCAGGCTGTGTGATTACTTAGTTACGCACAAGGGTGGTGTCGGGCTGTGTGATTTCTTAGTTACGCACAAGGGTGGTGTCTGGCTGTATGATTACTTGGTTACGCACAAGGATGGTTTCGGGCTGTATCATTACTTGGTTACGCACAAGGGTGGTGTCAGGCTGTGTGATTACTTGGTTACACACAAGGATGGCGTCAGGCTGTGTGATTACTTGGTTACGCACAAGGGTGGTGTCAGGCTGTGTGATTACTTGGTTACGCACAAGGGTGATGTCAGGCTGTGTGATTACTTGGTTACGCACAAGGGTGGTGTCAGGCTGTGTGATAACTTGGTTATGCACAAGGGTAGTGTCGGGCTGTATGATAACTTGGTTACGCACAAGGGTGGTGTCGGGCTGTGTGATTACTTAGTTACGCACAAGGATGGTGTCGGGCTGTGTGATTTCTTAGTTACGCACAAGGGTGGTGTCTGGCTGTATGATTACTTGGTTACGCACAAGGGTGGTTTCGGGCTGTATCATTACTTGGTTACGCACAAGGGTGGTGTCAGGCTGTGTGATTACTTCGTTACGCACAAGGATGGTGTCGGGCTGTGTGATTACTTGGTTACGGACAAGGGTGGTGTCGGGCTGTGTGATTACTTGGTTAAGCACTAGGGTGGTGTCGGGCGGCTGTGTGATATTTGGTTAAGCACTAGGGTGGTGTCAGGCTGTGTGATTACTTCGTTACGCACTAGGGTGGTGTCGGGCTGTGTGATTACTTGGTTACGCACAAGGGTGGTGTCGGGCGGCTGTGTGATTACTCGGTTAAGCACTAGGGTGGTGTCGGGCTGTGTGATTACTTGTTTACGCACAAGGGTGGTGTCGGGCTGTGTGATTACTTGGTTAGGCACAATGGTGGTGTCGGGCTATGTGATTACTTGGCTACGCACAAGGGTGGTGTCTGGCTGTGTGATAACTTGATTACGCACAAGGGTGGTGTCAGGCTGTGTGATTACATGGTAACGCACAAGGGTGGTGTCGGGCTGTGTGATTACTTGGTTTATCACAAGGGTGGTGTCGGGCTGTATGATTACTTGATTACGCACAACTGTGGTATCGGGCTGTATCATTACTTGGTTACGCACAAGGGGGATGTCAGGCTGTGTGATTACTTGGTTCGGCACAGGGGTGGTGTCGGGCTGTATGATTACTTGGTTACGCACAAGGGTGGTGTCAGGCTGTGTGATTACTTGGTTACGCACAAGGGTGGTGTCAGGCTGTGTGATTACTTGGTAACGCACAAGGGTGGTGTCGGGCTGTATGATTACTTGGTTACGCACAAGGGTGGTGTCAGGCTGTGTGATTACTTGGCTACGCACAGGGGTGGTGTCGGGCTGTATGATTACTTGGTTACACACAAGGGTGGTGTCAGGCTGTGTGATTACTTGGCTACGCACAGGGGTGGTGTCGGGCTGTATGATTACTTGATTACGCACAACTGTGGTATCAGGCTGTATCATTACTTGGTTACGCGTAAGGGTGATGTGTGATTACTTGGCTACGCACAAGGGTGGTGTCGGGCTGTATGATTACTTGGTAACGCACAAGGGTGGTGTCAGGTTGTGTGATTACACTCCCAGGAATGGTCACGGTACTTTAGGTCAGGCCAGTCAGGTATTTCGGATGTGGAAACGTCAGATACTTTGGTTCACTTGGTGTCAAGAACTCTCCCAGTTCCAGTGTCGGTAATGGCGAGGCGGGTTTCAAGGTTTGGCTCATCCGTGTGCTGGTATTGAGAAAGGCACTTTAGACGTTCTTGGAATAGTTCCATCATGTGCTGTGACTCGGACTGTGGTTAACAAGATCTCCGAGGAGATTTCAGACGTGAATTACGTCATTTATAATAATAATAATAATAATAATAATAATAATAATAATAATAATAATAATGATCCATTTATATGGCGCTGTACTCCATGCATCAGCATGCTCTAAGACATTATTATCCCGGCCAATGGATCACTGTACACTGTACCACATTCTCAGCTTCCTGGGGAGTATACAATCACATTGCTATCTCACCCTACCGGGTACCCATTCACTGCTGGGTGGACAGAGGCACATTTCGAACAAAGTCACTTGCCCAAGGAGACACCACCTGTGTTACATATGCTTCAGTGTGGGGCAGGACCGAAGCCCTAGAAACTCTCAGGAGCCAAGCTGCCGAAGCGCGGTCACCCATCCAAGGACTCTCTGCGACCGACGTTGGTTAACTTCACCTGATTTGTGACCTGTGCGCTGTGCATAGGCCCACGTGCCACCACGTCTTCTAGGTGCTTTCTTTAAAGTAGAGTTTCGAGTGATACTGCTCATTTTCAGGGCACCGAGGGCGGTCGGGTAGCCTAGTGGTTAAAGCGTTCGCTCGTCACGCCGAAGACCCGGGTACGATTCCCGTCATGGTTACAATGTGTGAAGCCCATTTCTGGTGTCCCCCGCCTTGACATTGCTGTAATATTGCTAGAGGCGGCGTTAAACCATACTCACTTACTCCTAAATGAATGATCAGAGGGTAGCTGGAAAGTGTTATTCGGATAATTCAGGGCACCGACCCTGTTTCACTTTCGTGCGCAGCTGACTTCTTCGTCGCATGGTGACGATCCTGAAATATATGTACTTAGGAGTGAGACATGTTTTAGACAGAATATTTTTGTCAGTTTTCGCTTTTGACACACTGCAGATGTAAATTGTTTATGTGGCTGATAACTTGTAATGTAAGTATGAAAACTATAGTTAATGTCCAAATCGTTGCTTTTTTCTTACACTTGCAAGTGTTTTACCTCTGCCATGTTCAACTACACAAGAATGGCTGAGGGACAGAGAAGGAATCAACAGAAAATCTATGAGCAAGTCTGTGACTCGACATAATTGTTTTGTCATATGTTTATGCTAATTGTGTCCACATCTCAGCTTGGGCCAAAGACTTGGACTTGAAAATAGTAAAATATAATAATTTGCATATATTTAAGACATATTACAATTTTATTTAATTTCATTATTATATTGTATTTTGTTCTTCCTAGGTTTCGAACAGGAAGTATGAGTGCTCCCGTGTATGAACGTGAACAGTAAGTACAGATAAGCAATGAATGTCTTGTTGTGATTGGAATTTTAAACCTATTGTTTCTAAAAAGAAATCCAAGCCCCATCGACTTGCCTGCATAGCATCGGAGATGCCTACATGTAATCAAGATGTTATTTAATTTGATCAGTCACTTTCATTTGGACATTTTCATGCACATCATGAAGTGTATATAGAGGAACATATCTAACTAATAGAAGTTTTATCTGATCAATAGTACATATAAGTTTTAACAGTTTACATTGTATGAGTGGCGCGTGAGTAATAACCAACAGACGCTTCAAAGCAATGATTTAAAGAAGTGACAGTACTAAATGTACTTTTTAGATAAGTTAAATAAATCCCACCTGAACACAAGCGTGATACATGATTAGTCGTTATCTTTCAGGGGTGCTAAGGGCTCTTGTATCACCGTTACTATGGAGGTGGAGAACAGCCTCGTGCCGCCGACTTTCAAGTCCTCTGTCAAGCTGAAGATGCCTCAGAGAGAACTTATCTACTTCCTCCAGGAGGCCGTCGCCAGAGACCAGCATTTCCAGTAAGATGACTGCTTCGCTAAAGCATGTCTTTCCCAATCCTCTGTTTCTAGTTCAGTTCAGTCTCCACCTTGTGTGTTAGGCATATTCGTCTGTGAGACATCACCTTCTTCTGGCAGACAAGAACTTATCTGTAAGACTTTGCCGTTTGTTAGACTGTACGTTCTCTTTCCGCACATTGTTCTCAACAACACCTTCTTCTGTTACGAAACACCTTCCTCTGTTATACAACGCCTCCTCCTTAATACTTACCCACTCACTTCATCTAGCCTACAACACCTTCCCCTGTCAGACATCACCCTCCCCTGTCAGACACCACCCTCTCCTGTCAGACATCACCTTCCCCTGTCAGACATCACCCTCCCCTGTCAGACATCACCTTCCCCTGTCAGACATCACCTTCCCCTGTCAGACACCACCCTCCCCTGTCAGACATCACCTGCCTCTGTCAGACATCACCTTCCCCTGTCAGACAACACCCTCCCCTGTCAGACATCACCTTCCCCTGTCAGACACCACCCTCCCCTGTCAGACATCACCTTCCCCTGTCAGACACCACCCTCCCCTGTCAGACATCACCTTCCCCTGTCAGACACCACCCTCCCCTGTCAGACATCACCCTCCCCTGTCAGACACCACCCTCCCCTGTCAGACATCACCTTCCCCTGTCAGACACCACCCTCCCCTGTCAGACACCACCCTCCCCTGTCAGACACCACCCTCCCCTGTCAGACACCACCCTCCCCTGTCAGACATCACCCTCCCCTGTCAGACACCACCCTCCCCTGTCAGACACCACCCTCCCCTGTCAGACACCACCCTCCCCTGTCAGACATCACCTTCCCCTGTCAGACATCACCCTCCCCTGTCAGACACCACCCTCGCCTGTCAGACACCACCCTCCCCTGTCAGACATCACCTTCCCCTGTCAGACACCACCCTCCCCTGTCAGACACCACCCTCCCCTGTCAGACATCACCCTCCCCTGTCAGACATCACCTTCCCCTGTCAGACACCACCTTCCCCTGTCAGACATCACCTTCCCCTGTCAGACATCACCTTCCCCTGTCAGACATCACCTTCCCCTGCCAGACATCACCTTCCCCTGTCAGACATCACCTTCCCCTGTCAGGCATCACCTTCCCCTGTCAGACACCACCTTCCCCTGTCAGACATCACCTTCCCCTGTCAGACATCACCTTCCCCTGTCAGACACCACCTTCCCCTGTCAGGCATCACCTTCCCCTGTCAGGCATCACCCTCCCCTGTCAGACACCACCCTCCCCTGTCAGACATCACCTTCCCCTGTCAGACATCACCTTCCCCTGTCAGACACCACCTTCCCCTGTCAGACATCACCTTCCCCTGTCAGACATCACCTTCCCCTGTCAGACATCACCCTCCCTTGTCAGACATCACCTTCTGTCAGACGTCACCTTCCCCGTCACCTTCCCCTGTCAGACATCACCTTCCTCGGTCAGACACCACCTTCCCCAAATGCTATAAAATGCTCTTCTTGCTCTATTTCAAACATACTTCTTCCAAGTTCATTTGTGTGACAACACGCATTGGATAGATAATGATTGTCCAAATAATCAAGACAAAACATATACCGACTTAAGTGGCATGCAAACGTTCCATAAAGTAATCGTTCTTCTTGTTAAGTTTCACAGCTGAGTATTTTGCGACACCCGCCGTGACGGGATATATGGTGCTGAGCATGAACAAGTTAGCTGGAAGCACCAAGGACAAGACCTACTGGCAGATCCTGGACAATGGGAAACCTACACCTTCAGGCACGTATCTTTATGTGTGCGTGTGCGTGTGCGTGTGCGTGTGCGCGTGCAATATGTGAGTGAGTGAGTGCGCGCGCATTTTAGTAGGCTTTTATACGACTCCTTTATACGCTACAAATATTGCATATAGAAGGATTGATTCACACGTAAACTGACCATGGTGTTTCTACGTTGCAGGTGTCAGTGAGTACGTACCAAAAGATGGGTCTTTCATTGCCTTCAAGTTCACCACGTACAAGACAGACGATTGTACCACGGGCACCACGCCGTAGACAAGGGTTGAGATCATCAAGCTACAAGACATGGACATCTGTCCGGATATTGTCGTATCTCTGTTTAACCATGTACTTGGAATCACAGTAGGATCTGTCGGACATTGCCGTATCTCTGTTTTACCACGTTACTAGAAATAAAGGCCTAAAATGGTTTCGTAACATATCGCAATTCGAATACTCATTTCAAGGATTTGTTATTCCCCCATTGAGAGGCAAGGAACTTGACAGTACAGGTCGATATTGTTCGCAATAACCCGTATCTATACTGTCACACTAAGTGTCCATATTGTGAACAACACCCTCGGTGTACAATGTCAAAGAAATGAGCGATATTGTGAACACTACACTGAGTAAACAATGTCAAAGAAATGAGCAAAAATGTGATCAAAACACTGGCTATACAATGTCAAAGAAATGAGCGATATTATGAGATAAACACTGGGTATACAATGTCAAACAAATGAGCGATATTGTGAGCAAAACACTGGGTATACAATGTCCATAAAATGAGCGATATTGTGAGCAAAACACTGGGTATACAATGTCAAACAAATGAGCGATATTATGAGATAAACACTGGGTATACAATGTCAAACAAATGAGCGATATTGTGAGCAAAACACTGGGTATACAATGTCCATAAAATGAGCGATATTGTGAGCAAAACACTGGGTATACAATGTCAAACAAATGAGCGATATTATGAGATAAACACTGGGTATACAATGTCAAACAAATGAGCGATATTGTGAGCAAAACACTGGGTATACAATGTCAAACAAATGAGCGATATTATGAGATAAACACTGGGTATACAATGTCAAACAAATGAGCGATATTGTGAGCAAAACACTGGGTATACAATGTCCATAAAATGAGCGATATTGTGAGCAAAACACTGGGTATACAATGTCAAACAAATGAGCGATATTATGAGCAAAACAATGGGTATACAATGTCAAACAAATGAGAGATATTGTGAGCAAAACACTGGGTATACAATGTCAAACAAATGAGCGATATTATGAGCAAAACAAGGGGTATACAATGTCAAACAAATGAGCGATGTTGCAAACGCTACACTGGGTATACAATGTCAAACAAATAATGAGCGATATTGTGAGCAAACCACTGGGTATACAATGTAAAACAAATTAGTGATATTGTAGGCAAAACACTTGGTATACAATGTGAAACAAATGAGCGATATTATGAACGCTACACTGGGTACACAATAACAAACAAATGAGCGATATTGTGAGCAAACACTGGGTATACAATGTCAAACAAATGAGCGATATTGTGAACACTACACAAGGTATACAATGTCAAACAAATGAGCGATATTATGAACCCTACACTGGGTATACAGTGTTAAACAAATGAGCGATATTGTGAGCAAAACACTGGGTATCCAATGTCAAACAAATGAGCGATATTATGAACACTACAATGGGTATACAATGTCAAACAAGTGAGCGATATTATGAACCCTACACTGGGTATACAGCGTTAAACAAATGAGCGATATTGTGAGCAAAACACTGGGTATCCAATGTCAAACAAATGAGCGATATTATGAACACTACAATGGGCATTCAATGTCAAACAAATGAGCGATATTGTGAACACTACATTGGGTATACAATGTCAAACAAATGAGTGATATTGCAAACGCTACACTGGGTATACAATGTTAAACATATGAGCGATATTGCAAACACTGCACTGGGTATACAATGTCAAACAAATGAGCGATATTGTGAATATACCACTGGGTTTAGAGTGTCAAACAAATGAGCGATATTGCAAACACTACACTGGGTATACAATGTCAAACAAATGAGTGATATTGCAAACGCTACACTGGGTATACAATGTTAAACAAATAAGCGATATTATGAACCCTACACTGGGTAAACAATTTGAAACAAATGAGAGATATTTCGAATAAACCACTGGGTATAGAGTGTCAAACAAATGAGCGATATTGTGAGCAAAACACTGGGTATACAATGGCAAACAATTTAGTTATATTTGGAACACTACACTGGTTTACAATGTCAAACAAATAAGCGATATTATGAACCCTACACTTGGTATACATTGTCAAACAAATGAGCGATATTGTGACGTCACGTTTGTTTACACTCTCCTACCCAGAGTTCCATTCGGCCAGCATAGCACTTCGCCACATCTTACACATTGCATATGTTTTTCATCTGTTTCGTTTTTGACAAGTCTACACGTCCAGATAAACAAATGTCGTAGAATGTTAACTCTCATTGGGAAAATATCCTAAAACGGGAATGTTTTTATCCATTTGCGCAGTTATCCTTTGTTTACACTGTCTGTACGGCTCCACGTGCTGTCATCAAAGCCCTACAGAGAGCTTGCGATATGGTAACTTTGATGTATTAATATAAACTGACCTCCAAAAGAAACTTTACCACAGTTTGAAATCACTCTTGCTCAAAAACAACAAAACATACATGCATGAAGTAAAGTGTATTGAGAAGATCAATATATCAACGTAATCAACACTGAAAATGACAATCATACCGCGACCGAGAATGACGTCAGAGCCCCCCAAACATGGGTTCGGTACAAAACTCGAGCTTTCAGAATCATGGACAATAGGCAGAGTACATAAACAATCGTTCACGTTCAATAACAAGTCATTAGTTGCGTGTGTGACCACAGAATACCTCAATACACGAAAAAACTCTTCGACGCACAGAAAAAGTCAGTCGTCTGATGAGGTCACGTGGGATTTGACGCCATTCTTCTTGGAGGGCCAAGATCAGTTCTTGCCGGTTGTCTGGAGAGTTTGGTCGTTGTCGAACACGACGATCCATCAAGTCCCAGAGGTGTTCTATGGGGGACATGTCTAGTGAGCGTGCAGGCCACGGCAGGACGTTGACGTTGTTGGCTGCGAGGAAGTTAGTGACAATTGTGGCTGTTTGGGCTCTAGCGTTGTCATGCTGATAAATGACACCACGTGGCTGCTGTTGGAGAAATGGTAGGACAACTGGACGAAGAATGTTATCCATGTTACGCTGAGCTGTCAAGTTTCCTCAACGATGACCAGCGGTGTCCTCGCCTGCCCATCAGCCCTAAACATACAGAATCCAGTTTCGTCAGTGAAGACAACCCTCTGCCAGTCACGTCGTTGCCAACGTCGTACAGTCCGGGCCCATCTCAATCGCAGACGACAATGATGCACTGTCAATAGCTGCCCTCTGTATGGTCTAAAGCCTTGATTCCATGAGCCCTGAGTCTCCTGTCCACTGTCTGTTGACTAACCTTGTGACCTAAGGCATTTGTCGCCGATGACGTCACTGTCAGGAAGCGATTTCGGAGGTGCAAGGTACACAAGTACCGGTCATCATGGGGCGTGGTCCACGAAGCGTTGTATATGTCACGCAGGTGTTCGCCTGCAGTCATGTGATGTCATGGTTACGAGTTCAGCCAATTGGAGCTCACTTCTGTCGCACGGGTATATAATTGATTCCAGACTCAAAGAAAGAAAGCAGACGTGACGTATATTTGACAGTTGCACGATGCATATAAAATTAATTCTATCGAGCTTTGTGTTTCTACTATTTGCGCGCTAAAATGAACGATTTTTTCGAATTTTTCAATACGTGCATTATTAAAGTTGTCAATGTGATGTATGGCTTTCTAACGTTAAGGTAAGTCCAGGAACACAATTATTTAGGATTCCGGGGTAGAATAGGTCTTCAGCAACCCATGCTTGCCGTAAAAGGTGACTATGCTTGTCGTAAAAGGCGAATAACGGGATCGGGTGGTCAGGCTCGCTGACTTGGTTGATGCATGTCATTGATCCCAATCGGGCGGATCGATGCTCATGATATCAATCACTGGATTGTCTGGTCCAGACCGCCGTCATATAGATGGAATATTGCTGAGTGCGGCGTTAAACAACCAACCAACATATTCACCAATAGTGAGTGAATGAGGATCTAGTGTCTAAAGCCGCTTTCAACAGTAGATTTGCCCCGATCATGTTTCTAGGTTTGTCAGCACCACATCTGTGCTGAGACGTGCATCACTTCGGGCGTTCCTCCCACAGTTACCTGACACGCCGTAATATAACTGGAATACTCTCCAAAGCGGTGTCAACCCAACTCACTCACTCTGCCTGATACCTTTATGTTGGTATCAATCTCCTGACCCAATATTTCAGCTAACTGCTACCTCAGTACTCGACTAGACCTTACTAATTACAATTTATAAAAACCATCCGCAAGAACAAGTCGTTTTATCATGTATCAGATTCAAAGACTTCAAAATCCCGTTGATAGGTTACTGAAGCTTATTGGAAGTGGCTATGGTTACACACCACACCACACCTGGCACATTTCGATCCAACACCCTGTAGTTGGAAATGTCGGCCTCTTAACACTCTGGTGCGTCCGTACAAAATTCCAACCCACAATCACAGGTTTCTAGCGTGCCCAAGGGAAAAGGACAGCCACCTGTTGGCGTCTATATTCTCTGGTTTGACAGTTAAATTCCTTTAACACTTTAAAACCTTTAAGTCAATAACCTGTGTATCAATATTTTCTTTTAGCACTACTTCTGCCACAATTAAAGTAACCTAACATGAATTCATATGTTGGGCTGTATGCTATGAAGTTGTTAGTCTTCAGCTGTATATACATGTATGTACTGTGTGATCCAGGTTAGAGTTGGTCTTCAGCAATCCATATTGGTCATAAGAAGTGTGAGTATGTTGTTAGAGGCAATCAACGAGATGGGTGGTCAATCTCATTAAAATCAGATCTAAGTTCTCGCTGCCGCTAAACAAAGATCTGAGGACATCCAATTAAGGCTAACGTCAGAAGGACCTTTCGAGAAATTTGGCTGACCACTATAACGACTAACAAGAAGTCGACATTAGCCAATTAGAAAGCAGCTTTCTCGAGCTTTACGGCACTCGTTTCCATTTCAGAATACGATTGAAACATGTTGACAGAGTTCTCGAATAAAATTTTGAAAACCGAACAAACGAACATTCATAATATATGGTTGCGATTGTATGGCAGTGCTTCCCACGTACTGTGCAACGCCTCCTCCGTTCAAATGTTTATCCCACGAAAGTGAGAGAAAGACGATAATTTTGACGGAGAAACTGTCGTTCGGAATACCCTGTGTTAACATTTTCGAGGTTGCATGATTAGAAAACACTTTCTGACTGTCACTTCCATGATCTGAGATGAAAGGTCGTTCTGACCTGACACATAATGGTCTTCAGATCTTTGTTTAGCAGCGAGAACTAAGGTCTGATTTTGATGAGAATGGGTGTGGGTGGTCAAACTAGCTGAACAAATTGCGTAGATTGATGCTCATGATGTCAATCACTGGATTGCCTGGTCCAGACTCGATTATTTACAGACTGTACTCATATAGCTGGAATATTCCTGAGTGCCGGGTTAAACAAAAGCTGTATGCACATCAAATTCTTTGATCGTAAAATCAGAAGAGGATGTTTTTCTGGGAGTTGTGATTTCGGGCCTGCACATAATTAGCCATTGAATGAAAACAAAAGATAGGTTGCCCCTGACAGGCTTTGACACAATTCTTGCTTAATTATATTTATTGATTAATACTTTAACTTGAATGAAGATCTCACCATAAAAGTAATAGTTAAACTTAATGGTAAGGGTTATGTCAGTGAAATATGTTTACACCTATGTCTATTTCCAAATTAATATTGAACAAGAAGACAATGCCATCATATCCCCCGCAATGGTAAATACTTGTCGTGAATATGTCAACTATTTATATATTTTGTTGCCAATGAAACTCAAAAATATGTATATTTTAAAAACCTTAACCTATCACAAGGCACCAGTTCAACATTTAACCAATCTCTGCTTGGTATGCTCAAGAAACAAGCACTAACCCAATTTTCAGTCAAAGTAGTTGCCATGGAAACTTGAAAAAGATCCTTTTCAAAGATCTCAAACTATCCAAAGGCACCAGTTCACCATTAGACCTATCTATGTGCCAAGTTTGGTGAAGAAATATGATCCTTCCTAATCAGCTCCTACCACAATAATGGTGTACTGAAGACCTATTCTGCCCAGATCCTACAAAGTCATGTGGATTACTTCAGGATGTCTAGGCATTGCCTGCATCTGTTTTGTTTTGTCAGCAAATACCGAGGCTCCTCACCAGCATGTGTCGTCCACTAGACACAGCACAGCAGTCTTATTACATCCTCAGTCATTTCTATTTCAGTCTGGAATATTTTTCATGCAACAAATGAACAAAACCTTTTGAATTAATGGATTGCAACTCAAAATTGCAGATAACAAAAGCATAATTAGAACTGACAATAAAACTGAATCGATTTCAAATCTGTATTGCATATCCATAGTAACTTTATCAAACATGCATGCATGTATATGTCTGGCTTGTGACGTCACTGAACTTATTGGTAAAAACAAAGGGAGTCTTAACTACTGCCTCTTTCACAGAGTAATACATAGTATGTCAATCATATCATGATGTCAGCTTAATGTGGGAGAAACTATTGTGATGCTGGTCTTCGATGCTTACAACTGTTGTGATACCAACACAATTTGGTGAACATAGGTACAGCCAAGCATCAGAATAATGTTGGATCTGGGATTTGAACCCACGTTAATTGGTGTAGTTAAGGGAAGCAAACTGCATAGCGAATTGCCTTACATAACGACCTACCGATGAAGATTCGGGGTAGAACGGGTCTTCAGTAACCCATGCTTGCTGCAAAAGGACACTTTGCTTGGGATAAGAGGTTTTTAACGGGATCGGGTGGTTGATGCATGACATTGTATCCCAATTGCGTGGATTGATCCTCATGATGTCAATCACTGTATTGTCTGGTCCAGACTCGATTATTTACGGACCGCCGTCATATAGCTGGAATATTGCTGAGTGCGGCGTTAAACTACAAACGAACAAAACAAAAACATGACGACCACTGTCCCAGTTACCAACACATTTCATGCCTGAATATCTCAGCAGTACTTCCCTTAGAACCCCTGAAGTCAGCAAGAAATTGGGATCAGTCTGTGCCAGGCCCAGCACAAATGTTGGGGGCTGTGTGCCATGGAGCACCTCAGAATCAACTGTCCACCAGGACAAGGTGTTAGGTGCTGGCTTTTGTCATGCGTCCCTTGAATCAGCTGTTCACCAGGGACATATATTGAGATCTGTCTGTCATCAAGAGCCTCACAATGGATTTTTCACCACCACAAATGTTGGGAGCAATGTGTCATTTAGCACCCAATCAATTGTTCACCAGGGAACAAGAATTAGGATGAGTCTGTCTGTTCTGTCCACGGATCTATAAGACAGCAGGAGCTAGCTTGCTGCACTTGAAGCACGTGTGTCCAGTTTTTTTTCAGCATTCTTAACATTTTGGTTGTCTGGTTTGTCTTTCCTGAGTTTCCTCTTCCTCTTCTGACCTGTGTTGCCGGCTGGCGGTCCTCCTGGCTTGTGTTTGGTTCCTTTCTTATCTTGGGGCCGATCTAGCCATGCTGCATCTTGAGACCCGGGAGCCTGGTATCTGCAACATGAACATGTCAGTGAGGGAATGGTGATTTCCACAGTTTGCAATATTCAAGCTTTAGTAGTGTAGGCACTGAAGAATTAAGTCTTGGCCTGTCAATCCAGTGGCTTATAGCAGGACAAGCATTGGGGCTTGCACGGGGAGACAAGCATTGGGTGATAGGGAGACAAGCATTGGGGCTTGCACGGGGAGACAAGCATTGGGTGACAGGGAGACAAGCATTGGGTGACAGGGAGACAAGCATTGGGTGATAGGGAGACAAGCATTGGGTGATAGGGAGACAAGCATTGGGGCTTGCACGGGGAGACAAGCATTGGGTGACAGGGAGACAAGCATTGGGTGACAGGGAGACAAGCATTGGGTGACAGGGAGACAAGCATTGGGTGATAGGGAGACAAGCATTGGGTGATAGGGAGACAAGCATTGGGTGACAGGGAGACAGGCATTGGGTGATAGGGAGACAAGCATTGGGTGACAGGGAGACAAGCATTGGGTGACAGGGAGACAAGCATTGGGTGATAGGGAGACAAGCATTGGGTGACAAGGAGACAAGCATTGGGTGACAGGGAGACAAGCATTGGGTGACAGGGAGACAAGCATTGGGTGACAGGGAGACAAGCATTGGGTGATAGGGAGACAAGCATTGGGTGACAGGGAAACAAGCATTGGGTGACAGGGAGACAAGCATTGGGTGACAGGGAGACAAGCATTGGGTGACAGGGAGACAAGCATTGGGTGACAGGGAGACAAGCATTGGGTGATAGGGAGACAAGCATTGGGTGACAAGGAGACAAGCATTGGGTGACAGGGAGACAAGCATTGGGTGACAGGGAGACAAGCATTGGGTGACAGGGAGACAAGCATTGGGTGATAGGGAGACAAGCATTGGGTGACAGGGAAACAAGCATTGGGTGACAGGGAGACAAGCATTGGGTGACAGGGAGACAAGCATTGGGTGACAGGGAGACAAGCATTGGGTGCAGGGAAAACTGAATTCAGAGCAAGCATTGGGTGCTGGGAAAACTGAATTCGGAGCAAGCATTGGCTGCTGGGAAAACTGAATACGGAGCAAGCATTGGGTGCTGGGAAAACTGAATTCGGAGCAAGCATTGGCTGCTGGGAAAACTGAATACGGAGCAAGCATTGGGTGCTGGGAAAACTGAATTTGGAGCAAGCATTGGGTGCTGGGAAAACTGAATTTGGAGCAAGCATTGGGTGCTCGGAAAACTGAATTCGGAGCAAGCATTGGGTGCTGGGAAAACTGAATTTGGAGCAAGCATTGGGTGCTGGGAAAACTAAATTTGGAGCAAGCATTGGCTAATGGGAAAACTGAATTTGGAGCAAGCATTGGCTAATGGGAAAACTGAATTCGGAGACAAGCATTGGGTGCTGGGAAAACTGAATTTGGAGCAAGCATTGGGTGCTGGGAAAACTGAATTCGGAGCAAGCATTGGGTGCTGGGAAAACTGAACACGGAGCAAGCATTGGGTGCGGGGAAAACTGAATACGGAGCAAGCATTGGGTGCTGGGAACCTATCCTGCCTCAGAATATGCTCACAACAAGAATACAGTGCAGTGACATGCTAGTTTCGTAGAATATGGGACTTAACTCCCTTTTTGTTTCCTATAAAACACCATGTCCTCACCCGGGCTGGCTGGTGTTGACTGGCTCCCTGGACAGAAGGATTGAGATAGCAGGGATGTCTCGATTCACCTTCAACCTGGAAATAACAGCAGGCTATTCATATCACACCATGGAGGCCACATAAATATGCCTTTGTTTAGTTGCAGCACTGACTGGGAAAGTAACATCGGGAACATAGGCCGAAACTGAGTTCAGATAATTCTGCCCAAAAGCAACTTGTAATCATTACAACTCCCCAAAGTTTCAGCTTGATCACAGATAGTTATGGAAATATATTTTCTTCTCAAGGTAGACTGACAGTCATGCTTGACAACGGTATAAGGATCTATACTGAAACGTGGCTTTTTACAGTATTAAAGAAGTTGTTATCCATAAACTGTGTCTACATTGTCATCCATCAACATCTAAGTAATGCCTTTCACACAATTAAAAAAGCCAAGTACTCAATTTTATATTCAAGTAAATTCTGTCAATTCCAGACTTCCTTCACTCTGTATTCCAGACACAAATTGTTGGAGTAAGGATCAAATTATTATGTAATTAATGGTCCGTTATCTGGATTGACTATTCACACATCTCACTCGCATGTCCGATAAGCTCATCAACATGATCAAGATATAACATGATATAATGTGGGTTTTTTGGCCTTGGCTAAATAGGTCGTGCGTGGGTTTGTACAATCAAGTGGTGAGAATCTCTCCCTGTTTCTTCCAATTATGAGAGAGAAAAGCACATACAAATACTTCAGAATTTTGCTATTGGTAATTTTAATTGCATCCGATGGATGATTGACATCTTCAAACTAATGTCGTCATATTGTGTGAGACATAACCCCCACTAGAAATGAGACTTCTGTCTAATCTGGACTACTGTCTAAACAGATGTGGGTCCCACACAAGTCCTGTTTAGATAAGGTCCCCTGGATAAACCAGAGGTAGTTCATTCTGAGAGCCAAATGTCATGATCAGTAATACTGCCCCGTTTGAGAACCAGGGTAGAATTGGTCTTCTACAACCCACACTTGTAATGAGAGACGACTAACGGATTGGGTGGTCAGGCTCACTGACTTGGTTGATGACTGTCATTGTATCCCAATTGCTTAGATTGATGCTCATGATGTCAATCACTGAATTGTCTGGTCCAGACTTGAGTATGTACATACAGGCCGCTGTCATATAGCTGGACTATTGCTGAGTGTGGCGTTAAACAACAAACAAACAAACTGGTTCTTGGCAACAAGGCTATACTTCCAACTCACCTTTCCAAGCCTTCCATCTTAGGTTCCCAAAATTCTTCTATCCTGGAAAAAACCCAAAGATGTGTAAAGTCAGATGATCACATCACCTCACAATGGGCATCTTCCCAAGGCAAGGGAGTTAACTGGCTGTAAAAATCCAGTTTCCAGCATTGCCAAACTATGCTGCAATTATGGAGTTACATTTTGGCTGGACTAACAAGTCTATGCATAGTCCACTCAGAAACGTGTTACGATATCGACATCCGAATATTAAACATGGCTTTCAACGTTCACATTTCAGTCAACTGTAGGATTTTCAAAGCATGTGTACCATCAACTGGGCGTTGACAAATATTTTCCAAATGTTTTCATGTTTTTCATCAAGGTGCTCAAGTGATTTGATGCACTTCACTGGGTAAGACCTGTCTTGTAACAATATAGATCTTGATCATCCATCACATCGTCCTGAATTGGCACTACCATTTTGTTTGAAGCAAATGCAAGTGATATCAGTGGTGGAATCTGATTGGTCAATAGGAGGGGCATAGAAGGGACATAACTGGTAAAAGCCACTAGAGGCGCTATGATCGAGCCCAGAAAATCCAGCCTAGTTTGGCAAGGGTAGAAACTGGACTTTTGTAGTCAGTAGTTGTCATCTGAAATGATTCACAGTACACTGTAATATTAATTTCATCAATATGGTAAACATATCAATAGGATTCCTAAAAAATTGTTTTAAATGTCTAAGTAGTTTCCATTTTGGTACATTTTCTCAAATCAATTTCAAATCTCAGCGGAAGAAACTATCACCAATGTCGGTCTTTACTTCCAACCGAAGCATTTCTAATCCTCAGTTATTCGGGGTGAAATGATACAGCAAGGTGATGATACGATAAGCATCACGATACATACATAATGATACCATACATATCACAATACACATATTCAAATCAAATTGCATTGAAACGTCTTGACTATTTATTGACTATAAATTCCAGCTGGTTATAAAGTTGCCAGCACAAATGTTTTACACCGGGCTGAACGATAAAGACAAATAACTACAGACAAGGATATTTTATACTCATTCTATTTTAACCTGCTATGACAGAACAATTTATACAAATTTTATTTTAATATTAACTATAATAAGGTTCATATACCACAAAAATCAGCAAGACAATCAAATGTGCATGTTTTAAAAGTTGACCGTTCAAGACAAAAGCATCCCGTCCCGGGCAGTCAGGCATATTAAACACTGGAATGATATACAGGTATTGTTCTATTGGCATATATACACTGAACCCATTCCCTACACCAACTTTGTTTTAAGCCTCATTTAAATTACACGACACTAGAAATAAGCATCAATCAAATTAGTCGTGAGTAATAAGACAGAGCATAACAACATGAACAAAGTAATGTTGGCGAATACGTCCGGGACATGTATTTATCATAAAGGAAGAATAATACCCTGGATAAATACATAATGAAAAAATCAATACATGTATGACATCTAAGCAAAGTACATGGTATTCAAAATACTAGGGCTGGGACGGGTAACTCGGGTACTCGGGTCGGGTGGGTCCTGAGTAGGACCCGGGTACCCCCAGGACTACCCCGACCCGTGGTTAGTCACGTGATATATTGTTAAATGAGAAAAACTCACTCAAGCTCATCGGCTACACTACAAGTCGCTAATGTTCGCATTTCCTTCTGACAATGCACACATTCCTTTTGACTTGTATATGTTTGAGTAAAGTTCGAGCTTCAGTAAACCTCAGTGAACGCACGATGTGACTGTTTGATACATGTATCTAAATAGTTTCTGTATCTTTTAGCCAGGGCTGCGGTAAAACAATTACCAATCAGACATTTTGTTCCCAACCTTTGAAACTTGCAGTGGGTACCCGGGTAGGGTCGGGTAATAGGGAGTCGGGTACCCGGGTAGTAAATTTGGACTCGTCCCAGCCCTACAAAATACCATGTGGGTCTGACATAAAATTGCTATGATTAGATTTGAATGCTCATTCATATCGACCAATCAGTAGTGAGGAATACTTGACCTCACACAGTCACAATCTACTGTGGAAGACAGATGAGTGAGTGAGTATGGTTTTACGCCGCTTTTAGCAATATTCCAGCAATATCACAGCGGAGGACACTAGAAATGGGCTCCACACATTGTACCCATGTTGGGAATCAAACCCTGGTGTTTGGCGTGACGAGTGAACGCTTTAACCACCAGGCTACAGATGGAAGACAGATGATGACAAGGAATCACTGACCTTCGGAATCTTATCTTGGTTATCTGATGCAAACCCTGGAAGAAAAACAAATTTCAGGAAAATCTATAATCACAATAAATAAGGAATGAGAGTGCTGTGTTTGATTGTTATTTAATGCCACACTCCAATATTCCAGCTACAAGATGAGGGCCTGTAAATAATTCAGTCTAGACAAGACAATCCAGTGATTGATATTACGAGCATCGATCCACACCATCTACATACGAGTGAGTGAGTGAGTGAGTGAGTGAGTGAGTGAGTGAGTGAGTATGGTTTTACGCCGCTGTTAGCAATATTCCAGCAATATCACAGCGGGGGACACCAGATATGGGCTCCACACATTGTACCCATGTCGGGAATCAAACCCAGGTCTTCGGCATGACGAGTGAACGCTTTAACCACTAGGCTACCCAACCGCCCCCATCTACGTATGAAGATACACAATCAACCAAGTCACCGAGTCTGACCAACAGATCTATTTAGTTGCCCATGAGACCGACCAACACAGCCTGCTAGGGACCTATTCTAACCCAGATGCCATAGAGGGGGAAGGGAAGTGGATCATAAACTTCTCATTTTAAGAAACGTCTTTGTATTTAGTGAACATGATGTATGAAGACCTTTTCTTCAAAATCTTATTGACATTTGGTTGGTATATACCGTATTCGATGTAATAAGCGTCCAGGGCGCTCTCAAAATTAGAAATAGGGGTCTCCTATTCGAATGGTATTTTGGTGAAAGATACATTTCGTGGTTTATGCTGACAGCCTGAAATGTTTATATACGACAGATATATTTTTCCAGAATTTAATTGCCGATAATTAAGGGTGCATTTAACACACGAGTGCCTTTTATACACAAATAAATAAGTCTTGTGTACATTGATCAATCGAAAGGGGTGCTAACTGGGATTGTTCGCAAGCCAATATATTAATAAATATCGCCATAGGCGCTTATTAGAGCGGGGCGCTTATTACGTCGAATACGGTATTATTAAAACATTAAGCATTGTTTAGTAAGCAAATTTATTTTCCCAAATAGTCGATGGTTGAAAATAAACATAAAAATATAATCTTACAAACATGTTAAGTTTGAAAATTAAGATCTTAAGAGTATTGTCACTCAGGTGAAAAACACAAACAAGTGAATGTAAAAGTGTTTTGGGAATGATACTCAAAGGAGTTATCTCCCTTGGCCCATTGAGTATTGGGCGACGGATTCCTCCTGAAGTGATGTGATGTATAAAAATTGTACTGCAATCATATCTGGGCATATCATAACTGTAAGAGGGCATCTGGATGATTCCACAGGTACTAAAGCTCACCTTGACTAACATTTAGTCACAGAAATAAAGTTATCTTTAATATTTCAAAATATGTTCAAAAAAGATTCAAAATAAAAAAATAAAGATTCAAATGGAGCCCAGGGCTGAGCAAATGTAGACTTGCTGAATCATTTTGCATTTGAGTTGGACTATTTTTTAAATTTATTCTCTAGGGTCTGGGAGACAGACTAGAGCTCAATTTACCAGTGATATAACATTTATGGGGTGATGAGATCCAAACTAGTTGTTTTGCTTAAAAGACATGTTACACTACAAGTCACTAATGTTCGCATTTCTTTCTGACTATGCACCCATTCCTTCTGATTTTACATATGGTTGAATAAAGATAAAACTTAATTCAACTTCAGTGTACGAATGACCAGATTGTTTAATACACGTATCTAAATACGTTTTACAAGGGCTATGCCAAAATGTTCCCAATCAGACATTTAGAGACATCTCCTGAGACCTACAGTGGGTAACCGGGTAGGGTCGGGTGATAGGGGGTGGGGTACCCGTGTAGGGTTGGGTTATAGGGGGTGGGGTATCCGGGTAGTAAATTTGGACCTGTCCCAGCCCTAATACCTTGATCTTCCTCTTCATGATCTCAGCACAGGAGATGGTCTTGTTGACGGCATGGCCTGACCCATTCCATGTGATCTGCTTCACATCAGGCTCCTGTCAACACATACACCTCCTTTACGTTGTACACAGCACACATAGTACATATACATAGTCTTCTGACCTTCACAGCTGTGACCAGTCCCCCTCCAAATAAACATACATTGGTAACGTTGTATTTCAATGAAATCATTGACCTACTAGGAAAACTCATAGTTTAATTTGGAAATATTTTTCAGCAAACTGACAGAAAACAAAGAAATTGATTTCTGGTGGTCAGGTCAGAAAGCATGCAGCATTGCAATAATTTTGTCTAAGTTTGAATCCTCATTCACATTCTAATACCTGGACCACTCACTTTTATTTATCAAGGGTCAAAATCCACTATATCCCTCAACCCTACCTCCATGTTCTTGATAGCATATCCTTCAACCCTACCTCCATGTTCTTGATAGCATATCCCTCAACCCTACCTCCATGTTCTTGTTAGCATATCCCTCAACCCTACCTCGATGTTCTTGATAGCATATCCCCCAACCCTACCTCCATGTTCTTGATAGCATATCCCTCAACCCCACCTCCATGTTCTTGATAGCATATCCCTCAACCCTACCTTCATGTTCTTGATAGCATATCCCTCAACCCTACCTCCATGTTCTTGATAGCATATCCCTCAACCCTACCTCCATGTTCTTGATAGCATATCCCTCAACCCTACCTCCATGTTCTTGATCGCATATCCCTTATCCCTACCTTCATATTCTTCATACATATGCCTCAACCCAACCACCAGTTTCTTGATAGCACATCCATCAATCATGTCTCCATATTCTTGACTGCATATCCCCATGAACTTACCTTCATCCTCTTGATAGCATATCCCATGATATTTCTGATCTTGCTGCCTGCACTGACTCTCATCTCCACCACGTTGTCATGGAGGGCCGAGAATGGTGCGGGCTCCTCCACTTCCCGCGTCTCCCCCTTCACATAGTTCTCCATCACTGTTGGTCAGTGTGTCACACTCTCACCTGGACAACAGACATTAGAACTGCGTTATTTCAGGGACCTTACTGCTTTCATTGAAGAATTTGGACAATTAGAGAGTTCAGCATATATCTCCTTAAAGTAGCAGTCTCCTTCAAGTGAGTCCTCGACATAATTCAAATAGAGGACTTCACTTTCAATCTGAATGAACTTCCAGCTGGAAAAGCTGTTTTCTTGGGTATTAGTGAGTGAGTGAGTGAGTTAGGTTTATCGCCGCTTTTAACATTATTCTAGTCATATCACGGCGTGTCAGCTTAATGTAGGAGGAAAGCCCGAAGTGATGCAGGTCTCAGACGTTTACCACTTCGGTGAAACCCACGAGCACGGGTATGGTGCTGACAAACCTAGAAACATAATCGGGGCGAACCGTGATTCGAACCCACAATCATAGGTTTCTGGCGTGCCCAAGGGACGCAACTCTGCACAGCGAATCGTGGCGCCTTAGACAACCGGGTCACCCGTGCCCCCATCTTGGGTATTAAAGGGACAGGACATTGACTGTTCTGAAGCTTTGTTTGTAAATAATAGCTGATAACATCCTAGCTTACTTGGCTCTGCTCAGCTTATATTGCGAGAATTTTTCTGCTCCAGTGACCACACTGCGGCTGTAGGCTTATCACATGACCTGACTTTTCTCTTGATTGTAAACAAATACACTTATTCTGAAATAAGAACAAACGAGCCTTATGCAAACCTTTCGGCATATTGTTTGGCATAATTATATAGACATACTACTACAACTGCGGCAGTGAGGTACAGGACCATATAGCTTGACACATCAAAGTGACTGTATCGCTAGCTCTCCGGTGGGCTTCGATGCCAGCATGTGGAGGGTGAATATGCAAATGGAATTGCTTTTTCATATTTTAGAATATTTTCTCAATGAAGGTTATGCTTATCTACATGTGCAGACTCTATCAAAATGAAACAGATGAAAAACATGAAAGAACTGCGAAGGCCATGACGATGTGATGAGGGTACTAGACTGGCCACAAGGAATTTTGGGTAGGAGTGTGATTTGCTTCTTACAACCGAGGTATATTGTAATTTAGGCTTTGATAAGCACTGCATGGCTTCTAATCAAATCACTCTGGCAATTAGTATTTTGTAACTCATCCTTAGAAAAACACACAAGATTTCTCTTCAATTTTCCTCTCATAAAAAACATAACTGAAGCCAGTTCACTCAGAGCAGTGTTTGCGTTCTTGGCTCCACTGTGGTTTGAGAATTGAATCTGGCATGTGATGTCTCACTCGGAAATTATAAAAACACACAAAACCATCAATGTACTGAGAGGGCAGACAATAACAAGAGTCGAGTACTTCTCGGTGTAATATGATTGAAGGGCTATTATTAGTGTCATGTCAATTCATGGACACTACTATGCAGAGTTCCAGATAAGCTGCGTATCTGCGTAAAATACGCATCAGAAATGCAAAAATATGCAGTAAAATAAAATCCAAGCGTATCAAATATCATTATGGATACGCTACAAAAAAACCCCATCAAAATATTGTGAAGTAACCCTGCGTTTTCGATTAGCAAATGAGCAGCTTATTTTGAAATTATAAATGGGCATTCCGTCAACCTTGCCAAACTCCATGATGACAGTTACATCATGATCATTTGCCATCACACTTTCTTGTGGAAGTATCGTGGTATTTTTGAATCCTATAAAGCTCTCGAACCCACACGACACCAGTTTGCAGGGACTAGATGAATAGTGTTTTTAAATTTTTAACTTAAAGGGGCACTGATCTAAAGCAATTCCCCGGGACTGGTTGTTGCCTTTGTTATTGTTTTTTCCCAGTGAGTACCCGGATGTATAGCAGAAATCTAGAGTAGTTCGCGACCTCTGCTGCGCCATTTGTAAGCGCATTAGTCACTTTTATGGGTAGTACTAAGGGCGTATGGTCACATTGATTAACAAAATGAAATACAGTTTTCGAGATAATAAGGAAATGTATGTATCTTTGTGGGTAGCATCGGTAATGGTGACGAAGTCACTTGCTTGGTAATTTTGCGATTTTCGTTTATACTATTTTGACTTGCAACACAAAGTAAATATTTCACCTGAGCGTTGCTGTTTTTATAGTGTGTATATTTTCTTACTGTAAAAATGTGTAACATTTTCAAATTTATTAAACGCCTAAATATTCAGTTATTTTACAAAGTGACTTCCAAACATTTCCATCTGTATTATTATGATAACGACTTCCAAACATTTTGATGTTTAATGTCATCACCAAGATACTGAAAATGTTACGTTGAAAAGTACATTTCTATGTAGTTTGGCTTCTAATCCTACATAATAATCTGCTTATGATGTGTTTAGGCCCTTTTGATCGTCTTAATCAATTTTAGTCAATCTGGACAGATTTTTCAGTCAAAATGACTGGAATATTTACACATTTTATAAATTGCCTGAGAGAATCACATTTTACAAATTGACGGTAATATATACACGCTTACAAAGGAAAAGACATGTGAAAACAACGTCTATCGCGCATTGAAGAATTTCCCAAACAAGACGTAGCGGAACAAGAACGAATCGGTTCAATGCTACAGCAAATGAAGGAAAACAAAATGCAAATACCATAATTACAACCTGCCAAATTTATGTGTATAAATTTTAGGCAGCTTCCTTGTTCGAGGAATGTATCCGTGAATATCCACACAAAGGAACAATATCCCACTCATCTGCAGCTGTACAAAGAAACTTATTCGATGTCTCTTGTCTCTGTAACAATCAAATATTTTAAAAGATATATATCGTTTCGGGATATTATAACCCGTGTTCGTTTCTCAACTGATCACTTGGATTGTTTCAGGTGTTTCACATAGGTGTCAAGTCTCAAGGGTCGGCTGAGAAAGCCCACGTGACAACTATTTTCATAACGTCCACGGTTCCTAAAAAATCCATTGAGTGATAGATAACAATGAGCAATCAATCAACGTATTATCAGTGAACCCTTTGAACAAAGTATGTTGTTTTTACATCGGCACTTCACGCCATGATATGAGTGTATTCCCTTTGTTTTAGTAAACCTAGACATGTAAACACTAACTGTTGACATATCCACTGTGCAAGATAACAGTGATTAATCAATCAACGTATTTTCTGTTAATCCTTTGATGACTAGGAACGATCCGTTGATTTACCAAAAAAAGTAAATCAACTGATCATTCACCTCTTGCTGGGCTGCCACGTGTATATTACATAACACACATTTCACCCCACTTCAAACCTGGATTTAGATTGAATAATTACCCCAGACACAATAAATGCCAAACGGGAACCTTTGTCAGGTAATCTAAGTGGTGCTACCTCTAATTGTACCTGTAATAAATTCATTAACTGAGCATCAAGTGAATGACGACAAATACACAAGTGTAGGGTTATACCAGAAAACGTGGATGACAACAAGGGAGTAGTAATCGTATTATCGACGCAATCCGAAATCCGAAAATGCTTTCACTGCATGGATACTTTTTTATTATTATTAAACTATAACCATCTGGGGTATTTCCAAATGACGACATCCGATGAGCTCCGCTGTAGTTTTGTCTGTTTGTTTAGGCTGAAGAAATTAATTAACATGCGCCCTTTGTCGAAATCTTTATAGATCACAGTTAACCAATCAGTGTTCAAAAATGCGTAAAACAAATATTGCCTCAACCCTCCAAGTTTAATTAGCTGTCCTTGCAGACGGTAGCCCAGTCTCTGGTCACGCTCAGCTGTGTTGCGTATCATCCGGGTACTCACAGGGAAAAAACAATAACAAAGGCAACAACCAGTCCGGGGAATTGCGTTAGATCAATGCCCCTTTAAATACCCACATGTGTAAAAACTAGTGGGTAACAGAAATTTGAATACCCAGATAGAATTACTGATACCCAATGATTTTAAAATGCATGGGTAAAATACCCACAACACCAAAAGCTTATCTGGAGCTCTGACTATGGTATATCTAAAACGAAGCTTTGGTGTTGAATGGGATAAGGGTATTTATCATAATGGTATAGATGATTATACTGCATGACCCCTTTCTAATAAAAGCAGCAGGATCTCCGGACATTTCTTCTTTCAATTTCAAGATTCAGGATTTCAGCATATGATGGTACTTATTGCATGCTATTTTCCTCAGGTATTGCATTAGTTTCCAAAGTATACGACTTCGCCACTCCAGGAACATGGGAACGTATACCAGACCCCCACAGACAACCCAGCTGGTAGCTATATAGCACTCGACATTGATATTATGTAGGCTATCTATATCGAAAATAGGAGACACTGTTGAATGATAGGCCCGTAATAATATCCGCGAAAGAGACATTCGTCATAACAGGTAATATACAAAGAATAAAACGTTATACAAACCAAATCTAAATAGATACTCAAGAAATAACTCTGTTAGCGGTGTTTTAGTGCCTGGATATTGTGAAACAACATCGAGCCACCTGTGTGGCGACTGGGACCCGTCTCGTGCGCAATCTGTGATCCATCGCAGAACCAGTTGATTCCCTTCCACAAAATGTACGCATTCGTCACCACTCGCCCCTTTCCGTAACCTGCAAGTTTGTCCCGGAACGACACTAGTTGGTCACGAATGAAGATGTACGTTGTACGAAAAGCCGAAAGTTTATATCGTTCACATTCCATCGACATTTGACAAATACTAGTATTACATCTATGTCCTATGTGACTACAAAGCCCTCTTGGCAAAGGGAAGAAAAAAGACATAATATTATATGATTTATTTCATCATTTCAAGAGACATTTTGCGAAAACGTCTATCCAACCACTGTTAATGGTGAACGAGGCATTCATAAAATTACTGTGCCTTGAAGTGGTGTGGGCGAGTTTATGTGCCCAATAGGCAAACGTTACTGTGATGTTATTTTATTAGATGCACTTAACTGAACAAGTTCTTTTTCATTGTGGGAATTAGCGTACTGGTGTTAACCTGAGTTGCAGAAAAAGAAATAAAATATTATATTCGTTTGGTACTTTCAAAAACTTTTAATACCAGAACATATTTTTAACATCCTCGCCTATCACTCAGAGTCTTAGGCGATGGTAATATTGGACAATGGGGTTTATGCATTGTCTATTTGTTCAAAGTGTGTATTTATCGTTTTAACGTGAAATATGTTGAAAACATGGAGTCTATTTCTGAAAAATGCCGCATTGAGTTCCAGCATGTGTATAACACATTTCGTTACAATAAAGGAGAGATTTTTTCCTGACAGTCACTTCCTGCAACAATATTCCTGAAAGTATTGTGTAATTATGCTCCAGTGACTATTGAAGGGTGAGTGAGTATAGTTTTACGCTGTTTTTAGCAATATTCGGAAATGGGCTTCATGCCTTCAACCCATGTGGGTATCGCACCTGCACCTGTAGAACTGGAAGGTCTCTAGCTCTCACTTATCGGTCAAGGTAATCACAAAAGTGTTCATTTGCCCTGGGTTCAGATCAGGGTTAGACATTATTTTTCCAAACTGGATTTTGAATCAGGTGGTGGTTAATGCTCATGTGTATATAGATAAATGTTAAAGAACATTTCAGGAAAGTTAAATCTACCCATTCGGTTGTGAGGAGCGGAGCTCGTCACGCCGAAGGTCCGGGTTCGATTCCCCACTTGGGTTGTACGCATGAGCCCATTTCTGATGCTTTTGGTGCTATTAATAGACGGAAAGTTTCCATAGCAGAAAGGAAAATGGCCGACAAGAGTGATTTGGACTGCGAGATTGGTAAGTACATTTTGACAGATTTCACTAAATCTACTGATGTTTCAATGACCATAACTTGCATACTGATAGATAAGGCACTAGAGAATGTGTAGTTCTCTAAACAAGAGTTTACAATAACCAAATGCTATTTCATGCCATGATTGTTTTTTAATTGTGCAGCATGACACCCAAAAGCGAATTGAAGTTGGACGGCATGCTGTACCCAGTGTCGTTTGGACGGCATGTCGTCTTCATTTAGAAAAGGGAGCATTCATTGCAGCATGTTGGTTAGAATTATTAACTTGGTCTCATATCAAAGTTGAATTATTCTAACTGAAGGAAAGTAAAGATAACAGGACATGAACTGAAATATTTGAAGGGATATAGAAACACACACGATATGACAGAAGAAAACAACCTGCAGAAAACAGACACTTTTCCTAGACTAGCCAGAACAAATGATTTGTTACTATCGGGAAAAGAGGGTATGATTAGGAAGGACATGATCCTAGTTTTGTCACGTTTCATTTTGAAGCGTTTTCCGAATGTAAATGTCCTTACCGTGCTTACTACCTGCTATAGTTCCTCAAGTTTGTGAAAGCAAGCGTCCCGTGATAAGTTGTAACAAATTGTTTTGGCAGTGGTCCCGTGAGAATCTCACATGAGCAGTGAGGAAGTACAGGATATCTGTCCTGGTTGGCTTTATGTTGTAACAACTATATTTCTCAAGGGACGGCTAAACCCCAATTCTTAGTAATTGGTATGTTATTCTATATATTACCGTTTTCTAAGTAATGTGGGTTCACAAATGAAAACACTGGCTTAGTCAATATATTGTTGGAACGACAAAAACGATACAAAAAGTAATGATACAGTTATACTTTTTTCAAATATATAAATTGTATATTAATTAGGGACTTCTAATTAATATATACATAGGGATATATATATATATATATATATATATATATATATATATATATATATATATATATATATATATATAAAGCATCTGTGAAGATGCCGGTTAGAATAGGTCTTCAGCAACCCATGCTTGCCGAAAGAGGCGACTATTTCGTAAGTGGCGAATAACGGGATCAGGGGCGCTGACTTGGTAGATGCATGTCGTCTTATCCTAATTGTGTGGATCGATGCTCATGATGTCAATCACTGGATTGTCTGGTCCAGACTCGATTATTTACAGACCGCCGTCATATAGCTGGGGTATTGCTGAGTGCGGCGTTAAATAACAAAAGCCAGGAGGGCGAGTTAACAAAAACATGTTGCAAGTCCTCATCATACCATTCCAGGCCTACGTCATCGCCACAACCTACGTGTTTTGTGTTAACATACATGTTTTTTGCTTGTTTTGTGACCATTGCGCTAAACAACGGCGAAGATGCTTGGCGGCTTTGTACAAATCGTTTGTCTGACGTTATTTTGTTGACTTTCACAGACATCGCTAATATCGCATGTACATGTGTATCAGTCATAATCAGTTTTCAACAAAAACCCAATCTCATTTAAATCAGATCTTAGTTCTGGCTACCGCTAAACAAAGAAATGAGGACATCCCATTACCGGTCACATCAGACCGACCTTGCGCGAACTTTGACCGACCAATGGAATGACCAATCAGAAGGCAGCTTTCTCGTGCTTCACGGCACTAATTTCAAATTGGCGACTTCGCTTCGAAACATATTTTTACAAATTCTCGATTACAAATTTGAAACCTGAACAAAAAACATTCTGGAATGGCTAATAGATGGTCTAGATTGTAAGGATTCAGTCGTTAAACCCGTTACTATCATTCTGAATACCCCATGTTAAAGTTTTCGAGATTGCATGATTAGAAATCACATTCCGACTGTCACTTTCATGATCTGGTAAGCGACGCTCTGATTGGTCGAATGAAAGGTCGTTCTGACGTGACCCCTAATGGGATGTCTTCAGATCTTTGTTTAGCGGTAGCGAGAACTAAGGTCTGATTTTAATGAGATTGACAAAACCCAGTTTACTACTTCGTGTGGGTTTCTGATAAACGCCGAAAACAAAATGGCAACAGACATCAAATGACTAGATGATGATGATGATGAGGATGGATTATCATCATCATCCATTCATACACCATTCACAAACTGAATACTTAAAAATCTAAAACTGATCTAATTTTCTTTCTTTCAGAAAAACATATTAATTCTTTAAGGACGAAGTGCCGACTTTGTGGAGAAGACATTTCCCCCGAGGGAGCCACATTAGCCACGAAACACAAGAAAGAAATCAAGCAAGTGTTTGGAATTGATATTGACAAAGATGAGCCTTCTCTACACCCACCAAGCTTGTGTTACAAACACACGCAAATCATGTACAGATGTCACAGAGCTGCTGCACATGGCCGAATGGTTTCTACCTCCTTCGAGCCAATCATGTTCCAGCCACATCGTGACAACTGTGACGTATGCTGTGTTTCTCGAACGTATCAAGCACCTGTAAAGAAACGAAGATTACCCGGCCCCGGAAGGGGAAATTTAGGGAGAATACAAATTGTTAATACCCCGCACATGCCAGAAGACAAGGAAGGAGATGGTGAGGTGTAACTTGTTGATGGAAGTACATGCAATTAACAGATTCAAAATTTGATTGTTATTACATATTATTAATTCCTTCGGTTGAATTTGTAGCTTCTTCTTGTGAAACATTTAAAACAGATTCAAATTTGATTGTATGTACATATTAATTCCTTCGGTTGAATTTTTAGCTTCTTCTTGTGAAACATTTAAAACAGGCATTTTCACCACTTGCAACATATCTAATACTTCACAGAAATTCCAAGTAAAAGACAGAGTGAACACTCTCAGAAAGGAAAGAAGTAAACAACCATGTGTTTACGTTCTATGGGAAATGTCATTTGGCCAAACATTTCAAGTCCAGTATATCATTTGGTAGTGAATGAAAACTTGAAAATGTTTGCAATAGTTGGCTATAAATACACATATTTTATTTTTATATGAATGAGAATGAATTTATCAACCATGTGTTTTTTTAAAATCACTACTCACTACTGACATTATTATGTTTCCAAGTGTATATAACAAAAGCCCTCATTTTCACCTTGCAGCAACAGATTCACGGAATAGAGCATGGTTTGGACGCAAGGACGATATGTCGCCAAGAAAGAGGCGTTTAATGGACGAAATAGCTGAGAAAAAACGCCTGGACAACCGGTCAAAAAACATGTTTAAATGTCTAGCTGGCCTGAAGCCTTCCACGGGGTGGGAGGGTTTTGTTTACTTGTATAATCCATCTGAACCGTCACAATGTATTTATGGAGGTTCAGAGGATTGTACAAGAAAATTTGAATCAAACATGCCCCTGTGCACACTTTCTGAGGAATGCAAACCAAAAAAGATTAATATGGAAACTATGTTTCAAAAAGTCATGATGGGGAATAACACCTCAGGTGTAAATTGCCCCATCACCGACAAAGGGATGTCGTAAGTTTCGTCTCTAGCTTCTGCCCAGAATCAGATGTTGTCGGACATTGGCATTGTCGCAGATGACAATTCCCAACAAAAGAATGTGAATCTAAACCAGATAACAAAAGTGATTGTAACCATAGTTTGTCAGTGTAAAAGGTAGAGTTGAAGCGTGGTAGAGTTGTCTGGTTTCTGCATGGGCATTAACAGTTCTTTGTGTTAATTACTATTTAATCTACCACAAAACGGGGTCACCCATTTCTTTATTACTATATATCGTATTAAATGTAAAAAAAAAATAAAACAATCTTTGTTTTTTGTTGTTGTTGTTTAACGCCGCACTCAGCAATATTCTAGCTATATGACGGCGGCCTGTAAATAATCGAGTCTGGACCAGACAATCCAGTGATACAATGACGTGCATCAACCATGTCCTCAATTCTGACCACCCGATCCCGTTCGTCGCCTCTGACGACAAGCATAGTGGCCTCCTACGGCAAGCTTGGGTTGATTTGACCAAATAATAACAAATGTTATCAAAACGTTACAAGGCTGAAAATAGTCGCCAAAACGCTGTAAACTTATGATGGCGGTGGGTTGGTGGTTTGGGGAAGCATTCGTGTCAACCAACGGACAGGCCTTGTCCAATCTCATTAAAATCAGTTCTTAGTTCTCGCTACCGCTAAACAAAGATCTGAAGACATCCCATTACCGGTCACATCAGACCGACCTTGCGCGAACTTTGACCGACCAATTGAATGACCAATCAGGAGGCAGCTTTCTCGTGCTTTACGGCACTAATTGACACATTCTCGATTACAAATTTGAAACCTGAACAAAAAAACATTCTGGAATGGCTAATAGATGGTCTAGATTGTAAGGATTCAGTCGTTAAACCCGTGATTATCGTTCGGAATACCCCATGTTAAAGTTTTCGAGGTTGCATGATTAGAAATCACATTCCGACTGTCACGTTCATAATCTGGTAAGCGACGCTCTGATTGGTCGGATGAAAGGTGGTTCTGACGTGACCCCAAATGGGATGTATTCAGATCTTTGTTTAGCGGTAGCGAGAACTAAGGTCTGATTTTAATGAGATTGGGCCTTGTCGTCATCAGTATCAACCACATCGGCAACATCTACGGGGATGACGCTCTTCAGTCCGTGGTGTTACCATTCCTTCGCTACCAGCAACAGGAAACACTCTTGCATCACGACAGCCCCCGGCCGCACACTCCAGGGGTCGTCCAGGATCCTTGGCTGTGCAAAACGTCGTCGTTCTCAAATGGCCAGCTCCCTCCCAAGACTAAACCCCATTGGACGCCAGAGGGATCATCTGGATCGTCAGATCAGTAGGCGTCCTCATCCACCACGAAACGTCAACAGCTGGAAGCCTCTGTGAGGGACGAGAGGCAGCGGATTTCCAATGACATCCTCGATGAGACGGCGTGCACTGCGGCTCGTGGCGATTTCATTCGTAACTGAGAATGTCTGGTATCTGTGAACCTATTCAAACATGACAAGACCTACTTCACTCATTACTGTGTGCTGTGAAATTACGACCCCATATGCACGTCACCTATATTGTGTAAGAGGTCTTCAGCAACCCATGCTTGCCGTAAAAGGTGACTATGCTTGTCGTAGGAGGCGACTAACGGGATCGGGTGGTCAGGCTCGCTGACTTGGTTGATGTATGACATCGTATCCCAATGGCGTAGATCGATGCTCATGATATCAATCACTGGATTGTCTGGTCCAGACTCGATTATTTACAGACCGCCGTCATATAGCTGTAATATTGCTGAGTGTGGCGTTAAACAACAAACAGCATGTAATATCTCCAATGATACCCGTATTAAATGCTTCACCATAATTTCTTGTTTGTTTGTTTTGTAGCCATCATCAAACACGGGTGTATACTTTGTTTTGCCCGGCATTACTACAAACACGTTCACTTTTGATGTTTTGTCGAACGCAAAACGGAGGTTTTATTATTACACTGTTAAAACGCCAAACTGTTTTATTCCGGTAAGTCATTTGTTCTTTAACATCAGTTAAAAGGGTACCTTCAAAACCATAACTACCCTTCTATGTTACAAGCATAAAAAAGAGATGGATATTGGTGCGTTCTTTCTTCTGATATTCAAAAACAACTCACCAAGCATACACGTCCAGATGATCATAAGAAACGCATACTTGCCATAAAAGGCGACTATGCTTGTCGTCAGAGGCGACTAACGGGATCGGGTGGTCAGGCTTGCTGACTTGGTTGATGCATGATATCGTAGATCGATGCTCGCGATGTCAATCGCTGGATTATCTAGCCCTGACTCGATCTGACCGCCGTCATATAGCTGGAATATTGCTGATTATGGCGTTAAACAACAAACAAACAAGGAAAGATCATCATAAGAGTGAACATATGGCGCGCCGTAATTCTATGACCATGGGTTCGAATCCCAAATCTGCCCTGAGTATGGTACTTAGTTTGTCAGCACCATACCCGTGCTCGTGGGTTTCAACAAAGTGGTAAACGTCTAAGACCTGCATCACTTCGGAATTTCCTCCTGCTGACGCGCCGTGATATAACTGAATACTGTCAAAAGCGGCGCTGAAACTCAATTCACACACTCATACAAGTGGACACACATCAAATCATTTTGAGCTAGAGAAACACACCAGTTTAGCTTTCACAGTAAGTTTTATTACACGTCACTGATACATTTATACAACAGGCGCGATACATCCATCGACTTGTTCTTTGACATGGAACTCCGTGATACATCTGGATAGCCACTGCATGAGTATAACCCGTCTTCCACCTGTGGACACACGGAAATTAAACTCTTATTATTAGTTATGATTCACTCTAACTGTGATACAATATTGAGTAGATAGCATGTGAACAGACACTGGCCAATGACAACTTTCTCAGCTGTCTGAATATTACACAAACATATGTTGAACAACTTGACTAATATCATATACTTCAGAAAAAATACTTGCGCTTTACTCAGCTATACTTCCGTGGGGATTCTGGGATAGAATTGGTCCCCTGCAACCAATGCTTGTCGTATGAGGCGACAAAAAGATCGGGTGACAAGGCTTGGTAACTTGGTTGATTACATGCCATTGTACCCTAGCGGCAACGTAATTTTAATCCGAGAGTGAGTGAGTGAATATTGCTTTACGCCGCATCTGCTAAATTCCCGGCGAGAATGGTAATCATATTTAACTTCAATGCTGTTTACGGAAATTTTCAATTTTCATGTTAATTGTTTCGTATCAGTCATGAAATATAAATTGATATATTGATCTCACATTTCCCGATCATGTTACTAATATACAATGCATACCAACTGATGTTTGATGTATGATTCTAGTTTCTATTTTGAATGACAAGTAATGTCAGCAAATAGACAAGTGTTTGTATTCATATCATTAATCAATGCCGTTGATAAGATTTGAAATCTCAGTACCTCCGTTAATGTGGCGTGTGGATCGGGATTGTCGGGTTTCAGCATCATCGTCGTCACTGACCAGGAACCAGGACCCAGATGAATAGTACACTAACTGTACCTAACCTCCCTCGGTAAACTTGTTGTGTGTACATATATAAGTATGTATATGCAGTAATGTCATTGTTATTTACTTTGTACATATAGGGATGAAATACTATGTGTATCTGAAATCGGAACTTCGCCACAAGTAAACCCTCAAGGTCTTACTCTTCTCCGCCTCTTTCTTAATGAAAATAATGAACCGGACATATTGCAGACGCAGACGGATCCGCGTTATTATCAGTTTATTTATTCAATGTAATATGATGTGAGATAAGTGAGGTGAAACCATCGCGCCCAAGATTATTGCACTTTTACAGCGACGTGCATGCACACGCGCGCGTGCGTGTGTGCAGTGTACTGACTCCGAGCCGACCAGCCCCTTAATGCCGAGCGCCAGGCAGGGTAACATCAAGTACCATCTGTTAACGTCTTTTGCAATGACGCGGCCTGGGATCGGACCCCCGACCTACCGCTCTACCACTTGACCACGGAGACGGTCATTCAATGTAAGGCAGCTTCTGACACAGTAGCGACTAGCGAGTACTCGTAATCAATGCTGCTACCTACACTACCAAGGTAATGGCATGGTACATGAATATACATGTCGCAAATTGAAAGTATATTGAGGTTTCTGATCCGATGTTCTGTTTTCATTTGGAGGTTTCGATCAAATGTCTCAAGTCTGAGACTCAAATAACAAACTTGAAAACCTGAGTGACAAATATGTTACTCATAGTCAACCCTATCCCTATAGTTTCCCTGGTCCAGACTCGATTATTAACACACTGATTTGGTATAGCTGGAATATTACTGAACAACACTCAGTCACAGACTTCTGCATATTGAAGAAGAGGCGACCGTCATAATATGGCGTGAATATATCTAAAATGATAGACCGCACTCACTCATCCTGAGAAAATCTTAACGCCTCCAGCGTGTGTAGACATGTAAATATCAACGGTTTGTGTTCTATTAATATAATGATACCTTAGACATCAAGCACCATCTGGCATTACCTGTCGGTTATGCAAGGGTGAACAGTTGAAGGGATGTGTGCTAGCTGTGCAGTTGCGCCGTTTACTCATGCCGGGACCTGATAAGCATGGGTTCGAATCTTAGATTCATCTTGGCTTTGACCCTAGGTCTGTCAGCACTATACACGAACTCGTGGGTTTCACCAAACTGGTAAATGACCACGGCCCGCGTCACTCCTCTTACATTATGTTCAATCTCGTTAAAATAAAATCTTTGACTTCAATACGATATCTCGGAAATTTCTATCTCAGACAATTAACCGCAACAGAACAAATATATCCTCGATGGGGCATCCTTATGGGTATTTTGGTTATGTCTGTCCTAGAAGTTGAAAAATATGTAACTGAATTATTCAAATTGTATAGATTTATTGCAATTATTTTGTAAGTTTCGTTCCTCATCCCATACGTTGGAAATACACCATAAACGATTTAAGATACAAGTTGATCCGCACACATTGTAATGGAAACTGTATTGAAGATGAGTTCCATTTCCTCCTTGTATGTCATTATAGTAAGTGAGTGAGTTGGGTTTAACGCCGCTTTTAACAGTATTCCAGTCATATCACCGCGTGTCAGCTTCATGTGGGAGGAAAGCCCGAAGTGATGCAGATCTCAGGCGTTTACCACTTCGGTGAAACCCATGAGCACAGGTATGGTGCTGACAAACCTAGAAACATAACCGGGGCGGACCGGGATTCGAACCCACAATCAAAGGTTTCTGGCGAGCCCAAGGGACGCAACTCTGCACAGCGAATCGCGACGCCTTAGACGACTGGGCCACCCCTAACTATAAACCCCTGTCTCCATTATAAGCAGGGAAAACTTCACACAACGTTATTATTATACCTTCCCTAGAAGAAAGAATTTTTTGCAGCTTATGTCATCAACAAAATCTTGTCAATAACTTACCAATAAAATTTCTGGGAAGTGTAATTACACGAAACGTGCCCATAAACTTGTACTTTTAGTGTACAATGTACAATTGCGTATATCAGCGCACTGTAATGTTTTGTAAATGCAGTATTTTGAGGCATGAGGCCTGCAATACAAATAAACTTGTCACTTTTTGGGTGTAGATATCATGGCGCTCGGAAACGACAGGACGTATGAAATATCTAGAATGTAATCGTGCATGATGCATGAATAATTTTGCATTCGGTCAGATTTGCTTGTCTGAGTGCTTTGGTCGCGCAACCAAACATTTAGAAGCCTCGACCCTGATTAGAATACATGCTCCATGGATTCTCTTCACAAATTGTAGCAGCGCAGAGGATTTTAAGTTATTGGTAGAGCATACAAGAATACCTGGTGCATCTGAACCCTGCTCTTTATCTAATATGTTGCGAGATCGCAAAGAATGAGGTAGAACCCATATCTGTTGTGATGAGTCTGAACCATTGGTGATGATATTATACGCGAGTTCTGCATATCAGAACGGGTTGCTGCACTTTTTCAAGATGTCTGATATGAAACAAGAGTCGCCTGATATATTAATTGAAGAAAAAACTAGAGCTAGGAAAACAAGAAAATATTTTATAGTTAATACTGATTAGATATCGATTAAATCAAGTAATAACAAAGGTAAAAAAAAACTTGTCCGAAAGGGCCAAAATGTATAACTCAAATTATAGCTTTTTGAACGTATCATATTTATAGCATACATCCTAAAGGTCCAAAAATGCCCCACAACAGTATATCTTTTGTATTTATGATACTGGGTAATCAACTAGCACATGGCACACCGTCCAAGAAGTAGCAAGATGTCACACTAAGCGTCCATCTTGACACGGAACACTCTCCTCAAGAATCCAGACACACGTGACAGGAAGACTCGAACTGGGGACTGGGTCGGGGTGTCGTCATCATCGAGGTTGATATCGACGAAGTGAGGGGCATCACGAAGATCTGAGGCAGAGGGGGAGGCAGGGGCAGGGGCAGAGATAGAGGTGGGACGGAGGGCCAGCTCTGACAGGGGTTCAAGGATGGTCATGTATCTCCCAGTAGGACGCTGACAGGGATGGACAGAAGGACATGCAGAGAGTGACAGATGGAAGAAGAGGATAGCTTTTTCTATATTACAGAGATGAATGTGTTTGGAAACAGGTAAAAAAGGCAATAATGACACTAGAAGAAAGTAAGAGATTACGATATGTGTATATTACTGCACATGTGCATCAGTGTCCAAATCAATAGTATATGTGTTGGTATGGCCTTGTGTTATTACCAAATTAAATAATTAAGCCGATACATTCATGCACTACAAGACAGTGAAGACACAATTTCAATTCTACAGTAACTCTGGTTTATTACTGATTCCCTAAAACACCCACTTGGCGAGGAGGGGCCCAGATGTCAAAGTTCAAGGGGAACCTGATCACGAGGTCAATAACTGTCGGGACAAAAGGATTGACAGTCTTAAATAAGGATAAACCAGACAGCTATCCTGTATATCTAATATTAATATACTGTGTTCATTTACATAATATATTACCCATTAAAATGCGTAGAGTGTTATTTTCTTATTGGCTGAAGTCTTAACACTCAGAATAAATAGGATTCATCATCATGAATATGAAATAATGAAATTAACGATTTGAATATCAGGATATATACTAGGACATACAGGATCTACAACTAGCTTGTGGTAGATATAAGATGAAACTATTAACGAAGATGGAAAATTAATTAACACAAACCTTTGGTTGATTAATAAGATAAAATACTCTTATTGAATTATAAGGTGAACTTTGGATCATTTATATTGGCTATAGAATTATTTACATATGCAGTGTTTGAAATAAAGCCCATGAGACAGTCGGGCAGGTGATCGAAGTAACCTACCTGCAGTGATGACACGACATTACAGTTTCACACCTTTCATGATAACATTGAAAGTACTGAGATAAAAGTGTAAAAGAACCACACTATGCATCACCAATTGTGTTTGTTTAAAATGTTTTTTTCTGAAAACAACTCCAGATACAACATTTACAGAATTGGTGTGGGGGTGTGGGAACCTACATTAGTAATTTTGGTTCATTATTATGGAAATATTAACAATCTGAGCCTAACTAAAGGAGGCTAGTGACTGTTAATAAAGGGTCCATAGTATCTATCATCGGATCATAGGTTTTCGGACATGAGACGTTTTCGGAGGCCCATGTGTAGCGTCACACATTGTAAATACTAAGATGATGGCCTGTTTTAAATATCTAAAGTCGTCTTTTATAAGTGAGTAAGATGTTTTACAGTTCTAGTGATTAGCGAGAAAACTACGAACTTCCCTTATACGCCCGAAAGCCCACAACACTGGGATACATCGTGAATAGACAAACGAATCACTTTGAATAAAAGGATTGACAAGTTGGGGCACAAGTTGCACAGGTTAGCTGCCACACATCCCATGCCAATCTGGAGCTGGCCAGTTACTTGTGAATCCAAAATTAAATCTGAGGCAGAGGCCGGAGAAGGTAACCTGGGACCATTCACGTCAGAAACAAACTGTCAGCGTTTTAGGTTGGAATTGTAAACTTGATTTAATCAAACGCTATAACACTATAAGACAGGGCGAATGGACATAACTGGAACTTTCCTCTTTTCCATAGGTCTAGAAATCTACTCCACTTTGAATAAGTAATATGTAATGAAAGAATGAGAAATACCTTGGGCGTAGGAGCTCATGGTGTTTATAATCGGAGATGAGGAAAATACAAAGAACACAGCAGCAGAAAAATAGCAATGATAGTTGCGATATCAGTGGTGAAACTGTCGTCATGGCGACGTCATAAATCTCGCGAGACTGTCATAGCCAATCGGCCAACCTCGCCAATTTCCGTAACTGCAAAGAAGTGAAAATGCATTCGTGACCAACTCGTGTTATTCCGGACGAGCAGTGATCAGTGCACGTTCCTCAATACAAGGAATTAAGCTTGTCCATTTTAAGAAGACCGTAGCACCAAATTCTTTTTACCGACTTGTTACAGCAAAACAATTTGCTTAATTGACTCAATGTTTTGTGAACTTACCCCTGTGACATCATGCCATGCCCACTACAGAAAATAAGGGCATTTCACCATCACCCAATTCCTTCAATGTGAGGCTCAGTACCAAGCCAAAGTCTGTCGAGGGGTACAACTGTTCTGAAGGTTTAAACATCACTAATCTTGCTTTAAAATCACGTTCCCAAATGACATGAACCAAATATAATACCTTATCATTGAAACACAGACGAAATCATCAGCAACCTACAATCGTCATCTGACTTCCCAAACATCATGGATCAGCTCCTAGACTCAGGGGCGGTGGGATAGCCTAGTGGTTAATGCGTTCACTCTTCACATGGAAGGCCTGGTTTCAATTCCCCACATGGATATTGTGTTCTGGTGTCTCCCACGGTGATATTGCTGGAATATTGCTAAAAGGGGCGTCAAATCCAACTCACTCCTCGGAACTAGGCAGATGGTTTGTGTCTCCTTCGCTACCACCAATCAACATCCCACGGAGAGAGGGTCCTGATGGCCAAGTCATCGACAGCACTGCAATTTGCTGTGCCGAGTTGTGACAGAAACCAATGGTCATGGGTTCGATTCATTGTTGTTTCTAGATTTATCAACATCATAGCACCATGCTTGTGGGTCTTACCGAAGTATATGTCTTTCTGTCATCAAGTTTTGCCAGCAACGTGGTAGAGGGTCTGCAGTTCGTTCATGATTAACCCTTAGCCCACAACAAATTGATTTAAAAAATAGACACTTCTTTATTTTATTGTTATCCATAGAAGTTGTTATCTTTAAAATCCTGTCTATTTTGTCATCCATCAACTTCTAAGAAATGCCTATCAAACAAGTTGTTAAAAGTTTCATTGGAATCCCTGCCTCTTTTATCACCATTCCAAGCATTTCTACCTTTATTAGCCCTGGCATGTTTTCATAAGTTGGATTTTATTGAAAATCAGAGTGCTTGTTTCTGGAGCAGTCTAAATTACTAGCAGGAGACTGGCTGCTTTTCAGTAGGCTGTGGCTGGCCTGTGAAACGAAAAAATGAGAAATGTGTGGTCTTAACAGTTTCTTAAACAAACATGGAGTACTGGGCACCTTTTATTCTCGATTCCACACAAGGGAATGGGTGGGGATGATAATGTACACTATGGTCAGGGAAGCTAAAAAAAAGACAAGCTTGTGTTTCAGGAAAATATTTATTCCTCTGGACTCAAAATATTCTTACAGCACATCATTTGCTGACACAATGCAGACATAACTGCCATCTGTCGGCAACATGACATGGGTCACAAATACATTCTTGTATTACATTGCTGTACAAATTCATCTGACAACCTCTGGACCCTTGAAGGCTCTGTGTGTTGTCCTGCAGATAGTGCACGACTTCCTGAACACTGGCGGATCCAGAAGCTGGGTGCACACACCTTCATTTTTTTCACACCCCTAATGTGTCAGCCAATATGTTATTGTTCACTTCCTGACCTGGGTACAGTGTGCACCCCTATGTCCAAATCCTGGATCTGCCTCTGCTGAAGCTCGACAAGCTGTGACAAGCTCTCTCCTCCTCAACATACTGACTATTCCGTGTGTGATGGGCCAGGTCATCTCCTGAACCGCTTGAAGAGTGGATGTAGGGCTGCAGACTTGAGGCCGCCTCTCTTGTACTCCATGTACACCGAGTCATCTGCTCCTGACATAGAGCTCATGCTACCAGCCTTGCGGAACACCTGAAGACAGGAAGTGAGTGGGTGAGCTACATTACATGCTGCTGTTCACAATAGTCCAGTCACCTAGAATGGGCTTCACACATTGTGCACATACAACAAGTCTCCCTCACCACAAGGTTTACCCCATGTCTGCCACAACCTGGTCTACCCCATTAACAGTCTCCCAGTCTACCACAACCCTGTCTACCAGACCAACAGTCTCCCAGTCTACCACAAGCCAGACTATCCCACCAACAGTCTTCCGGCCTGCCACAACTCTGTCCACCCCACCAACAGTCTTACCCCTGGTCTGCCGCCATCTGGCCCTCCTTCCTCCTCTGCATCCTGGTCTGTGGCGGCCAGCACCTTCTGCAACAGACTCATCTGCTCCTCCTTGGTGCTGTAGGCCAGCTCCTCCTGATTGACACAACATACAGCAGCTTTCGCGTCATTTGTCAATCAATCATAAAAAGATGCAAATCTTTTCTAGGGTATCAATAATTTTGAGTCTTTTAGTCTAATATTAGTCTCTTCAATTTCAAGATAGTCGGAATATAAATGGAAGCATTGTGTATCTTTGTCTGAATGCTGTGATGGCTGGCGATGTTTATTAGCTTCTGTCTACAGAGGGAAACAAAGCACAATATATCCTGACATACCCTATTTTCGAACAGTTAAGATGGCATTACTGATATTTTGAGGGATGAGCAAATCAAAACTCAAATTCTGCTTCACACCAGAGGGTGATGTCTTTAACAATTCAGCTCCATTCCACAAGAAATACAATCCTCAATAAAAGGCTTGACCTCATTTGCATGGTTTGTAAACTTCTACTGCACTCGAGTTATGTCACTTATTTTTGACAACACCTGATTGGTTTAGTACTTTAGCGGGGTTTCCATGAATGAACAGACAAATTTTGGCACAGTTTTCATTTGGCATTTAAACTCAAACAGTAATTATAATTTTGAAACCCAGTCACAAAATATGAATATTTGTCAAAGGATAATGTTAACACTATTCCAGTCTTCGTTTTCATCAAGGCACGGGCACCAAAATTCGACAGACTGTTCTGACAGGTGTACAGTACTTCATATGAACCCAATGCTGACAGGCTGAACGTGTGCACTCTCAAGGCCTTGTCGACGTCCAACCTCTCGTTATAACGCGACAAAATCACTTTCAATATGGCTGTTTGAAAATAGGTGTTATTCGAAAATAGGGTACTTGGCGATACTTTGGATCTGATGGGAAATATCTATATTTCCGTATCAAAGTGCTTTCAGAGATAAATAACCATTTTGTATTTGATGAAAAATCATGCACAATACTTGAGTGAGTTGCTTCTCAAAACAGCAAATTGCAGCACCTTTGATAATTGGGCTGCCATGACTACCAGCTGCATGCAGGGATGTTAATTAACCAGAAACATATAATAGTCGGACCAGTGAGAACACACAAATTTTAACATTTGACAAACTGACCCAGGCCATCAGTGCACTGTGAAAATGCAAACCTCGCAAGAAAGTGAGTGAGTATGACTTTGTGAGTGTCGCATCCAAGATTATGGCACTTGTATAGCGACGTGCATGCATGTGTGCGTCTAATCGTACTAGTCCGGACATATGCCACTTTTACAGTGCTAGCTCACTGAGATACCATGCCGCAATTTAACATGAATACCCCACGCAGACAAAGCTGACCAGTCCTTGTTTTAGCCCCTTAATGCCATATTTTAATGACTTTGGGTATGAATCCCAGACCTTCTGCTCCTTGGGGTGACGCTCAACCACTAGACCATGGCAAGAGAGAGAGTAGAGTGAGTGAGACTGACCTGGTCCATGCCAGCCAGCTTGGTGATGACCTTGTAGCTGTAGCCCTGGTTGACGAGGAAGCGCTGACGCTTGAGGGAGTACTGCATCTCCATGGTGTCCTGAGACACCAGCGTGTAGAAAAAGGCATTATACGTCTCTGCTGCTGAACCTGTGACACAATACATGGTGTGTGTTAGGCTTGTGACGAGTCCAAATTTACTACCTGGGTAACCGATCAACTATCTGTCAGTACTCAGGTACCTGCTGTACGTCTCAAGAGGTTAGATTGGGAATTGTTTTAGGCTAAAAACTATTTAGAAACATATAAAAAGAACACCAGCGACTTGTTGTGTATCTATGGATTGTTATTGTCATTAACCATATATCATGAGATAAACCATGGTTTCCAGCTAGTCCTGTGGGTACCAGGGTCCTGCTCAGGACTGACCCGACCCGAGTACCAGTCACTCGTCCCAGCCCAATTGGGTCAGCATTCAGTTACATATCTGCATGTCAACTTATGTGGGAGGAAAATCTGTAATGACACAGGTTCCAAATGGGACCACTTTCATGAAACCTACTTCTCTACCTAACGTTAAAACAACAGAGGAAACTGTTTCAAATCTCTAGGAGTGAGTGAACTTTCAACAGCATAAAATAAGGAAAATTATCAAAAGCATAATAAACTTGGAGTGTAACCTTTCTTTGCCCTCAGAATCCTGCCCATTCTCTGAGCCTCCTGTCTTCGGGATCCTCCGTGAGCGGATATCTGAATGAGGACGTTTGCCTCTGGCAGGTCAAATGAAGTATCTGCAACCTGAACACAGACCCCAGATATTTAAAGTTGCATCTTTGTGTAAAACACACGAAATAATTCCCCATTACTAATTTCATTTTGATATGTTTGCATACAAACACTCATGAAACATTAAAGAAATCAAATAGTTAAAAACAGTGTGTGTCAAAAACCCATTGTAGCCTTTCCACCTTGCATCCCTTTATTTCTTTACAGATGTTTATTTATTTATCAAATACAGGCAGCACATATATACTAATCAAAAGAAGTTAAAGAACATGCAATGATTTCATATTACTACAGTTAATCATGTCATGTTCTTTAACTTCTTTTGAGTAGTATATATGTGCTGCCTGCACAAAAGTTTTGTCTCTCTTATTTTAACTTGGACATGAACAGATGCAAGTTGGAGGTCAGCTGAAACAGCATTTTAAGCTGAATCATTTCAGAAAAAAGTTTCTTCCCATTGGCTTAAAAAACCCAACAAACTTGACCCATGGGATGAAAGATATATTGAATACCCAAAGAGGTGACGTCAACGTCGAGTCCAAGATTATTGCACTTGTATAGCGATGGTGTGTGTGTGTGTGTGTGTGTGTGTGTGTGTGTGTGTGTGTGTGTGTGTGTGTGTGTGTGTGTGTGTGTGTGTGTGTGTGTGTGTGTGTGTGTGCACGCATGCAACTTCCTTAGTCAATTTGAACATCCTCAGAAAATGTTTCATTCCTCCAACATGTCCAATGTTCACACATGGAAACATAACCGGAAACAGCACTAAACCGTCTACCTTTGACACAAAGATTGTGTTGACTTTAGGGTTGTGCACAAAGTTCTGGAGAATCTGCAGTCTCTCCCCCTGGCTGGTCGGGCCGTACAGGTAGGGTCTGCAACAGTGATACAGTCAGTAGTCTACACAAGTTTTAAGGAATATATTATGATCTTGGGCCATTCAAAATGGGAACAAGTAAAAGTGATTTTCATCACTGAGCTGGTCACTTGAAACATGCTGTGTGAACAATTCTTTTTTCAGGTTCTCAAGTCAAGTTTTGGATTAGTCTGGCAAATACATCTGATTTGGTGCTGTAGTATGACAGTCAAGACTGTCAGAATTTTAATTCCCAAATGTTAAAAGAAAGGTGTCTGAACAAACATATACACATATACACTTCAGAAACAGCACTTACTTATTGAGTTTGATAGCATAATGCTTGAGAGAAAACACATTGTCAGCAAACACGATAATCTTGTCGTTCCTCCTCTCGTGGTAGCGGATGAGGAATTGACAGGCCCGGAACTTGTTGGGATTCATGCAGTACAGCAGCTGGGGAGAGGAGAATTCAATTCCGTGTTATATGTTATACTTACAACAATCCCAGTGAGTCCCCTCAACTAGCTCTATCTATGAATCAATGGCAAATCCCTATCATGGACACTTCACCTCGCACCGCAGGGAGGTAAAACATTTAGCAAGGACATGTGTTTGCCCTCTTGCGAATTTGACCACCTGCTGGATGGTTGAGAAATAACAGGGCCAGTAAGTAGCTCACACTATTATTTTGTTTAGCAATCTTCCAACAATATCACAACTGGGACACCAGAAATGGACATGATAAAATGTTCTCATGTGGGGAGGCGAACCTGGGCCTTAAGCGTGATGGGTGAAACTGGGACTGAAGGCGTGTTGAGTGAACTCTTTAACCCAATATTGAATGTCTGGGCCAGGCAGAGATTTAAGTAAAACGATATGTGGATATAGACTACCAAGAACTTTGGACAAACATTCATAAAAGCAAATACCAGTTTCTTCATAGATTTCATCTGTAGATATTCTCTGTAGAATTCAGGCGCCATTGGACACCAGACCTGAAAAATAAATGGCACAGAATAACTTACTTGACATAATGACGAACGTTACTTATCATCATCTAGCCAGTGATAGGTCATGTTCCTGAGGCAAGGGTGTCAACAACTATAAAAGTCAAGTTTCCTCCCTTACCAAACTAGGCAAACTGTACACAGACAATATAGCCTTACTGCAGCACACTGTACACAGGCAATGAAGCCTTACTTCAGCACACTGTACACAGGCAATGTAGCCTTACTTCAGCACACTGTACACAGGCAATGTAGCCTGACTTCAGCACACTGTACACAGGCAATGTAGCCTGACTTCAGCACACTGTACAGGGCAATGTAGCCTTACTTCAGCACACTGTACAGGGCAATGTAGCCTTACTTTAGCACACTGTACAGGGCAACGTAGCCTTACTTCAGCACACTGTACAGGGCAATGTAGCCTGACTTCAGCACACTGTACAGGGCAATGTAGCCTGACTTCAGCACACTGTACACAGGCAATGTAGCCTTACTTCAGCACACTGTACAGGGCAATGTAGCCTGACTTCAGCACACTGTACACAGGCAATGTAGCCTTACTTCAGCACACTGTACAGGGCAATGTAGCCTTACTTCAGCACACTGTACATGGGCAATGTAGCCTTACTTCAGCACACTGTACAGGGCAATGTAGCCTTACTTCAGCACACTGTACAGGGCAATGTAGCCTTACTTCAGCACACTGTACACGGGCAATGTAGCCTTACTTCAGCACACTGTACACGGGCAATATAGCCTTACTTCAGCACACTGTACACGGGCAATATAGCCTTACTTCAGCACACTGTACACGGGCAATGTAGCCTTACTTCAGCACACTGTACATGGGCAATGTAGCCTTACTTCAGCACACTGTACAGGGCAATGTAGCCCTACTTCAGCACACTGTACACGGGCAATGTAGCCTTACTTCAGCACACTGTACACGGGCAATGTAGCCTTACTTCAGCACACTGTACATGGGCAATGTAGCCTTACTTCAGCACACTGTACAGGGCAATGTAGCCTTACTTCAGCACACTGTACACAGGCAATGTAGCCTTACTTCAGCACACTGTACACTGTACACGGGCAATGTAGCCTTACTTCAGCACACTGTACACAGGCAATGTAGCCTTACTTCAGCACACTGTACACGGGCAATGTAGCCGGCATTCTGCAGTTCCATCCAGTTAGCCTCGTACAGCTTGGGGCCGATCAGAAAGTTGAGGTCAGCAATCTTGTCATCCTCACGGACCAGTGTTGCGGTCAGTCCCAGTTTGCAGTGGGCATTGACAATGGTCAGTACCCGTCGGAACATCTTGGCTGGAATTGTCTGTACCTCTGTTTCCAAACAATCATAAAAAATTATCATCAATGAGTACAACAGAGCAACAAAGAGGGAAAAACGTAAGGGTAGTTTTACGTCAATGCTGCATTTTAACACATAATCATACATAACACTGCTTTAAAATGTCTGACAATGATTGAGAAGAATACAAAAATTAGCTTTGCAGGCATCTAATCAGCTGTTTCAATCAGTGGTGGTCCTTGTGATTTGAAACCTAGAAATTGAGTTTTCTGCACGAAACAAATCGGCACACATACTGAATATTGTAGTAGCCACAGCTCCTTTTATAACCAGTAATTGTACATTGTTTTCCAAATGCCTGACAATAACTGGGAATAAATAAATCTTAGCTTCTGCACTGATGCAGTGGTTTTTGCGATGTGAAACCTTTGATTGACCAATCAGAATCAAGTATTTGCTCATGGTCAAATTTTGCTTAATGCCACAATCAGAATTATCCCAGCTATATCAAGGCGGTTTCAAATAAAACTTAGTGTGGCCATGCTATCGGTCAAACATTCTGACCAACAGATCTTTGTTTTCGTTGCTAACACAGAAGAAGTACATCTAGATAGTGAGAGTTTACTGACCATCAAGGAGCATGATGCCCCACTCCTGGCTCTGCATCCACTCCATCATTTTCTCCGCCTCCCACGACCGCTTCATGGAGTGCGCCAACATGGAGTAAGTGCTGATGCAGATGGCACAGCCTGCAATACAGGACACATGTATGCACAGAAACATAGACGCACATGCACACAGACATGAATAACAGACTCTCATGTAATACTTAGATTATATGGCAGTTTTCATATCATATACCATACCATATCAACCCGAGACCCCCATATCACCCCCAGTATGAAAGCAAGAGGGCTGATTTGGGAGTTGAGGGTTGATATTGGGTATGATATGAAAACTGCCATATACTAACCTCTTTATCATAAAAAATAACATTAAATTGTAAGTGTATCTGTGGAAGTGGAAGTCATATTCAAATTTTCACCTTGTTTGGAAGACATTGTCACGGAACAGCTAGCTGTGCAGATGACACACTAAGAGATGTAAATCCCATTTTTTACTACCCAGGCTGATATCGATGATTCATCACAATGCATTGACAAGCCATATCAGCCCGGTTGGGGTGTAGTACGGGTCTGGTTATTACACCCCCCCGTGATATGACCGTCTCTATGTAGGCTCTATCACACATGCAACATGCCTGATATTATTGAGAGGTATATGATAAACTGAATTATGATAACTAGGCATGCATCAGTCTGGTGACAAACTTACCCATTGGTTTATCTTTGGCATCTGAGGTGAACCTACAGATCAGACTGTCATCTACTGTAGACCACATCTTGAACTAAAAAACACAACACTGGAGTTATCTACCTTTGTTGAAACAGGGTCATGTTGCAAACAGATCATAGGCACCAAGTGTTTATATCACTGAAGAGACTATGTCCCTACATAGCACATACACTTCCAGAAGAAACTATTTCATATGATATATATAAAGTAATTATTATGAGATTCTGCTTCAGTTGCAAGAACTCTTCCACTGACAATCTACATTTACCTGCAACCTCCATTCACCTTCCCCCTCCATTCGCTTGATATCTCCTTTCTTCTGCTAACTCCATTTCCCTATAACCTCCATTCACCTGCACCCTCCATTCACCTATGACCTCCATTCACCTGCAACCTCAATTCACCTGCACCCTCCATTCACCTACGACCTCCATTCACCTGCAACCTCCATTCACCTATGACCTCCATTCACCTATGACCTCCATTCACCTGCAACCTCCATTCACCTACGACCTCCATTCACCTGCACCCTCCATTCACCTTTGACCTCCATTCACCTGCAACCTCCATTCACCTACGACCTCCATTCACCTGCAACCTCCATATCCCTATAACCTCCATTCACCTGCAACCTCCATTCACCTGCAACCTCCATTCAGCTATAACCTCCATTCACCTGCGACCTCCATTCACCTATGACCTCCATTCACCTGCAACCTCCATTCACCTATGACCTCCATTCACCTGCAACCTCCATTCACCTACGACCTCCATTCACCTGCAACCTCCATTTCCCTATAACCTCCATTCACCTGCAACCTCCATTCACCTGCGACCTCCATTCACTTATGATCGCCATTCACCTATGACCTCCATTCACCTGCAACCTCCATTCACCTGCAACCTCGATTCACATACAACCTCCATTCACCTGCAACCTCCATTCACATACAACCTCCATTCACCTGCAACCTCCATTCACCTGCAACCTCCATTCACATACAACCTCCATTCACCTGCAACCTCTATTGATCTGTGATCTCCATTCACCTATGACCTCCATTCACCTGCAACCTCCATTCACATACAACCTCCATTCACCTGCAACCCCCATTCACCTATGATTGCCATTCACCTATGACCTCCATTCACCTGCAACCTCCATTCACCTTCAACCTCCATTCACATACAACCTCCATTCACCTGCAACCTCCATTCACCTACAGCCTCCATTCAGCTACAACATCCATTCAACTGCAAACCTCCATTCACAGGCGACCTCCATTCACATACAACCTCCATTCACCTGCGACCTCCATTCACCTGCAACCTCCATTCACATACAACCTCCTTTCACCTACAACCTCCATTCAGCTACAACATCCATTCAACTGCAACCTCCATTCACCGGCGACCTCCATTCACCTGCAACCTCCATTCACCTACGACCTCCATTCACCTGCAACCTCCATTTCCCTATAACCTCCATTCACCTGCAACCTCCATTCACCTGCGACCTCCATTCACCTGCAACCTCCATTCACTTATGATCGCCATTCACCTATGACCTCCATTCACCTGCAACCTCCATTCACCTGCAACCTCCATTCACATACAACCTCCATTCACCTGCAACCCCCATTCACCTATGCTTGCCATTCACCTATGACCTCCATTCACCTGCAACCTCCATTCACCTTCAACCTCCATTCACATACAACCTCCATTCACCTGCAACCTCCATTCACATACAACCTCCATTCACCTGCAACCTCCATTCAGCTACAACCTCCATTCACCTGCAACCTCCATTCAGCTACAACCTCCATTCACCTGCAACCTCCATTCACATACAACCTCCATTCACCTGCACCCCCCATTCACCTATGATCGCCATTCACCTATGACCTCCATTCACCTGCAACCTCCATTCACATACAACTTCCATTCACCTGCAACCTCCATTCAGCTACAACATCCATTCAACTGCAACCTCCATTCACCGGCGACCTCCATTCATCTACAACCTCCATTCACCTGCAACCTCCATTCACCTATGACCTCCATTCACCTACGACCTCCATTCACCTGCAACCTCCATTCACCTATGACCTCCATTCACCTGCAACCTCCATTCACCTGCAACCTCCATTCACCTACGACCTCCATTCACCTGCACCCTCCATTCACCTCCGACCTCCATTCACCTGCACCCTCCATTCACCTTTGACCTCCATTCACCTGCACCCTCCATTCACCTATGACCTCCATTCACCTGCAACCTCCATTCACATACAACCTCCATTCAGCTGCAACCCCCATTCACCTATGATCGCCATTCACCTGCAACCTCCATTCACATACAACCTCCATTCAGCTGCAACCTCCATTCACCTGCAACCTCCATTGATCTGTGATCTCCATTCACCTACAACTTCCATTCACTTCAACCTCTATTGATCTGTGATCTCCACCCCTGTTAGCACGTGACCTTCACTCACCTGTGACCTCCACTGCTCAACCGACACTCCTGATGTACACAGACATATGCAGCGTTTCCTCACGGTACAGGCAGCTGTCACCCCAACCAGAGTCTTACCGGCACCTGGTTTCAAAACAAGCCAGACATCATCAACACAAGTTCCTCACAATCCACACTTTCAAATATACAATACTGAATACCTTGAATTAAATGAAAATTTAAATTTTCCAATATCTAAATGAATATCACAGTGCCATGAACAGCTTTGACTACCCACCGCAGGGTAGCACAATGACTCCCGACCGAGCCCTGCCATTCCCAAACATCTTCCGAAGACTCTTCTCCTGGTAGGGTCGCAGAACTGTGGACGGCTTCAGATCCATGCTGAAAACACCACACTCAGATCAGTCACTTCAGACTCCTGGCCTCAGCAGTCAGTGATCAGTACCAAGATAACACCATACTTCTTTTCAACATGTTAAAAAAATGTTATTTTAAGTAATTGTTCAATAGTCAGCAAGATCTCCTTTGATTCTACCGGTTGCCAATCATTTGACATAGTCACACTATTATTACAAAATGGCCTCCATTCTGCAGCAACCCGTCTGATTCCCATTCTCTCATTCTCTGTCAGTACATAACCACCTGACAATCAGGGGATGTCGACTTCGTCCGTCTACCGAGATGTCACCATGATATACTCAACGATGAGTGTGACGTAGCCATTTTGTCTTCTAGCATGTCCCTTGTCACATGATCACCTAATTGAGCAGAACATCCAGTATGGACATCAACATGTTGCATTTGTTACACATTTTCTGGTGTCCTCAATGCACACATACATCTTAAAAGCTGTCATGACAGTGATAGATTATTTGTGGTGTTTACATAACAAGCTCTCAACAGTCACTGTGTGTTATTTTATGCCGCAGTCAGTAATTTCCCAGCTATCATGGCGATCTGAGACTGATCGGGTCCGTTGACAGCATGATGTTGCCACCCATTGTAAGAGGATGACACACAAATAGCTCTGTCACATATTGTACCGGTAACCACCAGGTCCTTATCAGTTGGCTATCAACCCCTGAAAAACTATTCCCAGGAACACAGGATATGACAATCTGTATATTTATTCAACTTCTATTTACAATAAACAAATCAATAAGATGCAGACAGGCACAATGGGATATGCTCTCTGGAACACACCATCCATCTTGCATCCTTACCCAAAAACTAACTGCCCCACTACCTCACACAGTTAAATCCCAGTCATATGGCATATATACAAATACACAACACAGGATGTAATAAATCCAAGGATACAAACAAAAACCCTGCGCTATAAAAGAAACCTGAAGTAATATTAAATGGAATGCAAAGGGAGATAACTCTGGAATCATATAACATGTAGACCATTAGAAAATATGGTCAAAAACACCATTATTTCTGCATTGACTATGACAGGCTGATCATCTTTATACACCATAGTGATTCTGAAACAGAGTGAGTGAGTTAGGTTTAACTGTATTTTAACAGTATTCCAGTTATATCGTGGCGTGTCAGCTTAATGTGGGAGGAAAGCCCTAAGTGATGTAGGTCTCAGATGTTTACCACTCTGGTGAAACACATGAGCACGGGAATGGATCAGACAAACCTAGAAATATAATCGGGGCGAACTGGGATTTGAACCCACAATCACAGGTTTCTGGCATGTCCAAGGGACGCAACTCTGCACAGCGAATTGCCACCCGTGCCCCCCAGAAACTATGTGTGAAATGACTTAATGGATTCAGTGGTCAGGCTAGGTGTTTGTGTGTCATCGCATCCCCAATGGTGAGGATCAGTGCAGACTAGTGTTTGGTTTGGCTAGTGCAGACTCAATCATTTACAGGTGGCCATCTTTAAAACTGTGCAGATTTAAACTAAAATGAATAGTTGGCTTTTATGACCAGCAATGGGAATAGAGGACTGACTGAGAATCCTCATGCTTGTAAGATTGCTGGCATCAAGAATGGAATCAGGGTTTCACCAGATGCAAAATATTCTGGACCCATGAAGATCTGGGGTAGAATACGTCTAAGGAACCCATGCTTGTCGTAAAATGTGCCTACGCTATTCATAAGATTTCTTTTTTATTTGTTGTTGAATGCTGCACTCAGCAATATGCCAGCTATATGACGGCGGTCTGTAAATAATCATGTCTGGACCAGACAATCCAGTGATTGACATCATGAGCATCGGTCCATGCAATTGGAATACAATGACATGAATTAACAAAGTCAGTGAGCCTGACCATCCAATCCCATTAGACGCCTCTTACGAAAAGCACAGTCGCCTTTTATAGCAAGAATGGGCTGCTGAAGACCAATGCTAATGATGTCAATCACTGGATTGTCTGGTCCAGACTGCCGTCATTTAGCTGGAATATTGCTGAGTGCAGCATTAAACAACAAACAAATAAATGTTGTGAATTTACTTACTTCACATCCGGGTTGACTGTATCATTCCTGAAGTCATATTCTGCCAGCAGAGGATGCTCCAGCTCTATACACCTGAAACCCAAGCCAAGAACATCGGTAACTATATGTACAGTCAACTAAACCCATTAATGTCTTGTGTCTATACGTGGGTGTATCTGAGTGTGTCTGTACGGCTGTTAACTTGTACATGTGTGTGTAGGAGTGTGTCTGTGCCTGTGTTTTCATTTTTGTCTTCAATTTCTGTTTTCTTTTGTGTGTGTATGTGAGATTGTTGTGTGTGGATGTCTGTGTCTGTTTTTAAGTGTGTGTGTCTATCCATTTGTGTCTGAATGTCTGTGTGCTCGATCTGTGTCATTAAGTATGTGTGTTTGTGTGTATGATTTGTGTGTTTTTCTCTGTGTAAATATGTCTGTATGTCTCAGGATCAGTGAGCATGTGTGTCTGTTCTGTGTGGATGTTTGTGTCAATAAATGTGTGTCTTTGAGACTGTGGGTGTGTCTGTGAGTGGGTGTGTATGTGAGACTGTGGGTGGGTGTGTCTATGAGTGGGTGTGTCTGTGAGACTGTGGGTGGGTGTGTCTGTGAGTGGGTGTGTCTGTGAGACTGTGGGTGGGTGTGTGAGACTGTGGGTGTGTGTATCTGCGAGACTGTGGGTGGGTTTGTGAGACTGTGTGTGTGTCTGTGAGACTGTGGGTGGGTGGGTGTGTCTGTGACACTTTGGGTGTGTGTGTCTGTGAGACTGAGGGTGTGTGTGTCTGTGAGACTGTGGGTGGGTGTGTCTGTGAGTGGGTGTGTATGTGAGACTGTGGGTGGGTGTGTCTGTGAGTGGGTGTGTATGTGAGACTGTGGGTGTGTGTGTCTGTGAGACTGTGGGTGGGTGTGTCTGTGAGTGGGTGTGTCTGTGAGACTGTGGGTAGGTGTGTGAGACTGTGGGTGTGTGTATCTGCGAGACTGTGGGTGGGTGTGTGAGACTGTGGTTGGGTGTGTCTGTGAGACTGTGCATGTGTGTGTCTGTGAGACTGTGCGTGTGTGTCTGTGCGAGACTGTGGGTGGGTGTGTCTGTGAGACTGTGGGTGGATGTGTCTGTGAGACTGTGGGTGAGTTGGTGTGTCTGTGAGACTGTGGGTGGGTGGGTGTCTCTGTGAGACTGTTGGTGGGTGTGTCTGTGAGACTGTGGGTGGGTGGGTGTGTCTGTGAGACTGTGGGTGGGTTGGTGTGTCTGTGAGACTGTGGGTGAGTGGGTGTGTCTGTGAGACTGTGGGTGAGTGGGTGTGTCTGTGAGACTGTGGGTGGGTGGGTGGGTGTGTCTGTGAGACTGTGGGTGTGTGTGTCTGTGAGACTGTTGGTGAGTAGATGTGTCTGTGAGACTGTGGGTGTGTGTGTCTGTGACACTGTGGGTGGCCGTGTCTGTAATACTGTTGATGGAGTGTCTGTGAGACTGTTGATGGTGTGTCTGTGAGACTGTGGGTGGGTGGGTGTGTCTGTGAGACTGTGGGTGGGTGGGTGTGTCTGTGAGACTGTGGGTGGGTGGGTGTGTCTGTGAGACTGTGGGTGGGTGGGTGTGTCTGTGACACTGTGGGTGGGTGTGTCTGTGAGACTGTGGGTGGGTGGGTGTGTCTGTGAGACTGTGGGTGTGTGTGTCTGTGAGACTGTTGATGGTGTGTCTGTGAGACTGTGGGTGTGTGTGTCTGTGAGACTTTGGTGGATGTGTCTGTGAGACTGTGGGTGTGTGTGTCTGTGAGACTGTGGGTTGGTGTGTCTGTGAGACTGTTGATGGTGTGTCTGTGAGACTGTGGGTGTGTGTGTCTGTGAGACTGTGGGTGGGTGTGTCTGTGACACTGTGGGTGGCCGTGTCTGTGAGAGTGTGGGTGGGTGTGTCTGTGAGACTATGGGTGTGTGTGTCTGTGAGACTGTTGATGGAGTGTCTGTGAGACTGTGGTTGGGTGTGTCTAAGTCTCACCGCTTCTGCACATCCTCCACACGCTCCTGCATAACCTCAAAGGACACAGTCTTGAGTTGATTATCATCCTCATCATCCTCGTCCTTGTCCAGCTTGTCGTAGTAGTCAAATATATCGTCCGGCACCTTGTCCTCCTCCGTAGCCGTCTCCCCCTCCGCCCCTGTTGCTGTCTGATCTGTCTGCGAAGATGACGCTGCGGCTGTCGTCGCTGGCCTGTTCAACTGGACATTCAATCACAGTGATTCAACATTTCCATTATTAGCCAAATTCCAATAATTTATGAAATAACATCCGTTCCATCAAACTTGGTTTTGGTTTACATGGGTGAGTATTGCCATAAGAACATGATGCAGGAGCCAGTACAATTCTGTGAGTGAGTGAGTTTTTCAGAGCTTTGAAATATGTTTAAGTCATGTCACAGTGTGTCAGTTTAATGTTGGAGGACAACCTTTAGTGATGATGGTCCTAAATGTTTTACTACTTCAGTGCAAACCAGAAACATCAGTACATAGGTGACAAACCAAGAATCAGAATCAGGGTGAATCTGGGATTCATTATCCATTATCACTGGATTCTGGCACGACTGAGGGAGACAACTCTGTACAGTAAATTCTGACAGTATATGTGACTGGGCATATCATTGAGAGAGCTAAGATACCAGTAGTGCTGACTTCCCCGACACTATCCCATGACAAAGCTAACATACATGTAGTGCTGACTTTCCCGACACTATCCCATGACAAAGCTAACATACATGTAGTGCTGACTTTCCCGACACCTATCCCATGATAAAGCTAACATACATCCAGCGCTGACTTCCCCGACACCTCTCCCTGACACCTCTCCCTTGATAAAGCTAACATACATGTAGTGTTGACTTCCCCCGATACCTCTCCCTTGATAAAACTAACATACATGTAGTCCTGACTTCCCCGACACCTCTCCCATGATAAAGCTAACATACATGCAGCGCCGACTTCCCCGACACCTCTCCCTTGATAAAGCTAACATACATGTAGTGTTGACTTCCCCGACACTACCTTATGATAATGCTTACATACATGTAGTGCTGACTTCCCCAACACCTCTCCCTTGATAAAGCTAACATACATGTAGTGCTGACTTCCCCGACACCTCTCCCATGATAAAGCTAACATACATGCAGCGCCGACTTCCCCAACACCTCTCCCTTGATAAAGCTAACATACATGTAGTGTTGACTTCCCCGACACTACCCTATGATAATGCTTACATACATGTAGTGCTGACTTCCCCAACACCTCTCCCTTGATAAAGCTAACATACATGTAGTGCTGACTTCCCCGACACCTCTCCCTTGATAAAGCTTACATACATGTAGTGTTGACTTCCCCGACACCTCTCCCTTGATAAAGCTAACAAACATGCAGCGCTGACTTCCCCAACACCTCTCCCTTGATAAAGCTAACATACATGTAGTGCTGACTTCCCCGACACCTCTCCCTTGGTAAAGCTTACATACATGTAGTGCTGACTTCCCCCGACACCTCTCCCTTGATAAAGCTTACATACATGTAGTGTTGACTTCCCCGACACCTCTCCCTTGATAAAGCTAACATACATGTAGTGCTGACTTCCCCGACACTATCCCTTGATAAAGCTAAGATACCAGTAGTGCTGACTTCCCCGACACCTCTCCCTTGATAAAGCTAACATACATGTAGTGCTGACTTCCCCGACACTATCCCTTGATAAAGCTAACATACATGTAGTGTTGACTTCCCCGACACCTCTCCCTTGATAAAGCTAACATACATGTAGTGTTGACTTCCCCTGACACCTCTCCCTTGATAAAGCTAACATACATGTAGTGTTGACTTCCCCGATACCTCTCCCTTGATAAAGCTAACATACATGTAGTGCTGACTTCCCCGACACCTCTCCCTTGATAAAGCTTACATACATGTAGTGTTGACTTCCCCTGACACCTCTCCCTTGATAAAGCTAACAAACATGTAGTGTTGACTTCCCCGACACCTCTCCCTTGATAAAGCTAACATACATGTAGTGCTGACTTCACCGACACCTCTCCCTTGATAAAGCCCTCGGCAGTGGCGTCCTCCTCTGCATCGTCCCGCTTGCGACATTCCTGGATGACAGGATCCTTCAACAGCTTCTGCAGGACATCCTGTGTACAACGTAAAGCAGTTGTTTTGACAAGTGATGTTTTATTTGTTGTTGACCACCACATTCAGCAATAAATTCTGCTAAATGACGGCAGCTGGGAAATATTCAAGTCACAGACTAACCACTAACTAAAAGGCTGATCTGTGTCCCACGTTGTCCGGGTACCATAACTCTGACTGAAACGCCCAAGAGTTACCCTCCTGTGACATTTCCAACAATGCATAGCTTTGTATGTTAGCCTGTCCTAAATTTAGAGGCATCACATTGATTGAACTGAGTCATAAACAATCACTTTAATTGGACGATAAATAGCATGGATTAGCCTATCATAGTCAATAATGGAATAAGTGAGTGAGTGAGAGAGTAAGGTTTTACGCCTCTTTTAACCATATTCAGAAATATCACAGCAGGGGGACACCAGAAACGGGCTTCCTACATTGTACCCATGTGTGGAATCAAACGTAGGCCTTTGACATGACGATCAAACACTTTAACCACTAGGCTACCCGACTGCCCCTCAATACTGAAGTTAGAAATCAATGGCTAGTATCATCTCCCTAAGTGTAATACTAAATCCTGAAGGGCCATTATGTTAAGTTAGAGTAAACAGTAAAACTGTTTGTGTTCCGGCGAAAAGGAAATATTGGGTACCAGTATATACTGACTGATACACCACATAGGTTGAAGAAAACAATTTATTACCAGACCCATTTAAGGGGACATTTATGTGTCATAGCTAGCAGACCAGACATCAAATATTCACATAAAACTTGGATTAAACATAAACACTTTCCACTACATCTCCTCTTGCCACTGGTTTGAGAGGCAACCTGAAGGTTCACAGTTTTAGCCAAGGTAGGACAATAGGACTATTTACATATTTTCTCTCCACTTGATATTTATTCACAATCGAAACTGCAAGAAATGATTTAGGAACATAATGTTTACGGGAGTTAACTGACTATATAAGTCAGGCTTCCACCCTTGCCGAACAAGGCTGGAATTTCTGGGCTCAATCATAGCGCCACCAGTAGGTATTACGAGTTATCTCCCTTCTATGTCCCTCCTATTTAACCAATTCAGATTCCATCTCTCATATCATTTGCATTTGCTTCAAACAAAATGGCGTTGCCCAGTGAAGACGGGTTGATTGATCATCAAAATCTATTTGTGATAAAACAGGTCTTGTATATTGCGAAGTGCATCAAATCATGTGAGCACCTAGATAAAAAAAGATTTGTAAAATATCTGTTGACACTGAGTAGGCAATACACATGCTTTGCAAATACTGCAATCGAACGAAATCTGCACTTCAGTTTATGAACCGGATGTAGATTTTGTTACACGATTTTGCTTGGACTATGCACAGGCTCCATTTGTCTAGCCAAAGACATATATACGTCCGTGGTCTAGCCAATATAATTCCAGCCTAGTTCAGCTTTAACAGTCAGTTATCTCCCTTGCCTTGGGAAGATGGTGGAGGTCAAACAAGGGTACATCTGTTGGTCGCTTTAAATGACAGATATAACTAAACAAAAACTGCTTGGGCTCTTGACTATTTTTCGGAGATATTTTGTAGGAAATTGTGTGCTCAGTCTTCATTACAAAAACTATCCCTATATATATTCATGATCCCAAAGTTTTTTTGTTAAGCATAATCATTGTTTCCCCACTAAAAACAGCAACAGTTGTCTGAATTTCGGTCGACATGCGCTCTTGAATCATACCATGCAAGTCAGTTGGGCAATGTTGGCACATCACGCTGTTAGTGCCGAACAACAAAGACCTGCTGAAACTATACCAATGCAAGCAAATCGACCCATGTTGATACTTCATCAGTCTCAGGGGTGTTTTGTGTAAGAACGGAAATCCCTACATGCTCTTTCCCTTCCATGTCAGTGGACATTTCTGCGATCCAATAGTGTCATCTTCCCGAGGCAAGGAAGTTAACTGACTATAAAAGTCCAGCTTAAACTCTTGCCAAATTAGGCTGGAATTTCATGGTTCAGTTGTGGCCACCAGTGGCTATTATGATTGATGTCCCTTCTATGTCCCTCTAATTGACCCATCAGATTCCACCTCTCATATCGTTGTATTTTACTTCAAATGTAAATGGTATCACCCAATCAAGGCCATCTGATCTGGTTAATGAAAGTTTCACAGTCCCTGTCTCAGAGACCCAGTGCATGTGCATTGTAGCATGTTGATCAAAAACATGAAAAGATTTGGAATATATCTGTTGATGCCCATTTGTTTATGAACCAGATGTCAATTTCATTACGCAGTTTTGATTAGACTATGCATAGACTTGTTTGTCCAGCCAAAATATAACTAAGAAAATCCAACCTTGTTTGGCCAGGGTGGAAACAGAAGAGGACTTTAATAGTCAGTTATCTCCCTTGCATTGGGAAGATGCAAGCTCCTTCCCAGCGCGTGACACCTTCGTTACACTCTCGGTAACATCGCTGCCACCAGTGTGGGCCGGCCATTACAAGAATCTTGAAATTTGCCCTCCAACCCTATATGTAGTAACGTTTATACTTTTGTTTATGTCTTTGGGAATGCCATCATATTTCAATTTGAAAAGGTTTACGACTGACCATGTTTTCGAGATGAATTTACTTTGTTGTTTTGATAATCAGATTGGTTCGAGATTGCAGACTAACGGAAAATCAACCAACTTCTCCCTTACATTCTTACTATGTAAATAACACGATAGTTTTAATGAAACAGAGATTCAAAGTGACAAACGAAGAAAGTAATTTAGCAGCGACAAGTGTATTCGGCGTCACGACAGTCGTCACTTGTTTGTAAACATAACGGTTATTCGGTTGCGAGTTCAACTCCAAGCATGGTTGTGGCCACCTATTCACAGTGGGGAGTTTTGACTGGTGGCAGCGATAGTATAGAGAGCTCCGGGAACGTACGATCGCTGTGAGGAGCTTGGGGAAGATGCATTACGGCTGACTGAAAGATGTATACTTGGTCAAATAATAATAATAAGAAGGTCTAGTGGACACAGTGACTGTCAGCCTTGGAACAAGCCAGTCCAAGCCATATCTAAATGGTCAATATCAGTAAATACACTGGAGACTGAACTGTTGGACATGACACGAGGGTACTCACTGGGTGCTGGCTCTCCACAAAGTATCTGTTGTGCTTCAGGACCAGCTTCACCTTCCCGTAACTCAGAGTGCACAGCTGCAGCAGACACAACAGGTGAACAACAGGTGAACACCAGCTCACACACACCTACATTACATCATCACTACATTTCTTTATAAATGCCTCCCTCACCTGTGATTACAAGCAACTGAGAGGCGGTGTAGTAGTGACTTCAGTCTAAGTCAAGCTATGAAATGAAACCATGTATAACTCACAGAAGTCAAATAACCCAATCTCATTCAAATCAGACCTTAGTTCTCGCTCCCAATCAGTGCCTTCACTTCCCAGATTATGAAAGTGACAGTCGTAATGTGATTTCTAATCATGCAATCTCAAAAACTTTAACATTGGGTATTCTGAACGATAGTTACGGGTTTAACGACTGAATCCTTACAATCTAGACCATCTATTAGCCATTCCAGAATGTTTTTTTGTTCAGGTTTCAAATTTGTAATCGAGAATTTGTCAAAATATGTTTCGAAGCGTAGTCGCCAATTTGAAATCAGTGCCATAAAGCACGAAAAAGCTGCCTTCTGATTGGTCATTCCATTGGTCGGTCAAAGTTCGTGCAAGGTCGGTCTGACGTGACCCGTAATGGGATGTCCTCAGATCTTTGCTTAGCGGTAGCGAGAACGGAGATCTGATTTTAATGAGATTGTGAAATAACCACAGCTCCTTGCATTAATTGCGTGTTCACCCTACAGTAGCCTGACATGGAAACAAGTAGAGTAGATGGCTGTAAGGCTGTGGTATGTGCATACTGTACTTTGTACAACAAGATTTGAGCGTTCATTTGTCATTTCCCTCATGCAAGAACCAGGCTGTGGCTGTGACTACATTGCAAAGTGACTGTATGTATTCATGTGTGATGGAGGAAGATAGTGTATACAAACCTGCACAGTACTTCATTGATCTAAGGTTTTTTTCAAAACTGTAGGGTTGGCAGTCAAAACAAAAATAAAATATAAATGTTGAACATGTGTTTCTCTAAATGACCTGATCAAAACATATTGACTTGTGTACCCCTTCAAAACCCAAAGAAAAACAGTTGTTTTGAATGAAAACAATAGTGTTATTTCCCCTTCTATTGTGGCCTATATATTCATTTTCATTTTGTCAGTGATAAGGTCTGGTAACTGTCTCTTACAAACATCCATGACCTGAGATGTAAATACACACGATGGAAGTGTTACTGTCCCCTATTTTTCCACAAACCTTTATAAACTCAATGATTCCGTTAGGGAGGGATGTTTTGCTGAGTCGGCGAAGATACTCAATGATGTCATTTGTCTCCAGGCCCACAGAGACGGCGGCATACAGGGAGTAGGCCGTCAGCTTGTACTCGTGTATGTGGAGCGGTCGACACACTGGCTGCAACAATACACTCACATCTACACTTAGCCCCCAATCACTACAATAGGTTCAGGGTTTTATTACTTGGCTGTGAAGAGATCACCCGTTTAATAAACATACAGCTGTATTACACATTGTGCAATACCAAAGTGCACGTTTATCTGATCCAGTCGCCACTAGTCTGATCTATATACAAGTTTCATTAAGAAATATTCAACAGTTTTGGTGTTCTGCTCTGGATATGAACACTACCCTCATTTTCAGTTTAATCCAACTTGTCTTCATGAAAAATATAAAAGCAATAATAATAAAAAATCTGAAATCATCAAAAGGCACCAGTTCACCACTAGACGATAAATGAAGACAGGTGATAGATGAGAAGCACACGCACACACAAGATGAAAGTAAAAAGAACAAATTCTACTGTAGAACTGGTCAAACTGGTTTGGTATACAGAGGTCTAGTTGTAATATCTATCGCTTATTCAAAATTAATAATTACAATATGTGCAAGTACACATCAATATTATTTACTAGCTAACTGGTACAAAACTGACTTTCGCATGTTTGAGAGTGTCAGGTCTCACCTCGGATATGGCGATAAGGAAGTCATGGGCATGTTTGTACACAGGGGAGAAGGATTCCAGGAACACATGCCCATTGGGTGCCTGCAACAGTTGTAATTGTGTGTGAGATGGTTTCAGGATTGACTTCCAACAGCAATTGATCATTGATGAAAAAGTATTGTTTTACATCAACACTACATTACATGTATTAGAATAGGTCTTCAACAACCCATGCTTGCCATAAAGTGAGTGAGTGAGTATGGTTTTACACCGCTTTTAGTAACATTTCAGCAATATCACGGTGGGGTAATCAGAAATGGGATTCACACATTGTACCCATGTCGGGAATCGGCGTGACGAGAGAACGCTTTAACCACTAGGCTACCTGACCACCCTGCTTGTCGTAAAGGTGACCATGATTGTCGTAAGAGGCGACCAACGGGGGCGGGTGGTCAAACTTGCTGACTTGGTTGATGCATTTCATCGTATCCCAATTGCGTGGATTGATGCTCATGATGTCAATCACTGGAATGTCTGGGCAATTATTTACTGATTGCCATCATATAGCTGTAATATTGCTGAGTGTGGCGCTAAACAACAAACAAACAAACAACATAAACAGTATTCCAGCTACATCAAGGTGACTACTAAACATGGTACATAACCAACTGGGACATCCTTGACATCTTACAGGCTATCATCAGAACATCATTAGTCGGTTTGTTTGTTTGTTTGTTTGCTGTTTAATGCTGTATTCAGAAATATTCCAGGTGTATGATGGCAATCATTAAATAATCAAGACAAGACAACCCAGTGATTGACATCATGAGCATCCATCTATGCAACAGGTAAGTTTGAGAATGGGATTACCTACCACCCACAAGGGTCGCGAGTTGTGGTCAAGTTTCAGCTCAAGGAGCTTGCGATAATCTTTGGCACCAAATTCATCTTCTGCACTTCGTTCTTCCACCTGCTTAGATGCAACTGTTGCGATGTCTACAAGAACATAAATCCTAATCAAGACTAAAACAATAATACAGTGAAAGCATGGTGTTTTTCACATAGAGTGACACCACAGGACCTGCACAGGGGCCTCAAGTTTGGGTCAGACCAATCTCATTAAAATTTAGATCTTAGTTCTCGCTGCCCCTGAACAAAGATCTGAGGACAGCCCATTGTGGGTCAAGACAGACCGACCTTTCGCGAACTTTGACCAACCTATGAAATGACTGACAAGAAGTCGACATTAGCCAGTCAGAAGGCAGCTTTCTCGTGCTTTATGGCACTAATTTTAAATTGGCGACTACCCTTCGAAACATATTTTGACAAATTCTCGATTAAAACTTTGAAACCTGAACAATAGAACATTCTGGAATGTCGTTATGCCCATAACTATCGTTCGGAATACCCCGTGTTAAATTTTTCAAGGTTGCATCACATTCCGACTATCACTTACATGATCTGGTAAGCGACGCTCTGACTGTTTGGATGAAAGGTCGTTCTGATGTGACCTGTAATGGGATGTCCTCAGATCTTTGTTAAGTGGTAGCGAGAACTAAGATCTGATTTTAGTGAGTGAGTTGGGTTTAACGCCGCTTTTAACAGTGTTCCAGTTATATCACGGCGTGTCAGCTTTATGTGGGAGGAAAGCCCGAAGTGGTGCAGGTCTCAGACGTTTACCACTTCGATGAAACCCACGAACACAGGTACGGTGCTGACAAACCTAGAAACATAATTGGGGTGAACCGGGATTCAAACCCACAATCATAGGTTTCTGGCTTGCCCAAGGGACGCAACTCTGCACAGCGAATCGCGGCGCCTTAGACGACTGGGCCACCCGTGCCCCCAGATCTGATTTTAATGAGATTGGGGTCAGACTATTTATGAGTATGGACAATTCTCGATTCCCATTGATGAATTGAGGTGAGGTGAGGGGAGGTGATGTGAAATTGGGTTTTATGTTGCATTCAAGATTGTTGACCTTATATAGTCACGTGCATGCATGTGTGTGTATAAGTGTGGCTGCTTGTACTAGTCTGGACCATACCGATTTCATAGGGCTAGCCCAGTGAGATACCATGCTGTAGTTTAACATGAACACCCCAATCAGACACAGAATACTGATTTCGAGCTGACCAGTCCTTGTTTTAGCCACTTAATGTCGAGCGCTAGGCATGGTAACAACAAATACCATCTTTTAATGTCTTTTGATATGATGAGGCCGGGGATCGACCCCCGACCTTCTGCTCTCCGGGCAGATGCTCTTCCACAAGACCATGGAGGTGGTCAGATTCTGACTGGTCAATCTGATGTTTTAAATGACAACAAGAAAACAGCGTTATGATTACCTCCCACCATGGAGCACATTAGACATTTGTTTGTAGTGAATATACATGGAGAAAGGGAGGATAACTACAGAAAAAGACATTATGGCATCAATTTTTTTAATCAGGCTTGACAAGTTCACTGAACTTTTTGTGAACGGCCTAAAAAAATAATTAAACCCACTGCATGGAAGTAGGCTGGCCTGGGTGCTACTTGTAAATTGTGGTTTGTGGGTTTATAAGCTATGCTGTGGTTATGAAAGTAACCTGTATTTGGGTTACGTCCACCTTGTTGCAAAGGAAACAGCAAAGGCTCCAGTTCAGCATGTGTTTGATACATATGCAAAGTTTCAAAATATAATATTAAACGGTTTCCAAGTTTTGCTCCGGAAACAAATACTACATGTATTTGAGTCTAAGTCTGTTTTTTTGCCAAGGAAACACCAAAAATATTTTTTCTTAGAAATACCAAAACATCAAAAGGTAAAGTTCAGCATGTGTTTGATACATATGCAAAATTTCATAATAACATATTTAACAGTTTCCAAGTTATGCTCCAGGAACAAAAACTTGACAGACGATTATTCTTGGGGATAATAACCACCTCTGACTGAAACAGCTCATTGTTGATTTCCACCAACTTGTTTGCCATAAGTTTTACTTTACATGTCACTGGGACATTTAAAAGTGTAGAACAATCGTTTATTATCAACTTAGTCTAAAGATATATATGCTCTGCTTTGTAAAATAGTGCAGTCCTCTGTAACCATGGTAACAACCTTTGACATTATCTGTTTCCTGGGATTCATCATCATAGTCATCATATTCTACTTCAACGACTTTGGCCCTCTTCGAGGATCTCTCTCCTGAAACACAGACACCGTCATCCAAATATAGATACATTTGTACCAAAATTTGCAAGAAACATAATTACTAATTTTATCAAAAGTTTATTTAAGAAATAAACGATGAGTGGCAGTTGTTTATCATACAATAAAACACTGAAGGGAGGGGCACAGCTGAGGGTAACTGCAGATCGACCAGGGGTATAATATGCCAGGTGCAGTATCATACCTTAGGGTATATCCTAATCACCAGTTAGAGTATTATAACTCAGAGTATATCCTAAACCCCAACTGGAGTAGTAAAAAATGATTTGTGAAATGTACGTTGTGAAATACATCCAAGTTTTAGCATCACGCCATCTACTCATTACTGCTGTTGTTTAGTGTTCCTGTTACCCTATAGAGGAAACATTTAGGTATTGTACTTTGATTGACAAAATATATACCACTTCACATTTTTTTAGCCTCACCTCTTTTCGAGTCTCTAAACAATATGTGACCACAAACTTAATGACGTAATCAAGGAGGACGCAATCAAGGAGGTTCTGTTGAAGTTTTGTTATGAATTAAGCAACACGAGATAAGATATTCAAAAATTTAAGGAAACTTACGTCTAAACGTACTTTTTGAATAATGCATATGTTACTCAAACTAAATCTGATGATAATTTTGCATTAGAAAAATCAGCTGCTGTTTGTAAACTTCCTGTCTGTAATATCACGTGACTGATCATGTTGTGCATCTATTTTTAACTTGTCTGTAATGGAGGGGCTCGAAATCATGTGACAGTAACAAGATGGTCCATGATTGACTCATCTCGCTCAGCGAGGCATTATCACTATAAAATTAACAAGACAGCTTCATTTGACCATCTATATATAAGTGTTAACAGAAATAAATGTCCTCAAAGCCAAGACCTAATTTTAGCATATTGGGATTGTTATAAGACACATAATCAGAAATACTTCTTAGCATGCTTAGGGGCTAGAAAACACACGATGCGACGATACTTTGATTGACAAAATATATACAGATCTGTATTTATCAAAACCTGATGATGAAAGTTAATTTCATTCCTCACTAGAGAAAACAGATGAAATTTGGAAGAGAAGAAAATATAAGGTGTGACTTTCTATTTGACGACAGCAGTCTGTCTTACCCACAACAGTGTTGTTTACACACTGACACACATTAGTGGTAATTTGAAGATTGATCAATGTGTGTGAAGTAATTGTAGTAAAATAACCTTAATTAATCAATTATTTTTTTAATTTCAATTATCAATAAACTCATATGACAGATATTTGTGGTTTCGTGGTTGTGTTTGGTCTCTGTCTCTCAGCACTATTTCAAAACATTGTGATAAAGTGCAATACTCCCGAAAACACAAAACACTTTAAACAGTACAATACTAAGTAGACACTGTTGCTGTTTTAGACAATACTAAAATTTCCGACGTGTGTAACTGGACATGTCTATTTCCCTCTTAAGTTAAATTACCTTTATCACGCTTGTCCTTTTTACTTCCCCCCATCCTAGAATTTCTCAGTCATATCTTGTCAACATGTTTATCTTACGCTAATGTCAGCACTTATGAGGTAACTCTTACATGAACAGAGTTAAAAAAGGAGAACTTTTATTCATTCAAAAGTGGGAATATTTGTCGAACAACGATAACTACAAGCCATTCATCGCATTTCATGATGCTTATGTGCAATACTGAAACACATAAAAAATTAGATAAAATATCAACATGCTCATACATTATTCTGAAAATACCAAGGTGCTCATACATTATTCAATGCTAATTAACGAAAGTCTCTGTCCATTTGTATTTTCGGTTCAGAATTTTAATACAGCACGTAAATCGGACCGTATATTTACGACATATAAAAAACCCAATAAAGTTTCAGGTTTAATATAATAGTGACTTAAATTCTATATTGAAAAGGCGTATTTTAAAATAATAAGGAGAAATCTTCAACATAATATATAACAATCTGCTTAACGATAACCGACATGTAAAGTTATATTTCCGGTTTGCGGTGTGATCGAAGGAAGAACTTTGGTGAAATTTAATGTAAAATTATGTTTATTGATGCATTTAATAGCATATAGTCTACTAAATCGTACGCATTATATTCTTAAGAATTCTCATTTTCAAAATGAGGGTATTTAGTCTTCATCCAATAAGTATAATCTTTCACTGAATTGAAATGACCTACTCTGCATGCCTTGAGTCGTGATTCTTTTTGTGGTATCACTGCCGACACTGGTTAGAACATTGTACCTGTTTGTGTAGAATTCGTTATGTGACCATTTCTGAGGCATTTTTTTAATAAATGTTGTAAATATTGTATACCCTTTGTGTAAAGAGTATGACTCCTGCAGTACATTCATTAATTATAGGTTGCAGTAAGATATTAGCAAGACAATGAAACTGAGATGGCCTTTTGAGACTCAGAGTAATGTGTGTTCACCTCTGTGATGGAAGTCTATAGTGGATATGCCCACTATTGAAGATATATATGTAAATAATTGCTGGCAAGTACCAAGTGTGTTCAAGAGTACAGTTAGTTATTCCTCTGCTTATTCTTAAATCTTTTACAGATAGTTGAGCTGATAGGATCTCTCATGGTTTGTTTACCATGTTTACCATCGAAATGTTCCCTCAATATGGAACAATATATCAAGTTGTACCCAGATTTACTGTATTGTTTTGTACCCACATTGAACTGTACTCACATTTGTGAAAATATATACACAATCGGTGTATCATGTATATGGCACCGAATAACATGACCACTGCCGCCAGAATTCCCAAGCAGAACTTTCTGTCTATTTAAATAGTAAATAAACATTTTCCTGAGCTGATTTAATTGGAAAGGGACTTGAGATTTTCTGAATATGTCGCTGTTGATAAAGACCTTTAGCTTTCTAAACCAATTGAGAAGTACCCTTTTTGTGCTATAAAATGCATTTGTAAACACAACCTCTGTAAACATATTATATCATGTACTTTCAATTGCAAGGGATGAAAGTCTGCCTCTACTTAGCTTCCAGGTTTAGATACAAAATGTTACAATGGTTACGGCAATGAAAATCTGGGTACAACTTCATGAATCATTTTGTACCCAGGGTAATTTTGATGTAAACTGATCGAGACACTATTGGTGACAGTTGCATCTGTTGAGAGTCATGTGGATTCAGAGAGCGTCCAGTAAATAATCTGAAAATCAGGAAATCTCTAAGAAAGGCCTGAGAGGTTGTACTTATTTCCCTCCCTGAATTAACATTTCAATGCAAATCTGCTTGGCTAAAAGTAATACTGGTTAAATCAATAGTGGGCAAGTAAACATTCTGTTTTGAAGTACCATTTTCACATGATCTTTAGGTTTTATGACAAGTATAACACTTGACAAGACTATCAAAGAAGTTTTGCATATGGATAAGAAATGAGCAAAATGTTGACATTGAATGCAGTTTGATCCAGCAAACAGAAATATGCAAGTATATATGTCTTAGACCAGATTCCATTTGTAGTCGCCTACCTGTGCAGCTGCACAATGACAGCAACAATGTTAGTTCATCATGGCAGAGTTTTCTACATTTGTTTTACATGCATAACAGCAGACCTAGAACTTAATACTAGCCCATTAGCCCGGGGCTAGTGCAAATTCCTGCAGGCTAGTTCAGATTTCCCCATTTTTTTAACATTACAAGGACATTTTATCTTTTCACGGGCTAGTAAAGCTTTTGAGTTTAGTTGTAACTCTGTTGCAGTGGCTCAAAACAATATATGGAACCATCATAAATGTGTGTGACAAAGACTTATGAACTGAAAATGGTGGATAATGCCTTCTAACATGTTTGATATCTAAATTCTATAAATGATATATCTATGAATTAAGCATGGTGTTAACGCTGGTTGATACTGATGATGATTTTCAGATGACTGTGCCTCCAGGAAAGACCCCGATTAGCTTCCTCCAAGAATTATGTACCAAAAGGGGGATAACTCCACAGTACGACCTAATAGCCAATGAGGGCGCTGTTCATGAACCAACCTTCTTGATGAGGGTGACAGTGGGTGATGTCGTTGCCACAGGAAAAGGTTTCTATCACTTCTTCGTCTTTAACACTAAGAGCTCCAGATAAGTTTTTGAGCAATTGAGTGTTTACCATGTTTATTTGAAGGGTTCTGTCTTAATTGGGTTATTACATTTTTCATTGGGTAACCAATATTTTTTCCCTCATCTATTCATCACTCGATTGTTTTTTTTCCAAAATGAGCTAACATATAGAGATTTAAAAAAAAAATAAAACAATGTTTTAGATTTATATAATGGTTCTAACTAAAGGCTTGACCTGGAAAGTAAATTAGCTCGTAATTGTGTTTTGGAAATTAGCTCTGTTGTATGGGTTGAAAAAGCATCATTGGGTTTTTACGCATGCTGATTTTATACATTTAAGTTTTTCATTTAATTCATGCATTTCTGTACCCAAGTTAATTGAAAGTAATTGGGTTTTGAATATTTTTAGGGGGGTATTTATACGAAGACGCAGCTTATCTGTAGCTCTGCACTACTCCTAATGTCTCAGCTACATGTATGTTGATTACTAAATGTAAAACAACATATTGAAAAGTAAGGAAACATTCCACAGGTTTGTTATGACAGTGTTGTAAGAATCAACCATTTGCTCCGATTCAAGATCATTCTCTGTTAAGATGTGACAAACTCACGATCTGTCCATAGACAGTCATGTCATGTGGGTGTGGATGTGTGGATTTTTCAGCCAATCAGCTGTTTTCTAGAATGATCAACTTTATTCGTTGTCAGTTGCTGTTTCTACTCTGAAAATGTATTTGCCATCCCTGATTTGGAAATTGGGTCTGAAGAAAAGAATGCCACAAAAACTTAAACTTTCCTTTGAAAGTACACCCTTCTGGGTGTGGATGCCATTGTGTTCAGAAACAACAGGGGCAAAGATGTCCACGGCGTAGTGCAGCAATTTCTATTCTCTATTTGGATATACTGCTCTGTCCACGTTCACCTGGCATGACCTGTGAATGTTTGTCAGATCTTAATAATGAGAAGTATGGAAACAAAGTAAAAGATTTGATTTTAATGTGAATGATTGTAAGAACAATAGTAAACATTTCAGTTGATGACCAAAATATTTTGTATATGCTGTATGTTGTATGTTCATATGATGTATATGCTGTATGTTGTATGTTCATATGATGTATATGCTGTTTGTTGTATGTTCATATGATGTATATGCTGTATGTTGTATGTTGTATGTTTTATGTTCACATGATGTATATTCTGTATGTAATATGTTCATATGATGTATATGCTGTATGTTGTATGTTCATATGATGTATATGCTGTATATGTTGTATGTTCATATGATGTATATGCTGTATGCTGTATGTTCATATGCTGTATATGCTGTATATATTGTATGTTGTATGTTCATATGCTGTATATGCTGTATGTTGTATGTTCATATGATGTATATGCTGTATGCTGTATGTTCATATGATGTATATGCTGTATGTTGTATGTTCATATGATGTATATGAAGTATATGCTGTATGGTGTATGTTCATATGATGTATGTTGTATGTTTTATGTTCACATGATGTATATTCTGTATGTTGTATGTTCATATGATGTATATGCTGTATGTTGTATGTTCATATGATGTATATGCTGTATATTGTATGTTCATATGATGTATATGCTGCATGTTGTATGTTCATATGATGTATATGCTGTATGTTGTATGTTTTATGTTCACATGATGTATATTCTGTATGTTGTATGTTCATATGATGTATATGCTGTATGTTGTATGTTCATATGATGTATATGCTGTATGTTGTATGTTCATATGATGTATACGCTGCATGTTGTATGTTGTATGTTTTATGTTCACATGATGTATATTCTGTATGTTTTATGTTCACATGATGTATATTCTGTATGTTGTATGTTCATATGCTGTATATGCTGTATGTTGTATGTTTTATGTTCACATGATGTATATTCTGTATGTTGTATGTTCATATGATGTATATGCTGTATGTTGTATGTTCATATGATGTATATGCTGTATGTTGTATGTTCATATGATGTATATGCTGCATGTTGTATGTTGTATGTTGTATGTTTTATGTTCACATGATGTATATTCTGTATGTTGTATGTTCATATGATGTATATGATGTATGTTGTATGTTTTATGTTCACATGATGTATATTCTGTATGTTGTATGTTCATATGATGTATATGCTGTATGTTGTATGTTCATATGATGTATATGCTGTATGTTGTATGTTCATATGATGTATATGCTGCATGTTGTATGTTGTATGTTGTATGTTTTATGTTCACATGATGTATATTCTGTATGTTGTATGTTCATATGATGTATATGCTGTATGCTGTATGTTCATATGCTGTATATGCTGTATGTTGTATGTTCATATGATGTATATGCTGTATGCTGTATGTTCATATGATGTATTTGCTGTATGCTGTATGTTCATATGATGTATATGCTGTATATGTTGTATGTTCATATGATGTATATTCTGTATGTTGTATGTTCATATGATGTATATGCTGTATGCTGTATGTTCATATGCTGTATGTTGTATGTTCATATGCTGTATATGCTGTATGCTGTATGTTGTATGTTCATATGATGTATATGCTGTATATGTTGTATGTTCATATGATGTATATGCTGTATGTTGTATGTTGTATGTTCATATGATGTATATGCTGTATGTTGTATGTTCATATGATGTATATGCTGCATGTTGTATGTTGTATGTTTTATGTTCACATGATGTATATTCTGTATGTTGTATGTTCATATGAAGTATATGCTGTATGTTGTATGTTCATATGCTGTATGCTGTATGTTGTATGTTCATATGCTGTATATGCTGTATGCTGTATGTTGTATGTTCATATGATGTATATGCTGTATGTTGTATGTTCATATGATGTATATGATGTATGTTGTATGTTCATATGCTGTATATGCTGTATGCTGTATGTTCATATGATGTTTATGCTGTATGTTGTATGTTCATATGATGTATTTGCTGTATGCTGTATGTTCATATGATGTATATGCTGTATGTTGTATGTTCATATGATGTATATGCTGTATGCTGTATGTTCATATGATGTTTATGCTGTATGTTGTATGTTCATATGATGTATTTGCTGTATGCTGTATGTTCATATGATGTATATGCTGTATATGTTGTATGTTCATATGATGTATATGCTGTATATGCTGTATGTTCATATGATGTATATGCTGTATGGTGTATGTTCATATGATGTATTTGCTGTATGCTGTATGTTCATATGATGTATATGCTGTATATGCTGTATGTTCATATGATGTATATGCTGTATGGTGTATGTTCATATGATGTATATGCTGTATGTTGTATGTTCATATGATGTATATGCTGTATGCTGTATGTTCATATGATGTTTATGCTGTATGTTGTATGTTCATATGATGTATTTGCTGTATGCTGTATGTTCATATGATGTATATGCTGTATGTTGTATGTTCATATGATGTATATGCTGTATGCTGTATGTTCATATGATGTTTATGCTGTATGTTGTATGTTCATATGATGTATTTGCTGTATGCTGTATGTTCATATGATGTATATGCTGTATATGTTGTATGTTCATATGCTGTATATGATGTATGTTGTATGTTCATATGATGTATATGCTGTATGCTGTATGTTCATATGATGTTTATGCTGTATGTTGTATGTTCATATGATGTATTTGCTGTATGCTGTATGTTCATATGATGTATATGCTGTATGTTGTATGTTCATATGATGTATATGCTGTATGTTGTATGTTCATATGATGTATATGATGTATATGCTGTATGGTGTATGTTCATATGAAGTATATGCTGTATGTTGTATGTTCATATGATGTATTTGCTGTATGCTGTATGTTCATATGATGTATATGCTGTATGTTGTATGTTGTATGTTCATATGCTGTATATGCTGTATGCTGTATGTTCATATGATGTATATGCTGTATGTTCATATGATGTATATGCTGTATATGCTGTATGTACATATGATGTATATGCTGTATGTTGTATGTTGAAGGTTCCAGCAAGAAGAAAGCCAAACATGCAGCTGCCCAGACTGCCCTCAACCAGATTCTTGGTGTGTCCAATGGCCAGGCACCAGAAGAAAATGAGTTAGTTTATACTCTTTGTGATTTCATGTTCCAATATTTAGTACTTGTCCACAGCATCCTGTTGCTGGTCGTAAGAGGGGACTACATTGGGAACCTTTGGTGATCCCAGGTTAGAACATGTCTGTAGCACTTTGTTCCTAGTTGTAAGAGATGACTACATTGGGAACCTGTGGTGATCCCAGGTTAGAACATGTCTGTAGCACTTTGTTCCTAGTTGTAAGAGGTGACTACATTGGGAACCTGTGGTGATCCCAGGTAAGAACGTGTCTGTAGCACTTTGTTCCTAGTTGTAAGAGGTGACTACATTGGGAACCTGTGGTGATCCCAGGTTAGAACGTGTCTGTAGCACTTTGTTCCTAGTTGTAAGAGGTGACTACATTGGGAACCTGTGGTGATCCCAGGTTAGAACGTGTCTGTAGCACTTTGTTCCTAGTCGTAAGAGATGACTACATTGGGAACCTGTGGGGATCCCAGGTTAGAACATGTCTGTAGCACTTTGTTCCTAGTCATAAGAGGGGACTACATTGGGAACCTGTGGTGATCCCAGGTTAGAACATGTCTGTAGCACTTTGTTCCTAGTTGTAAGAGATGACTACATTGGGAACCTGTGGTGATCCCAGGTTAGAACATGTCTGTAGCACTTTGTTCCTAGTTGTAAGAGGTGACTACATTGGGAACCTGTGGTGATCCCAGGTAAGAACGTGTCTGTAGCACTTTGTTCCTAGTTGTAAGAGGTGACTACATTGGGAACCTGTGGTGATCCCAGGTTAGAACATGTCTGTAGCACTTTGTTCCTAGTTGTAAGAGGTGACTACATTGGGAACCTGTGGTGATCCCAGGTTAGAACGTGTCTGTAGCACTTTGTTCCTAGTCGTAAGAGATGACTACATTGGGAACCTGTGGGGATCCCAGGTTAGAACATGTCTGTAGCACTTTGTTCCTAGTCATAAGAGGGGACTACATTGGGAACCTGTGGTGATCCCAGGTTAGAACATGTCTGTAGCACTTTGTTCCTAGTTGTAAGAGGTGACTACATTGGGAACCTGTGGTGATCCCAGGTAAGAACGTGTCTGTAGCACTTTGTTCCTAGTTGTAAGAGATGACTACATTGGAAACCTGTGGTGATCCCAGGTTAGAACGTGTCTGTAGCACTTTGTTCCTAGTTGTAAGAGATGACTATTGGGAACCTGTGGTGATCCCAGGTTAGAACATGTCTGTAGCACTTTGTTCCTAGTTGTAAGAGGGGACTACATTGGGAATCTGTGGTGATCCCAGGTTAGAACGTGTCTGTAGCACTTTGTTCCTAGTTGTAAGAGGTGACTATTGGGAACCTGTGGTGATCCTAATTGTGTTCACTTGTATTTCATTCTCAAATCCCTGAGGAGTATGCAACCCAAGCTGCCTGTGAGAGTCTAGAAGGTTGTTGGTTCGATCACACCAAAAGACATTAAATGATGATACTGGTTGCCCTGCCTGGCCCTTGTGATTAGGGGAGTAAAACAAGGACTAGCCATGAGTAGGGCATCCATATTACATTGTTGATATTAAACTGTACATAGTATCCATGTAGGTTACATATCCAGCTTGAGTCTGGACTGCTACAAGCAGCCACACACACACATGAGTGAGTGAGTGTGTGAGTTTGGTTTAACGCCACTTTTAACATTATTCCAGTTATATCACGGCGTCACACACACATGAATGCACGTCACTACATTGCAATAATCTGCAACGCCATGTTGATCCCCCTTTCCCACTGACATCATACTCCATTATTAACATCCCTACTTGACTGCATGTTGATCTGTGTTTCTCAGTGTCTCTGACTCTGGAGAGGACCTTGGTCCGGGGAATCCAATCGGGGAACTTCAGGAGTTCACACAGAAGAAACTGATCAAACCACCAGTTTATGAGTTCACTAGTGAGCAGGGACCACCACATGCTCGCGAGTTTGTTTGTCTTGTCAAGCTTGGGAAATTCCAGGAAAGAGGTAATTAGTTGCTGTTGTCTTGTGACCATGGGAGCCATAATGCTAACTTGGCTTTAGTACCAATTTTACTTTGACAGATGTTTCTATTTTATTGCGAAAGAAATTGAATACAACACATATAGCATGTACAGGAATTGATCTTGATCTGGTCTCGCTTGTGTGTTCTTTTGTTTCTCCATGGTAGTGTTGCTGTTTATGTGGCAGCTGGAGCTTCTATTTAATTACTTTTTTGGGATGGAAATGTGGATCTGTAATGCCTTTCAAGCCCAAATTTAAGGATGTAATGAATTTATTTGCCTGTGTGCAGGTACGGGGAGATCAAAGAAAACAGCCAAGCGTAATGCAGCTCAGGCAATGATGCAGCATATCAAGACCCTAACAACAGATGGGGAGCAGCCCGCCACCATCGAGGACTCCGAGGAGGAGGATGAAATACCACTGGTGGGTACACAATGATGCAGAAACACACATGTACCCAGCAACACACTTGATGCAGTAACACACATGTACACTGGAACACACTTGATGCAGTAACACACATGTACCCAGGAACACACTTGATGCAGTTACACACATGTTCACAGTTACACACATGTTCATAGGTACACCATGTTCACAGTTACACACATGTTAACAGTTACCATGTTCACAGTTACAATGTTCACAGTTACACACATGTTCACAGTTACACCATGTTCACAGTTACACACATGTTGACAGTTACACACATGTTGACAGTTACACACATGTTCACAGTTACACACATGTTCATAGGTACACCATGTTGACAGTTACATATTCATAGGTACACCATGTGTACAGTTACACACATGTTCATAGGTACACCATGTTCACAGTTACACACATGTTCATAGGTACACCATGTTCACAGTTACACACATGTTCATAGGTACACCATGTTCACAGTTACACACATGTTCACAGTTACACACATGTTCAGTTACACATGTTCACAGTTACACACATGTTCATAGGTAGACCATGTTGACAGTTACACACATGTTGACAGTTACACACATGTTCATAGGTACACCATGTTGACAGTTACATGTTCATAGGTACACCTTTTTCACAGTTACACACATGTTCACAGTTACACACATGTTCATAGGTACACCATGTTCACAGTTACACACATGTTCATAGGTACACCATGTTCACAGTTACACACATGTTCACAGTTACACACATGTTCAGTTACACATGTTCACAGTTACACACTTGTTCATAATTACATCATGTTGACAGTTACACACATGTTGACAGTTACACACATGTTGACAGTTACACACATGTTCATAGGTACACCATGTTGACAGTTACATGTTCATAGGTACACCATGTTCACAGTTACACACCTGTTCATAGGTACACCATGTTCACAGTTACACACATGTTCATAGGTACACCATGTTCACAGTTTCACAAATGTTCACAGCTACACACATGTTCACAGTTACACACATGTTCATAGTTACCATGTTCACAGTTACACACATGTTCATAGGTACACCATGTTCACAGTACTAGAAAGACTCATATAGAGTTAACCCTGTGGGTATTCAGGGTTAGGATTGGTCCCCAGCAACCTATGCTTGCCATATGAGGCAACTTATTTGATCTGGTGGTCAGGCTCAGTGACTTGGTTGATAGCGTGTCATCGTACCCTGACCGCATGGATCATTACTCATAATATCAAACACTGGATTGTCTGTCAAGACTTGATTATTTACAGACCGCTGATTTCTTTTCTAGTGAAGAACAAAAACACAAACCGTTTGTATATATATGATATCCACGTTCATACAACTTGAAGGTGTCGACTGTTGGTGATGAATAACAAACAGTCAGTGAGATAAGATGTCATTCTACAAGATTAGTCAGACATTCTGTCCGTATTTCAATGTGTTGATGTGAGACTATTGTGTATTTTTCACATCAGACCTTCGAGCCGAAGTCGTCGTACACAGCCCTGAAGGAGGGCAAGAAGAAGCTGCCTGTCACCACGCCGCAGCAGGCGATGGAGATACAGAAGTTCTATGAGAAAATAATGAAATCAGGGGGCAAACAAATCAAAGATCTGCAGGTATGTTTCTGTTATGTGTAGTATTCAAGTCTGTGGCGGATTGTCTCAGTCTTTGCAAATTTATGATTTAAGAATGGTGCTACGTTTTGAAGTACACTGGGCCTTGGATCAGCATGCACTCACATTTCATTCTCAGCCCCCGAGTATACCCAGTGCACACATGGTACAATGTTGTATTATGTATCAAAGACATTGATGTCATTAGGCCAAATCCCACTCTGAACACAGTTGTCACATTGGCTGTAGCAAAGCTAGAAGAGTGTGAGACTTGAACAGAAGCAGAGAGAAAGATAATTATGAAACTTTGTAGATGAGAACTTGATCACTGAAGAGAATATTAAAACATTATCATTTGAGCGTGGGGCCCTTGACGATCCAGTCGTTAGAGGTGCTGCTGGTGTGACTCCCCTACTCAGTATCACTCTGTTTCAGGGTAAATCTCTCAACGCACCCTCCACCAACTTCTGTCAGATGCTACAGGAGATTGCTGAGGTCCAGCGCTTTGAAGTCCAGTATTTTGATATAAAAGAGATTAGTGTATCAGGTAAGTGCCCTGCATGTTTACATCTGAGGAAGATGTGAGTGTGGAAGTTTGACAGGCTGTTATTCCTGGCTCTGTACAGGCAGGCTGACCTTGTTTGTGAAGCTTTGTCACATGTTCCAGAGGAAGCTGAGTGTTGGAATTCAAATACAGATCATTCCTGTTGTAACACTCTTTGTCCCTTCTTTATCTTCAAATAAGTGTAAACTCTCTACAAGAATTTGACTTAGAAAGGGGAAACATAATTGAATATAGGTTATTTCATTTCACCTATAAACTAACAGGTCTCATATCATGCATATCTTGAACTTTATGAAAATTATATTAGGATGTCAAATTGTTTTGACTTGTACAAAAGGCAGTATAGTGCTAGGGTCAAATGCCTGTTGTCTGCTTTGCCATTTACATTGTTAATAAGACCAACCCAAGAAATATTTTTGCATTAGTGCATCAAAAATGAGCACTATAACGCAATGTTTGACAACTACAATTTTTATAATGTGATTCAGCATGTTTAGGAACACTCTCTCTGGTGTGTGAAGATCTTCATGTGTTGATGTATGGTGTGGTATTGTCTACTTGCAGGGCTACACCAGTGTCTTGTCCAGCTGTCCACAATGCCAGTAGCGGTCTGCCACGGCTCCGGACCGACACTAGATGAAGCTCATGCTAATGCGGCCCACAATGCACTGCAGTACCTAAAGATAATGACAAAGTCGTAACCATGGACCCCAGGAAATAACATAGCCTCACTTTATTAAGTAGAATTTGGAGGACTGTTGTAGTAACTTATAAACAAGTTTTTGTGATCAGGCCAAATACAAATATTTGAATTTGATGAAGCACTGATTCTACAATTTGAACTCTGTGTATAGTAGGGGTGAGACGATACACCGATGCATCGGGAGTTTCATGTGGGGATATCATACATGATATTTTTTTTCATATTGATACAAGATGATACAATTGTTAGAATATCTTTTTTGCTACTCGTTTTATGACCCCCAGCGATTTTGTCAGTGAAATATTGCAAAAATGTGTTGTAATTAGCGTTTCAAGTTCAATACTAAACATGGCCGCTACGAACATGTATCTACAGCTAGCTTTTCCTTTTGAACCTGCTCTGGTATATTTATTGTCGCTAAGTTTCCATTCGATTTGACGTAAATATGCGTATCACGACCTTTGTATTGTATCGTTACCTTGCTGTATCGTTTCACCCTTAGTGTATAGGGCTTTGTGTGTAGGGCTCCATGTATAGGGCACCTTGGGGATGCCAGGTTAGACAAGGCAACCGATACTGCTTAGAAGAGGTGATTAAAGGTGTAAGGCTCAGTGACTGTTGATAGTGTGTCAGTGTACACAGACAGTGTTGCTTGTTGCACATATCAATCACCAGATTGTCTGGTCCAGTCTGGATGATTTACAGGAGGCACGGGTGGCCCAGTCGTCTAAGGCGCTGCGATTCGCTGTGCAGAGTTGCGTCCCTTGGGCACGCCAGAAACCTATGATTGTTGGTTCACCCCAATTATGTTTCTAGGTTTGTCAGCACCATTCCCGTGCTCGTGGGTTTCACCGAAGTGGTAAACGTCTGAGACCTGCATCACTTCGGGTTTTCCTCCCACATTAAGCTGAGATGTTGCGATATAACTGTAATACTGTTAAAAGCGGCATTAAACCAAACTCATTCACTAACTCACTGGATGATTTACAGGCCGTTGTGATGTAGCTGGAATATTGTGAGTACAACATTGTTTCAAATCAAAATTGCATCAATATAAATTAACTTTCTTCTCAGATTAAGCTGTCAATCCATGATATAACTGAAATACTGTTCAAAGTAGCGTAAAATCCGGGTTAGAATAGGTCTTCAGCCTTAAGTCGACTATGTTTGTCGTAAGAGGCGACTAATGGCATCGGGTGGTCAGGCTTGCTGACTTAGTTGATACATGTCATTGCTCATGACATCAATCACTGGATTGTCTGGTCCAGAGTGCAGCATTGAACAGCAAACAAACCACATCGCATCCCTCTCTCACTCTAAACAAACTCTGCTGACTATTCTCAGTGCTAGACAGAATTGACTTATTTCTATTTGGTCCTGTATCTCATATATCCCATTGAAAGAAGCTGTGTTGTACTTGGCATTTATCTCTATTCACCTTAGTCACCAGATCAATGGTTTTTAGGGTTTTGATTCACCAAAGGTTTCAAAGCATTTTTCTGTGGCTATGTTTTATTGTGTGACATTGTTTAAAACCAGATGGCTGCATTTACCGCCTGCCCCAGGTGTACAACAGACCCATGCACAACAGGTGCTTGTCAGTATGGCCAACAGATATAGGGGATTATTGATCTTTGTCTTTGGACACAGATTAGGCATTACTAATTTCTTTTTTATGTTATTTTTTTAACCAAGTGCAATTCGAAGTAATTGTCTCTATCTGAAAGGATGTTTTTTTGTAATAAAACTGTCAGCAGGTAAGCAGACAGTTCCTCAGCCAATGCCGAGCTTGAAACACGGCATTATCATGTAAACTGTAAACAAAGACGATGCCTGGCCAGTATACTCAGGAACGTTTGCATCACAAACAGATTGTATTCCATTCTATTATCTGTTCTAAATTGACAGGCATTGGCAATGTTGGTGGATGAGCTAAGGGGTAGATCACTTGATTTTCAATACTTTCTGCCATTTTCATAAGAGTATGTTAACGCTTTGTGATATACTGCAATGTTTTCAAAGTAAACAACCAAACCTACCTACCCTATTGTGAAATAAGCCCTATTGTGAAATAAGAGAAACACTTTTAGTGTCCTAAATGAAATACTGCTAACAGTGGGACTTACTCCAGCTGTCTGTCCTGAAGATGGAAACGGAAAATGTGATAGTTTCTTACTGAATATTACATGAATCTGTTGAACAGCAACATGGGGCTGGTCTATCTCACTGCCAGATATGTATCTCTTCCTGTGTACCCTGTTAGCAGTAGCAACGATAGATTCCACAATGCATTGTGTCAAAACTTTTTGTGTGTATGGGCATTATCTCAGTTCTGCTTCATGGGAGTTGTGTGCTGCTGGAGTTGTTGGTCAACATCTATCAGCTTGCCCTGTCAACATCTTTTAGCTTGCCCTGTCGACATCTATCAGCTTGCCATGTCGACATCTACCAGCTTGCCCTGTCAATATCTACCAGCTTTCCTGGTCAACATCTATCAGCTTGCCCTGTCGACATCTATCAGCTTGCCATGTCAACATCTACCAGCTTTCCTGGTCAACATCTATCAGCTTGCCCTGTCAACATCTATCAGCTTGCCCTGTCAACATCTATCAGCTTGCCCTGTCGACATCTATCAGCTTGCCCTGTCATCATCTACCAGCTTTCCTGGTCAACATCTATCAGCTTGCCCTGTCAACATCTATTAGCTTGCCTTGTTGACATCTATCAGCTTATCCTGTCGGCATCTCCAGTTTGCTCTTTCAGCATTTACCGTACAGCCAGTCATTGAAGCATGCAGCTGAAGAAACCATGAAGAATTCTTTTATTTAGCGGTAGGATTGCACATCAAACATCGAATAGATGGAACTTTTCACTTTCTCTTCCTACGTGTTATATGACAATACAGTACGTGTTGTGTGTTGTGTGAATGTCCTGCTGTGGATGTGTTGTGTCCTGTCACCCCATGAGCTGCCAGCACACAACTAGGTCAGTACAAGGCGGACCGTCGTCTCTCCACTCACTTGAGGGTTAGCTTTGTAATTGCATTGATGGAGCTGAGTTTACAAATTTATGTTCTATCGCCTAGGACAATCAATCATATTGCAATGGCCATATTGTAACACAAATGGATTAATGTAAGACCATGAGAAAACTAACTTCTCACCAGATGCTTATTTCCTAGCGGGCTGATGAGATGAGATACCAAATTGAGTAAGCGTTGGTTTGTCACACCAAACACCCAGGATTGAATCCACAGATGTATACCAGGTGTGACACCAACTCCTTGTCTCAGACTGGTGTCATAAGCCCTACGCAGTCGCATATTATGAAAATGTTCAGGTCACCTCAAATCTTGTCAGCAGCCTCAGATTAGGCAAGGGAAAGATAACTCTTCCTGTTAAAATCAGGATAATCTTGACATTCTCAAAACTAATCATAAAGTGAGAAATATTTTACCAGACAACAATTTTAGTGTTAACTCAAAAAAATATTTTCAATGTTTTAAATGACCTTTACAATGATGGAAAACATGTTTTCATGGCCCTCAGGTTCTCCTAGCCTAAATAACATAACATAACATCCTTGCATGACAGCATTCAGTTTGTTTCACGACACTAAAAGAATACCGGAATACCTGAGGAGCCAAACCGTTTCTTGTTCCCTGCAACATTTTTTCTTTGAAATTAATATTTTTCCAGTATTTTCTGCAACAAATTAATTAAAATTGGGTGGGTAAGTGAGTGAGTTCAAATTTGAAGTTTCAAAGCCAGTGTTTCAGCCATAAGTTATGCATTAATAATTTATACATTTTGACTAAATATTTCAACAAAATTAATTTTATAACAATAACAGCACACCTAAGAAGTGTTGACCAAATGTTGATTACCGGTACAAGCATTGCACAATTGGATGAAGACTGTACCATGATTGGGCGCACCATTTCCAGTGCAGACATTGTAATTTGTGCAGGGTGAATTGGAGACAGTGTCTCTGTCAGTAGGACAATCATTTACTGTTAGAATGATGTACATGTTATTTTTTTCTGTAAGCTGACTGAAAAAATGGGTTTTAAGAGACTTGATTCCAACTTACAGGGTCAGTTTGCAGAGGTCTAGTCCCCCTGTAATTCACATACTTATGGTACTTGGACTAATCTTCGCTTCATGTCGCCAGCATTAAGCGTCATTCTAATTTCCACTTTCCTCTGCATGTATCATGTCACTCCATAAAATTAACATGTTTATCAAATCTTTCAAATATTTGTATATACATATACACATGTGAAGACTGAAATGAACTTGTGAAATATCCAATGAAATTGATTACTTCTGACAGCTCTGCAGCAGGGTAGGTATGTAATTGTTTATTGTCCGCTGCTGGGGGATATACCGATACCAACCGATCTACTTCACCAGATTGAAATGTACTAGTGACATTTACAATGAAATTGATTACTTCTTACAGCTGTGCAGCAGGGTATGTGATTGTTTAGTGTCCGCATTCAGGGCTGGGAGATATATACACATATCTACCAGTCTACTTCTCCAGACTGAAATGAACTTGTGAAATATGCAATGAAAGAGAGTAGTTCTTTCATTGTATATATACATATATCTACCTATCTATGTACTGTCACATGCAGGTCATGCCATGGGGTTGAAGATGTGTGTTATGTGTTATAACCAATTCTTACTATTTAATACCAGTGAGGTTATGAGGTATCCTGGGACTAGCTAGGAGATTTTAGTCTTTTTTTGTTTTGATTTTTTAATCTTTTAATGTATGGAACTGCCAATTGTGGATCAAATTTTGTACATGTACACTCTTTTGAAGCACACGTCTTGTATGTGGGCAATCTTAATTATGTGTCAATAAAATAAATGAATCCAAAGCTCTTGTTTGTGTGATTCTTAAAATTACATTCTGTCATTCACTGCCTAACTCACCCAGTGGGGATTCTGGGTTAGAATAGGTCCACCGCAACCCATACTGGTTGTAAGATGCAACTTGATAGAACAGTTTATCAGAATGGGTGGCTAACTGACTGGGTTGATTGTTGGTTTCTTACTGGATGGCGTAGATCATTGCTCATAATATCAATCCCTGAATTGTCGGTCCAGACATGGACAAGGCCAAGCATCATAAAGCTTTGATATTGCTGAGCTGACATAAACGGTTAAACAACAAGCAGATATTTCTTTAATAAAAATGATGAGCCTGAATATTTTTTAAAGACAAATACTTTGCAAAAATGTAATTTTTATGGCAGACAAATTATTTGTTTTTCAACACTCTGAAGCATTATTTTTTCAAGAATGTTCTTGGACAACTTTTTTTTCTTCCATAAAATCCCACTGTCTGTCCAGTACAAGTATCTCAGAAACAGACACAAGGTCTTCTTTGGCAAAAGTAAATACTGTAAACAGATCGGTGATCGGCAGCCATTTTTTTTATCGACATGTAGGTTATTGATGTATTCGTACGCACGGTTTTTATGTGAAAAGGCTCGTATATATATATATGTTCTACTTATCATACCGTAGACCTGTTGGTATGAAAGCCCCTGAGTTAGGGCAGTTTGGTAATACACCTTATTTAAACTAATAGCTGGTTTCCCTCCATATCTCTCAAGTGTAAAGAACTTGAAGACATTTCCTTTTATGCACTCCATGTCGTGCACCATGGCTTTGGCTATGCAAGTGCAAAGCAACATGCATCATTCGAGCAGTCTTGACAAAACAAATGCAGCGTCATTTTGTTATTTTTTTTATGTACATCTAGAATTTTGTTC